CGGTTTTTGATTTGCCGCATACGGTTTTTTGTTTGCCGTATACGGCTTTTGGTCTGCCTCATACGGTTTTTGATTTGCCGCATACGGTTTTTTGTTTGCGTATACGGCTTTTGGTCTGCCTCATACGGTTTTTGATTTGCCGCATACGGTTTTTTGTTTGCCGTACACGGCTTTTGGTCTGCCTCATACGGTTTTTGATTTGCCGCATACGGTTTTTTGTTTGCCGTATACGGCTTTTGGTCTGCCTCATACGGTTTTTGATTTGCCGCATACGGTTTTTTGTTTGCCGTATACGGCTTTTGGTCTGCCTCATACGGTTTTTGGTCTGCCTCATACGGTTTTTGATTTGCCGCATACGGTTTTTTGTTTGCGTATACGGTTTTTGGTCTGCCTCATACGGTTTTTGATTTGCCGCATACGGTTTTTTGTTTGCCGTATACGGCTTTTGGTCTGCCTCATACGGTTTTTGATTTGCCGCATACGGTTTTTTGTTTGCCGTATACGGCTTTTGGTCTGCCTCATACGGTTTTTGATTTGCCGCATACGGTTTTTTGTTTGCCGTTTACGGCTTTTGGTCTGCCTCATACGGTTTTTGATTTGCCGCATACGGTTTTTGTTTGCCGTACACGGCTTTTGGTCTGCCTCATACGGTTTTTGATTTGCCGCATACGGTTTTTTGTTTGCCGTATACGGCTTTTGGTCTGCCTCATACGGTTTTTGGTCTGCCTCATACGGTTTTTGATTTGCCGCATACGGTTTTTTGTTTGCGTATACGGCTTTTGGTCTGCCTCATACGGTTTTTGATTTGCCGCATACGGTTTTTTGTTTGCCGTATACGGCTTTTGGTCTGCCTCATACGGTTTTTGATTTGCCGCATACGGTTTTTTGTTTGCCGTATACGGCTTTTGGTCTGCCTCATACGGTTTTTGATTTGCCGCATACGGTTTTTTGTTTGCCGTATACGGCTTTTGGTCTGCCTCGTACGGTTTTTGATTTGCCGCATACGGTTTTTTGTTTGCGTATACGGCTTTTGGTCTGCCTCATACGGTTTTTGATTTGCCGCATACGGTTTTTTGTTTGCCGTACACGGCTTTTGGTCTGCCTCATACGGTTTTTGATTTGTCGCATACGGTTTTTTGTTTGCCGTATACGGCTTTTGGTCTGCCTCATACGGTTTTTGATTTGCCGCATACGGTTTTTTGTTTGCCGTATACGGCTTTTGGTCTGCCTCATACGGTTTTTGATTTGCCGCATACGGTTTTTAGCAAATGATACCTTCACCACACTTGAAACATACTTAAAAATACTGTACACATGAAGGTGTCAGCGTGCTTTTACTCTCGAGTCCAGAAACCAAGCGCGTATCCTAACAATATAATAGGGGCTGGCCGCCGGGGCGGGCTGGTGTGTCTGGCTGGCTGGCTGGCGGTGAGGCGCAGCCTGCGCGGGCAATGGCACCCCCTCCCCCCCCCCGCGCGCGCGACGGCCCGCGCGCAACATTGACAATCCCTCTCCGCCTGCCACGTCTCAAAGGGTGGGTGACTCGGGCAGACCTCGGCTCTGCTCAGCTCGTGCCGGCTTCGGCGCCAGCTCGGCCTCGTTCGTTGAATGAGATTTTAAGAACTATCTTTGGAATGAGCCCATACTAATGAGCCCAGAAGAAAACCAAACGAGTATCATCTGCTTTCATTAACGTTCGTTGAATGAGATTTTTTCTTTTTAGCAGATGATACCTTCACACTTGAAACATACTTAAAACTACTATACACAAATGAAGGTGTCAGCGTGCTTTTACTCTCGAGTCCAGAAACCAAGCGCGTATCCTAACAATAATATAATAGGGGCTGGCGGCCGGGGCGGGCTGGTGCGTGTGGCTTGCAATGAGGCGCAGCCTGCGCGGAATTCGACAATCCCTCCGCGGTACAGCGCCAGCGGCACCGGGCGTCAACAATGGCACCTCCTCCTCGCATTGACAATCCCTCCCCGCCTGCCACGGCGCGGAGTATCGCGCAACAATGCCTCCCGATTCGGCCCGGCCTGGGGCGCTCGCTGGGGCTCGGCGGCGTGCGGTGCAAGCCACAGCTCGGCACGGCTAGTACCAACACCGGCCAGCTCACTCGGGTCTGTGTATTTTGTTTCATACACAATTTTAAATACTATCTTTGGAATGATCCCGCGTACTACCCCGTATAAGAAAACCAAACGAGTATCATCTGCTTTCATTAACGTTCGTTGAATGAGATTTTTTTTTCCCTTTTCGCCTCTCTGGTCCCGAGTGACTTAGTCGCCTCCATACGTCACGTTTACCGTCTCGGAAGCGGCAAGAGGGGCGGAAGCGAGATTGGCGGTGGCGTGGCGTGGCGCGGCGTGGCGGCACAGCTGTGGCGGTGGCGGCGTGGCCGTGGCGGCGGCAGTGGACACACCGCCAGGCCAAGGCGAGGCGAGGCAAGGTGGGGTGGCAAGAGATAAGGCCGACATGCAGGACGACATGGAGAAAGTTGCGGTGCAGGCGCGGGAGGCACAACACGCCGCCGAGTCGCCGGGGCCCTCGGCAGCCCTCAGCACTCCGCCGAGTGCATGCATGCTGACGTCGCCGACGTCGCCGGCGACGCTTCTCCCTGCATCAATTTCACGCTCAGCGGCGCTCAATTTCGGCTTCCCTTTTCGGCGCGCTTTGCTGCTTTTGGAGCGAGCGGTACGGAAACGCGACAACGCCAAGTGGGGCGCCGCACAGTGGGTCAGAAGGCGACTGGTGCAGGCGGCCAAAACTCCGGACGCGTTTTGAGCTCCAGAGTCGCTAAATGGGACTCGAACCGACCGTGTGACCCCACCAATGGATTCCTCGTTCGGAGAGCAATCCGTTGGTGGGGTCACACGTTCGGGTCGAGTCCCATTTAGTGACTCTGGAGCTCAAAACGCGACCGGGATTTTGGCCGCCTCCACCGGTCCTCCGGCCCACTGTGCGCGCGGTGCGCGGTCGTCGCGTGTCCGAGGGGCCGGGGCCGAGGGGCCGAGGGGGACACGGCGGGCACGTCAAGGAGGCCCAGAGCAGCGCCGTGCCGGCCGAGCCCACCAAGGGGCTGAAGGTCAGCGAAGGCCACCGCAGCAGGAAGGGCGAGAGAGGACGACAGTCCAAAGGACGCGGGGCGCCGCCAGACCGCCGCAGAATCTCCTCGTTGTCTTGCTATTGCTTCCCGGAAGCTCTCCCGGTACTCGAGTCTCGTCCTCCCCATCATCCTCGGCCGCCCCGCCCCGCCCCGCCCCGCCCCGGCCGGTCCCACCTCGAGAGGCGGGTTGAGGAGAGTGGAGGGTCGAATACGTCAGCGGGAATGCGGGGGTGGGGGCGGCGGGCGGGCTTTTAAAAGAGGGGGGGGCGTTGACGGCGTTGCACACGGACGGGCTGGACCGAGGCCGCACGAGCGACGAGCACCGCGTCGTCTGCTGGACGAGCCCTGCGGTGCCGCGCCCCTCGCTGCACTGCACAGTGGGCCAGAAGACGCCGCAGGCGGCCAAACGCGTTTTGAGCTCCGGAGTCGCAAATGAACGAGTGACCCCACCAATGAATTGCTGTACAAACGAGGAATCCATTGGTGGGGTCACACCGCGGGTCACACGCTCGCTTCGAGCCCCGATTAGTGACTCTGGAGCTCAAAACGCGCCCAGAGTTTTGGCCGCCTCCACCGAGTGCAGTGGCGGCGGCAATCTCGCCAACAGTGTAGGCCAGCCCGGAATGCGAGGCACACCGCGAGTCGAGCACAGCAGGCAGGCTGGGGCGTGTGGGGGCACGTCGCGCCACGCCGCGCCACGCCAAGGAACGCCCGCCGTGAAGGCACCCCGGTGGCAGCCCTGCGGTGCGGTTGCCTACCCAGCGCGGCGCTCAGACCAAATCCCCGCCGCAGCCACCGCGCGCCCTCGCTTATCGCCTCGCTCGGCGGCGACCCCCTCCCCCTCCCCTCCCCGCGGCCGCCCCTCGTCACTCGAAGACATGAGGGAGGAGAACGTAAAATGGTCGCAATGACGCGCGGGATATAAGGGCCGTGGGCAGGCGGGGCTGGCCGTGGGGGTGTGAAAAGGAGGCCGCACAGTGGGCCAGAAGACCGGTGGAGGCGGACAAAACTCTAGACGCGTTTTGAGTTCCAGAGTCGCTAAAAAGGACTCGAACCGAGCGTGTGACCCCACCAACGGCTTGCTCTCCGAACGAGGAATTCATTGGTGGGGTCACACGTTCGGTTCGAGGCCTGCTTAGCGACTCTGGAGCTAAACGCGTCTGGAGTTTAGACCGCCTGCGCCGATCTTCTGGCCCACTGTGGGTCGGGGGTATCCCGGCCTCGGCCACGCGTAGCAAGAATCAAGGCCAGGTCTTGCGTATTCCTCCAAATGCTCTCTCTCTCTCCCTCCTGATCCTCAGCCTCCCCGTCCCGATCATCCTCCCCCTCATGCAGCCCGTGCTGCCGCTCGGTATTCCTGATTGTCGCCGCCCGGCAGGCCACGCCAGGCCACGCCAGGCGAGAGGCTAAGCTTAGTCCGTATCTGCTATATTGATGGGGCAAGGAGGAGGGGGCGTGGCGGGGCGTGGCGGGGCGTAGGAATCACACGGCCCACGGCCAATCGACTGGAAAATGCAGGCCGTGGCGTGCCACTGCCGCGCCGTGCCGTGCCTTCGGCTATACGCTCTGCGCGGCTCTGCCCTGCAGCTAGCTCCACGGCTAGCCAGCCCTGCACATCACCCGCCATCCATATTCCGCGCGCACACACCAAACTGTTTCTTTTTTCCAGACCCGCCATTCTGCGCAACGATATATTTTTCCCCCTGGAGACCCGGCGTTTGTTTTTGCGAGTCTATGATTGCCACCGTTCGTCCAAAATTGTGTCCTCTAAAAGCACCTTTTGAAAAACCTAGGTTCTTACTGAAACTTTGCGCTGCTTTCGATTTGTTGTTGTTGTTTTGTCCCGCGTGTCGGTTCCCACGCCTCGCCGTCGGCACCGAGGTCGGCACGTACCTTGCGGGTGAGTGTTGATGCCGCTGTCCCGGTGTCGGTTCTCCTTTCCGCGTTGTCACTCGACGCCGTTTGACGCCGTCCGACGCCGCTTGCTGCCCGATCGACGCACTGGTCCTCCACGCACTCGTCCTCCACGCACTGGTCACTCCCGACAGTCGACAGCCCCGCGACGGCAGCGGACTAACGGGCCGCGCAGCGCGCGCTGCGTCCGGCCCAGCATGTTGCTGTGGCGGCCTGGCTGACCTGGCGGGTCCAGGACCACGGCGACCACGTCCGGACCGCGCCGTCGGCACTCAACCGGTGGACGGCGGCGACCATCGCCCGCCGGGCCGCACCGGGACGGGCCAGTCGTCCGCGCTCCGCACGCCGAGTGTAGGAGCACTGGCCAGGGTCGCGGCACGCCACGCCGCGCCGTGCCACGCCGCACCACGCCACGCGCTCGTGGAGGTCTGCCTGGCAGGGAGGCAGCAGGGGCGGCAGCGGCGACCCAGCTGGCCGCGAGAACCGGCACGGAGAGACTGAGCGCAGCGAGCGAGGCGGAGGCGCGGCACGCCGACCCCACCCCACCCCACCCCGCCGACGGCTGGCGGCGCACGGCCCCCCACCACCGCGCCCTCCCTCTAGGCCCGTTCCCATGACTACCTCACCAAATTCACCGGGGCGGAGGGCAAATTGGGAATGGGAGCGAGCCGGGCCGGGCCGGGCGGGGCTCGGCGGACAAGACACTGTGTCCGATAAGGCGTGTGTTCGAACCGCCGGACGACCCTTGCGCGCTGTCCTCACTGATTAGGGTCGCCATCGGCACCGGGACGTACCTTGCCGAAGCCCGGCCTTCCCCGCCCAGCGCCACTATCGCCCGCAAATTGGCGCTCGCCGTGCATTCGTTTAGTCGGCGGTCGTTGTGGCCGCGGCGGCAAGGGGGGCTGACTCCTATAATACTTCGTACACAGACCTATAATACTTGTATAATACCTATAATACTATAATCCATAATACCAAAAAATGCCGCACATTTAGTGCAGTTTCGGGTTCAAAATGAGAAAGTTTTGTAAAATTGTGGTGAACAGGCGTTCAGCGATTTTTAGACGGATCGTTAGAGTAAGAAAATGGCGCTAAGGCTGATGACAAGGTGCTGAGGCTCTTAAAGATGCGCGGTAGTATTTTGAGGCTCAGGAGCGCAAGCCGGAATCCTTGTTTTCAACTAACTTGCGTATTTCGGAAACCTTTGGTACACGGAAAACCACTTAAAACGACACAATTATCTAAATAAAATGTTCGGAATAATACCTATAATACTCTATAATACCTATAATATATAATACTTCGTACACGGTTCGGGAGAGTCAGCCCCCCTTGCCGCGGCGGCGGTTGTCGAGGTCCTGCTGATGGTCGCGGTCGCGGCAGTCGCGGTTTGGGGAGGAGCCCTTCCGTCTCTCTCTCTCTCGCACCTGTACGGGGCGCTCAATGAGTGCGAGAGAGAGAGAGAGAGACGGGGCGATGAAAGGGTGCCTCGGAATGAGGCGGCGGCAGCGCCATGGCAGCGCCGCGTACAGGGTTTTGTTTCCAACGACACGCCGCGAATTGGCGCGGAAGGAAGCGCGGGAAAGGCCATCCTCATTTCATTCTCCATTTTCCTGCGGTGGGGGCGCGGCGGGGCGGGGCGCGGTGGGGCGCGGCGGGGCGGCGAGGACGAAGGAATTCTGTATTTATTGGGGAATTGGATCGCGGGCGTACAAAAGGCGCCCCGCTGCTGTCCCTCTCTCTCGCTCTCGCTCCCTGGCCGACAGAGAGATTTCTTCTCCGTTTATTGGGCTTCCCTAAGGAAGTGGGAAAGACAAGGACGGCCTCTTTAGGGGGCGGAAGGGATGATCCGCTTCGGAAAATGGGCCTGGCGACTGCGGCTGGGGTTTTCGGCTGGAGGAACGGACCGCTGGGATGGGAGTTAGAAGTCACCGAAGTCACTCACCCAGCGCGCCCCGAAGGTGAGGCAGACCAGACAGCCTTCGCAGATGCAGTCTCAGACTCGAGCTCAGACTGCGTGCGGTGCGTTCCGGTTCTCCTGTGAATCGGAAATGCCTTCAAGTTGTGCTGCCTTGCGGTGCTTTACTTTCGCACCGACACCTCACTTTGCATAGTTCCGCAAGGGGGAGAATAAACGTTGAGAAAAGCATGCATGATGAGGGTTCGCCACATTCTGAAACTTTGACAAACAGGCGGCCGGGCCTGCGGGGCCCCAGTAGACTCTGCGGCCTTGCAGCCCCCCCCCCCCCCCCCCCGCCCCGGGGAAGGTGCGGCTCGAGACAAAGTTGCTGCTCAATTTGCAATTCATGGAGGATATCTCGCCCAATTCGTCATTTTTCATTATTTTCCCCCCTCGCACAGCCCGGCCGTGCGAACCGCGGCGAACCGCGTCCTCCCGGTTCCGGGCGCGGCAGACGGATTCCGCAAAGTCGTTTCGTCGCTCCTTCTCCGTCGCACTCGAGGCTCGGGCTCAAGTGTCAAGAGACAGACGCGGAACGCTTTTCGGAATCGCTCGGCAGGGCGTAGCCGCGGACCGTGGCGCGCTGATTTGAAAGGCAGCCCGGCTGTGTGAGTTGCAGTGCACCCCGTGCCGAGCCGAGCCGAGCCGTGCCGTGCCGCCGGAGGGCAGAGCGGCAGAGCCGGCAGAGCGGAGCGCCGAGGCGCACCACTGCAAGTGAAACACTTTCCATAACGGCATCAAGCAATGCGCATTTCGATGAACGATGAGGAGAGCGCGCGGCCGGAACGGCGAACATTTACCTTTACAGGCAGGGGAGCAAAGGGGGAGAGAGAGAGAGAGAGAGAGAGAGAGAGAGAGAGAGAGAGAGAGAGAGAGAGAGAGAGAGAGAGAGGAGGAGGAGGAGGAGGGAGAGAGAGAGACGTCGGGGGACGAGAAAAGATGGTCATATCGGGGCGACTCGGGCGACTGTATACTGTGGGGAGGCTTCGCGCGATGTGTCAGAAGGCGTTCGGATCTCCCTCCACCATATGCCCACTGCCAGTGCCTCGCAGTGCCGCATCACATGACACACGGCTCCACCCTCGAGACGGGGCGTGGTGGCGGCGGGCGGCGGGCGGCGCGGGGGGTGTTAGTTCGAGGGTGTCGCCCGGCCGGGAGAAGCGGAAGAGATATGGGCCGCGCTCCACCCTGATAAGAAACCCTCCCCCTCCCTTCTAGTGGTACTCTTGCGGTCGCTTGCGGTGGTGTGTTACAAAGACGACAGAGCTTGTGTGCGGTGTACACTGGACTGGCTGGGCTGGGCTGGGCGGGTACCGGGTTGCCATGAGACCGCGGCGCGCCCGCCGTCCCCGCCGTCGCCGTCCCCGAGGCCACGGGTGGACTCATCATGTCGGCATCCCCCTCCCCTCCCCTCCTTTCCCGGTCCCTCTAGTGTAGGGAACATTCTGGAGCAGGCGCGGCGCGGCGGCCCGACCGGCCCGGCATGGCGACGTATGCGTACGCATTTTCATTACTGAATCGCCCCGGGCCCCGGGGGATGTGAGTGGAGGGAGGGGAAGAATAAACACATGCTGTCGCCGAGATGTTGCGGTTCGGCGTGCCGTCGGCGTGCCGTCGGCGTGCCGTCGGTGTGATCGACCGCGTCGTTGTGGTGACGAATCGGTGTCGCGGCCTTGTCACTCGGCAGCGCGCCAGCCTCGGTCACCCTGTCGCTCTCGCACCCCTACGGAACGCCCCGTGAGTGCGAGGGAGACGGAGTGGCGGAGCGAGAGAGGCGATCTGGCTCCTCGCGGCGACGGCGACGGCGAGCGCCCGGGCCGCAGGCAGCACGCCGTGAACGTGTGTCCGGCGGCACGGCCTACTCCGAGTTCCGCAGGCGCTCCCATTGCCGTCTGCCGTCTCAAGATCTGAGGACGCTGGCGCCGACGCTGGCGGGGAGCCGCACAATCGCAGTTTCGCTTTGTGCTTTGAGTGTGTGTGTGTGTTTATGTCTGTCTGCTTCTCAGTGTGTGTCTGTGCGTCCAATGACGTCCATGCCGTGTCAGTGTGAGCACGTGAGAGAGTGTGTGTGCGGTGTGCGTCCGTGTGCTGTCGGCGCCCGCTTCCGCCGAAAGCGTGTTCCGAATTACCACGCCCTGGCCCTTGCCGCGCTGCCTTGCTCTTGCTGCCGCGCCCTCCCCGAACTCGCCCGGCCAGCCTTGCCCCTGTCCGCGGCGAGGCGCGCGGCCCAAAGCCCCGACCCGACTCGCCCCTCCCTCGCCTCGCCTTGCCGAGACTAAGACTGTTTGTTTGGTTTGCTGCAGGCGGACGGGCGCTCGCACCGCGCGCAGATCGTGCAGTCTGGCGGCGGCGTGGGCCGCAACATCGCGGACGCGCTGGCCCGCCTCGGCACCAAGGCCCTGCTCCTGAGCGCCGTCGGCGACGACCTGGCCGGCCACTTCATTGTCAAGGACACCCTGGCGCACATGGTGAGTCGACGAGGCCCCGCCCGGCCCGGCTGCCAGTTATTCTGGCGGTCTGAACTACGAACTACGTGACTCGGCCCAGCCGGCACACTCTGGCCTGCCAAACCAGCTGACGGGTCGAGAGAGCTCCTGACGGTGTCCTTGCCTTCCTGCAGGACACGACCGGCGTCGAGGTGGTCTCGGGCGGCCGCACCGCCGCCTACAACCTGCTGCTGTCCAGCACCGGGGAGTGCCACACGGGCGCCGGGGACATGGACGTGCACAACTTCATCTCCACCGACATGGTGAGGAGAGGCACCGCCTTGCTGGGGAAAGAATTGCTCTTCCCCTAGATTTTAACTGTGTTTCATCTCAGCCTCTATTTTTCTGATTTCAGGTTGAACAGCATAAAGTATCCTTAGTGTCAAGCTCTCTAGTTGTCTTGGACGGAAATATCCCATCAGAGACTATCCACTACGTTCTGCGGCAGTGCCAGCAGGCTGGGGTATCAGGTATGAAGTCTAAAAAAATTTAACACATTTAGTTAGAAATCGAGATAAGGCACTTTATTGCTTCAGCAAACATCAGTCACATGGTATAGTGATAAAAACTGATAAATTTCATTTAATAGTTTAAACCAAATATATTTAAGTACATTCAAGTACAAAATTGTGCATAATTTGATTATTCAAAAAACATTTGTTCAGACAAATAAACAATGCATAGAAACTTTGAAAAAGGTTACAAATAACATTCTCAAGAAATAAACTGACATGTCAGCTAGTCAATGTTGGTTCATATAAAGATAATTCTTAAACAGAAACCATAAATAATAATTAAAATTTGCAGGTGGAAGATACACCTGTTATAAAATACTAGAAGTAAAGAACTCAAAAGCATTAACTATAGAAGTAAAAAAAGTACAATATGAGTAACAACAAGAATGTTTGGACGGAATACTTGTTTTGTAAAAAGGTAACACATGTCAGAACAGGGTCACTAAAAATATTTCAGACAGAATGCTGAATATAAAAACAATGAGAGAGATTCGCTCCAGTTCTCAGAGTGAAAAAGATCATAAAAATCAAAACTAATTACTAAATGAGTATGATCACAATGACAAAAGCATTATGTCAAATAATTAACTCTTATAACATGTGAAGGCACTTCATGTCCAGATTCCCACAAGCATCAGAACTATTCATAATACATTTTTGTAAAAACACAATGGTAATAGTCCACAGGAAGAAAAGACACACAGTAATACAATAAGGTACCTGTGCCATGATTCAGAAATCTTAAATATCCAGTACATAAATCACAGTGACCAAAGCTGGGTGCATTTGATAAGGCTAAATGAAAATGAGACTGTGAGGGAGAAAATAGTTTTGTGAAGTCTTATCTAAGCCATTGGTCATAAAATCTTAACTATACCACAAAAAGACATGGTAGTGTGTTTAAGGGAGAGATCCTAAGTTATACAAACTTGACAAAGGACACCATGGCAAAGTCAAGGTGCCTCCATGACTTTTGGTCAATCTAAATCATCTATGTAAAATTAAAAAAGATGCTTTGCATCAAAATTTCTAGCAAAAGCTAGATGTTAAGTATTTACTACTATGAAAACAAAATGAGAATACATATTGTGGCAATCAATACAAGAATACCGAGTGGAATGTCTTCTTTGACTTGGCTTCCTTAAAATTCTAGACTGGTTCACATGTACCCATTTCTTGCATGGTCAGGGTACATCTGCATGACAAGGTTACTGTTGGCTCTTCTCTCTTCATAGTACCTGCGAGTTTCCTGTAGGAGGGAAAAAAAGAGAATAAGCGGAGGAAACAGAGTAATCCCATTTATGATAAAGAGAGAATAAAAAACTTACAAAGAAGAGAGCATATGCTGCAAAACCGTGGAAGAAAAATGAAATCACAGCAAATCCGTAAGACCAAGACAGGTAATTGTAGTTGGGGTATTCTAGCCAATCACGACGCCAGCACTGGCCTCCGAAGATGCTAACGGCAAGGAATAAAAAGGCACCTGCAAAGAGAAGTAACATTAATAATTATAGACTTTTTAGAAATAAACAGAGGGCAAATGTTGAAAACAAATGCAGAGTACTTACTTGCTACGGCATTAAACAAGAAGCAAAGACTAGTCAAGAGCCACTCATATCGCAGGACAAACTTTAGAGGCCAACGAATGAGTGTCAGAGCAGCCATAATTTGGGCAGAGAAACTCAACATGAGAGCCAATGTAACAAATGTCTGCACCACCATGAGCCAGCCAGGAATCAGCCATTCACGAATCACATAGTATTCCTGACTGAAGATATGGTGACAGCCATGGAATAAGTGAGGGAACTGGTAGTATGGGTAGCGATAGTTTTCAAAGCAGTACTCCCACAGGCCCATGTGTTTGAAGGGAGAGAATGTTTCCTTGTATGACTGGATCCAGTAAGGCCTGTTAAACAAACACAAGGTTATATGTTAAAACACAGTCCAACTAGGAAAACCTCATTCATTTTGGTTCAACACTCTACTTACCCACAAAAAGCCATGATGAGGAAAATACCAGCACAATACGATAGAACTCCTCCATAGTGCATAGCCCCTGCAATGTCAAAACTTTTTATTTCACATTGATCAAAGTGAGGAACTAGATGCAAATAGTTTGGGTTGGGCAGGTGACACATAGCTTGAACCCTTTCTTCATAGAAAGGAGGAAAATTGCTATAATCTTAATACAACAATGATGGTAATGATTAAGATGTAATCAAAAAATTAACATCCTATTATTTTACAAACATGCATTGTTGTAGGAAAAGGATTAAAAGGCAAAACAAATTGGATCTTTGTTGGTTAGGTAGTCTCTCATCCAAACGGCAAAACTTACGGGAGGCTTTGGGGTACTCCTGCTCCGAATTCACCGACATGATGGTTGATGGGATCGGTACTTGTTCCTTATAAACCAAAAAAACTTCTCAGAATTTGTCAAAGACGTGAGAACATTACATATCCCGGACAATGTTTTGGTTTGATGCTTCAACAAGCTTCACCCCCTCCACATGCGCCGCCACGCCTAGCAAGGCATACCAACCGTAACCTGACAAAGCGCCGGGCTAAAGCTTTAATGTCTGGAGATAAGCTGCTTAAAAATACATCGATCTTGATCGTATTTTATTTATTTCGACTCTTTATAATCCATCTAGAAATGTTATTGTTTCCACCAGTGCGTTACAGCAGTTTGGTTTCGGGATGAAGACGTTGTCTATACTGCTGACTTGCAGGTGGCTCAGGTGCCGCGGTTCTTTTCGAACTGTGGAATGTTTGAGGCCATTGGCCATTGGTGTTCGATCGATTCTTCGTCTGTTTCTCGGGTAAAGCGAATAAGTTTGTGGGCAAATAGTGATGGGAAACATGTTACACTCTGATTTCAAAGATTTGTTTGTCTCTTTATTTGTTTCATATACAGTACAAAAAAAAGTATGATAGACAGTGGACGGCGACAAATACTTCAGATCAAATGGAGCCATAAAGAGAATACTCCATAGTAGCATATTAAGTAGTTATAAAAAGAAATATCTTACAAAACAGCCAATATCAACATTGGTGATCAGAAATAAAATGAAAAAATACATTTCAGCAATGAAGTAAAAAATATTGAAAAAGATCAATCTAATGGAATGATATGCTCTTGAATAATAATAAGATAAAAATTGAAGTTACATGCAAAAGGCATGTGAGACAAGCTCTGAGATGTGATCCAGTCACAACAAACAACTTCATTCAGGCAAAAAAGTTTACTTAGCAAGAATTATAAGGCACTAATCTTATCACTGAAATGAAATTGACAGATCAAAGTGAAAAATCTAGCTGGAGGGAATATATGACCAGATTGCCTTGCATTCACAATTAATTAATAGTACAAACTTAGACATAAAAACAATCTCATCACTAGAGTTGTTAACAACCATAAATACTAACTAACTTTTCCTATCATTCCAAATGAGGACGGAATTAAGAACGACAATTTGTGCATGAAAACATCAAAGAGATTCTAGTACAGTATTTCATTAAAACTAGTCTTTAAGTATGGACGGTAGTCAGTTGATAAACTTTTGCTTACCAAGAGTAATAAAATTGTGCATTTTGAGTTAAGAATGTCTGCATTAATAACATAAATGCCACTACTACATCAAAATTTAAACTTTCTCCTCTTTATGTTTTTAAGAGACTCTTAGTAAAATTGTAACAAATAGTTCATAGAAAAGATCATTCAGTCAAAAATATGAAAAGAATTCAGTGATATGAATCTCTTTTCTAAGGCATCTGAACACAATTTGGTCCATGGCTCAAGAGTGAAACTTTTTCATAAAAAACGGAATGCTACTGTCAAGTAGTAATGGACAACAGGTACTGGTCGAAATAATTCATGGTACATATTGCTACCTGAGTCTCTTGAATACCTATTGTCTTTTTTTAAAAAAAAAAAAACTCCATAAAACTTTACTTCAAATGTGGTACCTGAGTCCTTAAGTTCAGTTAAAATCAATATTCCTCACACATTAAATTAAGCCTTGGTTTCTTGATCCATCTCAAATCTAGTCTGTGACTCCTTGAGATACTTCCTCTTCTTTTTCTGAATGTTGCATTCAACTAGAAACAGGGTTCCAGAAATGAGGTTCATGCAAACCCCAACAACAGCCAATCCAAATGACCATCCAAAGAAGTTGTTCACTTGTCCAGGCATCCAGTTTTTACGATTAGCACAAGATGCAAAAACTATCACGGCTATGGCTCCACATGCACCTGGAATAGAAAAGCAATTAATGCATTGTACTGTTTTAGTTGGGAGGACACATTCTAAGAGGGGTGAAAATACTTTGGTGAGTCATACCTCCACCTAGCAGGAGAAGTCCAATGATCCGTATGAGCTGAACATAGCGTTTTTGATCAGGGCCCGCACACAGGAAGAACACCAGTACTAGTATAAAGTTTATGAGAGTCTCAATGAAAGTCAGAGTGAAGAAAAATTGTGTGGCAACCATGAATGCTGGTGGAAAATAAAATAAAATTAGTCAATGGTAGTTAATAGAACATTTGTACACCAGAGAGATTGAACGTAGCTTACGAGGAATGAGGTAACCTCGAATCTGGTCATATCCTGTAGTGAAGGGATCGTAAATCCAGCGGCAGCCAACAAAGAAGCGCCTCTGGTACTCATCTTGAGGATCAGGGAGGGATCGGAAACAATGAGTCCATAATCCCAATCGATTCAATTTTGCTCCTGTTATTCTGTAATCACTGACCTGAAAAAGAAATTGTCACCATGAAAGCATACAAAAGCAATCAGCACAGTATCCAAAGCAGAAAACTTTTTCTTACCAGCCAGCTAGGTGAGCAGAATGCAACCACTATAGCCACACATGCTATAACAAACACTCCAATGGCGCAGTTCCCTGACAAACTCCGTCTCTTCGGCATTTTAAAGACTATGGAATAGCTTTACGCAGAACCTGCAACAAAATTTTAAAAAATAATTAACACATTTATGAAGTGAAATTAAGCATGTGAATCTGTAGATGCCAGGCCAGTCCAATGACAACAGAAATTATTGACGGCAACTAATGGCCAGTGACACAATCCATTAGTCACCACTTATCAGAACGGCTCACCGGCCGACGCAACCCTGGCGCTGCGTGCGTGACTGCCGAGTCGTTCGCTAGCCCTGCTTCTCGGGGTGCAGTCATTCGCACCTTTCACAATTCGTGCAGGTGTTAAACAGCCAGCGCCGTGTCTACGGTCTACAGCAACACACCCAGTCCTAACCCCAAGTCCCCCGCAAGGCCAACTTTCCCCGCTCGCTCAAAATCGAGCGGCCTTCCCTGCGAAATAACTGCCACCCCAGGCTCAGGGGAATTCCTCCCACTGACAGACACGTCGCAGAACGCAGTGGACGAACCGAGAGAGCAGGGGACCCGTAAAATAAGCTATTTATTTACCTCCTGGACGACGCCCATGAGTCAAAAACAACACGCAGCGCCCTCGCGCGGCATTCTCGCGAAGCTCGACGCTAACAAACGGGACAGGCTGGCCAACCGCAGGGAAGGTTGCGCCGCTTTTTGAGCGGCGACCCTTCGCCGCGGAGCCGCTAATTGTCGTCGCTGCCGACAAAGTCACGATTCGAATCGAAGCCCCAGGGCCCCCGATCGGCAGGGAAGGCCCCCACAGCGCTCTGAGGAAACGGCGGCAACCCGAACCGCGGGCACCGGACGCACCGGACACTCGAGCGCGGTGGCGAGCCTGGCGTCACCTCAGCGTGGGAAAACGCAAAAGGCACGGTGATTGTGACATTTCTGGGCTGCGTCCGGGGCGACGGTTTCCGACACGTATGCGCCGTCAAGGCGATGGCGGAGGCGGCGGGCGCGTTTTCGGAAGCCTCCCAATAGAGCAGACGAATCCTCCTTCATCCTTTCCATCGCAGCCGACTTGCGTGCAGCAAATCTGCCAAGCCTGCAGGCCGACTCCGAGCAGAGCTCTGTCCCTTTCTCACTGATTGGGCGTGCCGGAGGGGTGCGAGAGAGACAGCGCCGCGAAACCGCCGTCGTAAATCCACCTGCTCGTCTCCCATGCTCGCTCCCATGAGTCACATCAGCGCTTCGACAGACTGCGGTTATTATGTCACTCCAGTCCTAGCATGACAGAGGATAGGGAATCCAGGAAATCCGGACTTCGTCTCAAAACACGGTTACCTCGGTGCGAAATCCAACGGCCTGCGACTGTGGAGCACTAGTGCACTGGCGATGTGTCACTCTCGGTTTCGCCTTGTTTTGGCGCGACGCGGCACTGGCACACTGACACACACGCGCGAAGCGCGAAGCGAACGCGGAGCTAACGCGGAGCTGAGCGGCCGTCGCGGACGCGCTCGGACTACTGCGCTGGCCTTCCCCGAGGACCTCACCCGCGCCGGCGGGCTGGCGGGACGGCGGCGCGCGCGGCGTACAGTCGGAGCGCAGTAACCCCTTCTGCAGCGCGCCCCCACGCCGCAGGGCCCCAGGCCGCTGGCAGGTCCAAAGTTAGGCCACGCCGGCCCCTCGGCCGCGCACCGCGACGGACTGGCGGACGCACCCACGCAGCGAGTCCAGCGACACAATGCAGCCAGGTTCTCTTCCCATGAGACGCGCGGCCAGGTTGTTGTTTCCCTGCTGTTGTTGTTGTTGCTGTTGTTGACGCGTCTCGCGACAAACACGCATACAGGTCGTTTATCAAGTGGCGCCGCGCGTAACCTTCCACCCACTCCCTAAAAGTACCCGAGGATTTCGGCACTGTCAAGTTTAAATTGTAGACAAATCGTTCTCGCCTTTTGTCAGAGTCTCTCTCAATTTCTGTCGATCTGCGACACATTTTTGGTGCTTGCTCTCACTTTGAAAAATATAAAATTATTATTCGTAGTTTCATTTATTTTTTTTTCGCGAAAAAATCCTGTTTTCACGATTTTTGGGCGGATTGTCCAGCTCCGCGGCACTAGGCCAGTCTTCCAGAGCGTTTCACGGCTTTGGCACAGGTTGGGCTCCGGGAGAGTCTATGGTCGCGCACTGCCGCCGCACCTTGGCATTGTATGCGCCGCGTGCCGCGTGTGACCGCGGCACCATGCAGCACGCAGGGCACGCCGACGGGCACGCAGCCTCAGCAGACCGATTCCGAGGGTCGTTTTCGTCGCTCTGTCTCCCTCGCACCTACTGGGTGCGCCCCATGACTACGAGAGAGACAGAGCGACGAAAGCGACTCTCGGAATCGGTCTGCTGGGCGACGCGACGGCCAAGCGACAGCGCGGGGCGCCTCCCGTGCCCGTAAAAGGAGTACAAGGGCTTGGCCCACCCGGCCGTCGTCGCTCTGTCTCCCTCGCACCCCTAGGAGAAGGTCTACTGGTGCGAGAGAGAGACAGCGTGCTCTGGTAAATCGGCGCCAAGGCCGTGTCCTTGCCTCACAGCGGCGGCGCGATAGGGCTTGTCGCGGTGGTTCCCGCCACCGGGGGAAGTCCCTCGTCCTTGCGAGACTGGCGCGACCGGCCGACCCCGGGTTCGAATCCCACCGGGCGCGGCCTTTATTTCTAGTGCATTCCGCGGCCGGGGCGAGGCTGCGAGGCTGCGAGGCGAGGCAGCGCACCCTCGCGTCGTCGTTGGGATGCACCGCGAGCACCGCCAGCTGCCAGAGTGTTGCCCACAGTGCAGACAAGGCCTGACAGACCGGCAACCGGCACGGCCTCGACGCGCCGCCGCGTTCGTTCACAACCGCCTCTTTCTGAAGGTGCACTCCATCGCTCTGTCTGCCTCGCATCCCGACGGGCCGCCCCGCGAGTGCGAGAGAGACAGAGCGGCGGAACAATCCTTTGGAATTAGTAGCTGTTCGCTGCATTCGTGCGTGCGTATTCAAAGCAGCAGTGGTGTCGTCGCTCTGTCTCTCTCGCACTCGTGGGACGTTCCCTTGGGGTGCGAGAAGGACAGCGACGAAACAATCTATGCGGACCTGTGCAGTGCGACTGGTTCGGTTCCCAGGGTCTTAGATAAGGTGTGCGAGCAGGGGCAGGCCCGTCGCTTTGGACTCTCGTTTACTGGACTGCAGCGGCCGCCTGGAGGGCAGGACACCCGTCGGGCATCCGTCACTCTGTCACGGCGCGTCCGGACAGCGACGAAGCTGCCATTCGGCCAATTCCACCGCGCGACGGTCGTTGTCTTCCGTCTGGGAAACCGAGTGGCAAACCCGAAACGAAAAGTGATGTGGCGGCGGGGGCGGGGCGGGGCGTGCGAACGCTTTGGCAGTGACCTTGTTTTCCACGCGCCGGAGCGGGGGCGGCCGCGGCCGCCGGGGCCCTGGCTGACAAGGGACAAACGAGGTGCAAATCACGACTCGTCTCGACAGTCCTGACCACCTCGGCACGGCTGGCACGGCTGCGGAGCCACAAACGACAACGCATCTGGGGCACTGCCTTTCTACTCTCGAGCTCAGCTTGAGTGGCTTGCGGTTTTACTCCAGAAATGAAAGTCATGCATCGAATTCTATTCTTTATTCACATAAGGCACTTTGACAATACAATCAAGCTTGTTTCATTATGTATGTATGAACTGGAGGGAAAAGTTCACCTGAGTCTACACAAAATGTAGTGACATTGTGAAAAGTCACCCAGTCAAAAGACATACAATAGGAAGTCACAGTTCTAATCTTGTGCAGGGTTTCAGAGAGAACATCAAATAATGGATGGAATGTAAGGCAATGAAATACAAGGTAGAAAAATAATGCTGTTATGGAAGCTTTGTGCTCAATACAAACAACCTTCTGGATGTACTATTCTGTTCACATAAAATTCTGAAACAGTTGCTAAAGATCTCTAAAATCACTTGGAATACTGACAACTCAATACATGCTACTGAAAAAAAAGAAAGAATACTGGTATACCAGCTCGATTAAAATATCAAATTCATATTGCTGTAGAATCCAGTAATAGACATTGGATACAACTACAATAAATATAGACCATGTAGCAAAAATTTTAACACTTAAAACACTTAAACAAATGAAATGAAGATGGAATTCATAAAAAATAGGTAACAAACTTACACTATGAGAAAAAGAATGGACATTGTGCAATAAGCAATACTCCAATGAAGGTCCTTTAACCTTCTTTGAACAGTTTAATGAGTTGAATAAGTTTCACAAATAGTAAGTACTGTGCTTACCATACTGATAGGTATGAGATTTGAAAAATATGCTATCAAGATGACAGTAAAAACATCGAACAAGGCTGAAAAAAATTGGCAGTCGTGGCGGTTGAGATTCACAATAAAATAAATACCTTGATTAATACAAATGACATAAAAAATCAATACTAAGATATCAGAATCTTGACTCAGATCAATCTGAACTAATAAAATGTGTCAAAGAGGGTAATGTGAACTAATAAAATGATCAAAATGGAAAAAGACAACAAATTCAATCACAACTGGTAACATTCACATGCAAAATATTCTTAAACATAAGGTTGCTTTTCTGGACAAGCATATAAAAATCTTTTCTTCCTCTTGTTACAATTTTGGAATGGGCTAAGGTAAAAATATCACTTTTCTTTAGAATTTCAAAATGGACGGATTACATTACACAAAAATCTGGACAGATTTAATCTTACAAAAAAATTATTATCTTCTAAATAAAATAGATTTAAAATTCAATATAGATCTTAACTGAGAACATAGAATACATACATTACAGCTGTGCTAGATTATCAAGTCATTAAAATACTTTTCACCCTAAAATCTCACAGAGTGATTTATCTTTTTCTTGAAAATTCTACAAAATACTTTACAGGTCAAGAGTGTCTTCCCAATTATTTTTAACTCCGTAACACACTTTGACAACTCTGCTATCTTACAAGGTGCCATGTGTCTGTTAGATGGTATCAATATGGAAAGAAAAAAATATTTGACACCTGTTCAACAAGTGAGCAACTTTACATATTGCTGAGTACTCATATAGTTGTTTGTGATGCAGTTTTTCTGGTCTCCATGTGATAACCTCCTTCGGACTCATCTGCCCTCTTGCGCTTCTTATTGATCACCCTCCCTTCAATGAGGTACAGGGCCCCAGAGATGTAAAGGAAAAGTGTACCCAGTACAGCCAGAGCGTAAGACCAGGAGATGTCATTGTGCTCCCAATTTGGCATCCAAAATCGGCTGTCACCCAAGGCTCCAAAGATGATGACAGCAATTGTTCCAGACACGGCTGAAAAGAGGAAATGGTTTGTCAAGTAACTTAAGTATAGCATTATTGAACAGGAACAAAAACAAAAATAAAAAATAGTACCTGCGATGACTAGGCAGCTTCCTATCACCAGTAGCAAAAGGACATATCGAGAGTGCTCCTTATGACAACAGACATACAAAGCAACCAAGAAGGTTGATATGAGCAGTAGGGTGAAACAGAGAGTGAAGAAAAATTGGGTGGCTACAAAGAATCCTGGAACCAAACTCGAAATAATGAGAAATGCTAGTAAGTAAAACGAAAGCACAACATTCTAAACTATGGAAAGAACCATTACCTGGCAAGAGAATGTCATGGATGATATAATATTCCTCTTCGAACACCCACCAGCAGGAATAGAACTTTGTGTCATAATAATGGCGAGGATCTTCAAAATCTTTGAAGCATACTTGCCACAAGCCTGCAATCGAAAACATCATTTAGATTAAGTATTACAATCAGGTTTAAGGGGGAAGAAAATCTTCAAAACAGTCACAAACTGTCAAGATTGACTGATAGTAGAAATGTCAGTTTCAACTGATGATTGGGCGACTGATAGAACGTGAAAGGTCTCCAGGTTTACATTAAATAATTGCCTCATATGTTGCCCCGTGTTTTAAAACACTATCCATAAAATTATTTAAAGATTTCGGTTGATTAGAGAGCAAAACAACACAAGAGGCCACGCCTCGTTCAACAAGTAGGTTATGGTACGCTATGTGACTCATTCTTACCTATCCTTATAAATTTGGGCCTTTCTAACTGGCCATCAGTTTCAAGCCAGCACGGCGTGACGAAAGCAATAAGGACGAAAACAAACGCAACAACTGCACACCCTGTTGCGATTAGTCCAGTTCTTGACTTGGACCCCATGTTTATGTTTTCGTTTACTTGGCTTGCATTCGTGCACTTGTGTACCGAAAGCCAGAGGCGGCCAGAGGCGGATCCCGTCGTTCCCCGCTTCCCACAATGCAATGGGGCGTCTCTTGGCTAGGGCTGTAGAAGCGCCTCCGACGGGGCAACAGGTGAAAATTTCAGCTTTGACTGCATTAATCCGAAGAGTTTCTATGGGGTTTTGGGTTATTTCGGTCAGGACTTGTACACTTTCAATTTCCCCTCTTGATTTACAAATTTACTGGCTGTTGTGGGTGTTAATTTTCGACAGCTCTAGCGTCACTTGAAAGCAGTTGGCGCCATACATTCAAAGCGGAGAAATAACTGTTTATCAGTTAATTAATTTTTATTTTCTTTCTCTTTTGTAGTCTGGTTCGAACCTACCGACATCCACAAAGCAGCCAAACCATTTCAATCTGACAGCTGGAAAATGATTGATGTCCTGTCGCCGAATTTCAATGAACTTGTGATAATGTGCAAAGCTGCAGGTAATAACAGCAATTTCTTGTTAATTCAATTACTTTTCTGATTTAAATAAAATCTGTGTTTAAACTTAAAAATAACATGTTTCTTAAATTTTGAAGGTATGCCTGAAACTTCTGTACCAAATGCATCAGAACTTTCAGATGAAGAAGTTGTAGACAAAGCAAAAGACATGGCCTTATTTCTAGGAAAGCACATTAAGATAGTAATTGCAACACTTGGGCATCGAGGCGTTGTGGTAAGTGTATCAAACCTAGACTTCGCATGGGCCTCTCCACATTAAGGCTTAAGAATTAAACCTTAATTAAAATTACAGATTTGTCGAAGAGGAACTGCTGACCAGCCAATCTTCAGTGTCGGATCGGATGGATGCAGCAGACAACTTTTAGCCCCCACAATTACTCATCCACAAGTGCGCTTCTACCCTGCACCCTCATGCCAGCCTGTCCCTGTCAGTGTTTCTGGTGCTGGTGACTGGTATGTTCGATCGATTATTTTTTACATCAAGTGAATGCGCTCTTCATGATTGCCTATTGACTCATTTTGATTTTGTTTTCTGGACCAACAGTTGGAATGCGGGTTTCATATTTGCTGCTCTCCGAGGAAATGCGGAAAGTGTTTGCATCACAGCTGGCTTCAACGCAGCGCTTTGTTCCTTGGCTGTCGCATCTGCTGTGCCAACTAATATTAATGTAAATAAAAATGTAAATTGAAAGTACCTGTCAACAAACATTCTGAAATAATCTCAAACCAAGCTCTTATTATGTAATAAACAATTTTGTACTTCAAAGAATACCAATTGCTTTTGTAATTTTTCACTGGCCCTACCAGAACACACAATGTATGGAAAATGAATTCAAGTAATTTTGATTGTGGTCAGAAAAACTTCCCGAAAAATCGAAGACAAACCTCGAGCCAGTGCCGCAGAGGTAGGCCACCCCTCGTGCACCCCGGCCCGCATCGCAATAATTCCAGTTTTTTGCCTGAAATAGACTGTTTAGGGCCTATATGGTCCCCGAAATAGTGTCAGGGATGATGAGGGAGTGCCACAGCACAACATACCCCAATTTGGGTCATTTTTAATTTTTTTGACCAAAACGTGAAAAATCCATGATGGGTGGCCTACCTTCGCAGCGCTATTGTTCGGAGGGGTGCAGGGCGCAAAACGCTTCCCCTTAAAGACTCAACCCAGAGGCATAAATCCTTGCCTAGAGCTAGTAGAGCTGATGCAAGATTTCGCTAGACCACAAACATTCTCAGTCTTTGCAAATTATGGTGATAGGCAGGATTAAATAAACACTGTGCGTCATTTTGGAAAATATTTATTGACAATAAAGCCCACAAGCATAAAACCTTAAATGTTGCCCGTTTTGCAGATAGTAACAAGTAAAGATCAACAAGGAAAAAACCCTCACTAAACAATGATCAAGGCTTTCTACAGCATAAAGTATTCTGACAGAAAAAAATAAACAGGAAAACAAGAAGAACCAATAAAGTTGGATAACATGTACGAATTTTAGAAATTAACTTTCTTGAAGGAATGTACAATTTATGTTCCATATCAATGCCTCCCCCTCCTGCCCCCTTCCACACACACACAAACAGACTTACAGTCCCAAGCAAACACACTGGTTATCAACACAACTTCTTTAGCTATAGCACAAAAAGATAACTTATTCTCTATGCACTATTGTACTGTTCAAATACATGGACACACAATAACTACATTTCTTTGGTTCAACTTAAACTTAGAAACATAAGGGACACTAATCAATCGATTAGGAAAATTTATCACACAATCATTTTAAAATAATACAGGATGTATATAAAATCATCATGGTACTTTAGTATAATTTTTGTAGAAGCTACACAAGCAAGCATGATGCAGTGGAATTTTACCAGCTAAGTATCAAGTGTTAACGGCGAGTGAAAAGCCAGACACCCAATTTTTCTTTCCATGGAAAGTAACTATATTTAACTTTCAGAGTGCTTATTTTATTCCCAATAAGCATTCGAAGTAGTAAATTTAGAGTCGAAAGACTGTAGAGTAGTTTACTAGGTTTAATATGTATACATCAAGGAAAACACTATCAAGCTCTGGCTTCCTATAAGTACTTAAATCACAAAGGCTTCATTACCAGATTACAATGACAGTCAGAATTCAAAGCTATTTATAAATAAAATATATTTAGAACGAATGAGATGGCAAAATTCACATGAAGTGTACCAACAAATAAACTAAAGTATGAAAAGAATTATAAGAGGGATGTCACTGGGCAGTTCTCTCACTTAATTAGGACTGCAGGAAACTTCTTTCATTTAAGTACACACATCTTCCTCTCAAAAACCAAAAAGAAAAAAAGCCTCCCATTACACAACGGAATTTCATATGGATACTTACATTTAAATTGCATAAAAGAAAAAAGGCTGAAGCCTCCATTATCACAGGGTAAGATAAATTTTCCACTCGGAACAGTACTGTACGACAGTTTGTGCATGAATAGGGTATGCACAATCATCACCAGACAATAAATGCAATGTATAGAATAAATTCATGGAACATCATCATAAGCAAAATTCTTAGGAATGTGAAGTATTTCCTTCTCTATTTTTGGAACAGCTGACTAGACACCATATTTTATTATTTAAGAATAAGGAAAATTAGAGCGAAATCTAATCAGTTCTAGGATAATTGATTCATACGTACAATATTTACAGTAAGAAGCGTCTTCTTAAACATTCATATGGAGTTCCACTTTTACGGTCAAAAGTACAGCACGTGTAACAATAGAAGCAAAATAAGACAAACTTGTACTAGTCAAGAAATTTCTGAGGACAAGGCATGAAAAGCATGCCAAAAGGCTGTTGCACAAAGTGCGTTCAATTGGCACATTTGTGAGATATCGGAGCCATAATAGATTGCAATAGCAATTTTCCAGACTATGAAAACAAATGCACTCTCACAGAAGGGGAAAACCAAATAAGATGTCTGTCTGAAAAAAAATTTTCATCCATCTACAGCAAAACATACACTAGAGGGACAATGAAACCTCATAGTTTATCATAAAACATAACTAAAACATATATATGCACACAAATAATATTGCCTTGAATGGCACAATGACTAGAAGTGGTCGTGCATAATGATGTGATGCCACCTTATACATAAAACATAACTCGATACGCTGATAAAAAAAATCAAGTATTTTCCACTACAGGGGCTTTCAGGATAGTAGGTTCATCCTTTAAAAATGTCCCTGATCGAGGCCCCACAGTGGGATGCACTGTACTAGCTAAGCTACTAGTCCCATTAGTTTTATCAGTTTTCTTAGATTTTGAACTTTTGTTTTCACTGTTATTAATGTTACTTCCTCTCGAGGATAACACTCTTCCTGCTAATGAAGAAGTAGAAACACTTGAACTGCCTGTGCTAGCACGCTTAGAAGGGACAGAGACGTTGCGGGGTTGGTCTTTACTGCTCTGTTTTTTAGAGGACAAACCCTCTGCAGAGACATTGGCTTTTACCTGCCCCTTATCAGGAACGGAAGATACAGATTTTGATGTTCGAAGAGGAATTGCTAGGCGGCTGGAGGCATTTGACAAAATTGGAGATTTAACATTATGGGACAGACTCCTTTTTGTCATGAGCGACAATGGTGTCCTGGAAGTTCCAATAGTATTACTGTCTGGAGTTCTTGATTTTGATGTAAGAGTTTTATTTTGTGCATTTAATGATAAAGCCCTTTTATTAGCCAAGATGAGAGGTGTTCTTGAAAGGTTTGCATCACTTTTCTTTAATCCATTAGTATGCACCTGGGAAGAACTATTCAGCAACAATTTGGAACTCTTGGTTTCCTGACTCTTTTCAGAATAAGTCAAATGAACATCATCAGAAGATGATACTGTAGCTAAAGAATCATTGGACATTGTTATGCTTTGTGAACGTGTGTCAAGAGTCAATGGAGTTTGACTGTCAGCACCATCCTGCTTTGCTTGGAGAGGATTTTCTGGAGACACGGAATCCTTCACTTTTCTGGCAGCAAGAGGTGTCTTTATGGATTCAGTCATAGAGAGAGCTTTGTCATTCGTGGGTAACGAACGCCTGGCTATGTTGTCAGTGCTTCTTGAGATACCATCTTCTTTCCAGTTTGTTACATCAAGGCGAGAAGCGGAGGAGTTGCAAACAGTTACAGTGGCAGCCCTGGTTCTGGAAGACGAATCAGTAACTTTTGAAATGGATGAAATCATGTTGTTAGATCTCTTCATGGCTGGTGATGAGTTTCTAGAGGAGTCTGATGAAGATAAAAGCATGCTTTTGACAGGAGGTGGCACTCGCCTCTGCGGTACTGGAGCATCCACCCGCTTTTTATGCTCTTGGATATCTATAGATTGCTTGCAATGGTTGGGACGCTTTTCTAAGTACCTAGACTTAACTTGAGCCTACAACAGAAAATGCATTAAGTTAAAACCTATGAATTAAATACACATGTGAGGAACAATTATATTGGAAAGAGATGGTTACCGGCCAGGTAATTGGTCGTCCTTGAGATGGAGCCGAAGTTGATTTCTCAGCTTGTTTAGGCTTGTTGGTGGCAACTGGAGCACTTCTTCGAGCCACTGTGTTAGACCGGTTTGAAGGAATATTTTTCCGAACTACAACCGAGCTTGCAGCATTGGTATCATTACTATTAGTCCGTCGAGCATGCTGTGCCATGGCCATTTTAACTTGATGCAGGTCTAAGTTACGAGAATAACTGCTTTGTTGACCAGTCTGCTTCAAACCGTCACTACTAATCCTCTGTAGAAAAAGAACAAACCAAGATTGTTATTAGTTTTTATTAATGTACCAATACTACACCCCACTGCCACGCATTGCAACTTAGGGGATGCAGCTGTGACTGCCTTGCCACTTTAGTAGCAACCAACCAACCAACCTTATAACGAGAGCTTGCATGGTCAGCAGGAGCTAACACCAGACAGGCTGCATCTTGGATCTTGCGTCGCAGCTCAGTAGGCATCTGACCCCACCCTGGAGTGCGTGCGGCTCGAGCAGCTTGCCTTATCAATGTACGTTCAGAGAGATCATGCAAATGAACCAACAGTTCCACAAAGTTCTGTAAGGATATTGAAGAATTTTAGCATCAGTACTACAGTATTTTTAAAACTTGCTCTTGGTTTCAAAAAAAGATTGCATTTATACTCACAGGGTGCCATGTCATTTCAGGAGGAGGGTCTGACCCTTGAACAACTTCAAGTACACTGTGAAGTTGTTTATATGAACGGCATGATTGATCAGGAGGCATGCGTTCACATGCAGAAACAAGACTTTCTTGGAATCTTCCAACATTCCATGGTACCTCTTTCCCCATTGAAAGGAAACTGACACAAAGAATTAAAGTATTATTATAATAATACTATAGTATTGGATTGAAGGATGGAAAGACACAACTATCCAGAAACACAATTTAGGAATCCTGAATACTTACTTTTCAGAAGACATCACAGCAGAAAAGTTGTCAGACATAAATTTGATGCACATCTCCATTAGTCTTGATGTTAGAGAAAAGACAGGTTCAGCCCATCGAACTGTTGGTATAGTTGAAAGAAGTTTATCACAACATAGAATGGTTTCAAGTACATTTTCTGCAGTCTGAAAAGTCAACATTAATATTGAATTATCAAATGGAAAAGGTAGATTTGAGGGAAATCATAATTTTCTTGATTTTAATTGATTATTTGATTTACCATATGTATAATATGTTGCTGGTAACATTTTTCCATGAGCTCACGTGGTAAGGCTGTGAATGTTTTAGTGGGCCAAATACGAACAAAATACTTTGTAATCCACCGCAGACTCTTCCGATATATGTCATCTAAACCGTAGGCTGCAGCCAAAGGTAAACATTCCAACACCCCAACAGAGCACACAGCACATGGCTGGAAAGGAAGAAATAGAAAAATTAGCAGTATTGTAAAAATTAGTTATTTCTCAAAGAAGGATCATTAAAATTTACCTTGTGGAAAAAATGACAGTATTTTACTTTTAAAGTGTACATAATTACATCTTTCAAACCTTCAAGGGAAAGCATATCAGCTAAACTAGCTAATTCAACAATGCTGATCTGATCAGGAATAGTGCTTGCTCCACTGTAGATGTGACATAGTGCAAAGTGTACTACAGTGTAAGAAAACCTTTGAACAGAACAGGAAGGAGTGTTACCAGATTGGACTTTTAACAACAAGACAAGATAAATTTCTTGAGAAAGAAACTGTACCCTTGTAGTGAGATTACATTGCCAGCGCTCTCAACCCATCCACCACTTAGAACAGCAGCAAAGTACTGGCAACGTGAACTTAAAATACATTTGTGGGCTTTTATTCTTCTTCCTCCCACTTCCACTATCACATCAGTGTTGATTCCCTCTAGGAACATCTTCAGTAAATCATCACCCAATTGAGTAGCAGGAGATGCTCTGTCAGATGATATATCTGTTGACTCAGTGCTGTATTCTGGATAAAAGAGAATTTAAAATAAGAGTTAAAATCGTCCTCAAATGGCCAACAAAAGCACTAAAACTTCACTTTTTCAATGAGTCTGTACCTAATCCTGCACTGCTCTGCATGCTACTTAAGTCCGATACTTGTGATGACCGCATTGTATCATAATCTTCTGTAAATGGACTACAGGTGCTTGAAGTTTTACTACGTCCCAAATTACCACTATGCATTGATAAGTGAGGGAACAAACGAGACAAAGAACGACTTGAACTGGTCATGGCTGCAGATCCTCCTCCCACAGACTGAGACATTAACAATTTACTCTCAATCCATGATGTCTCAGGAATACTTCGGCTCATTCTGTGAGCAGCTGATGGGGCAGTCTGGTCAGAAATGTTGGTGGGCTCCTTATCTAAATCTGAAAGACGAACAAAACTTTTGGCTGTCTTGCTTTCCAGCTTGAGTTTGGTTTCAGGTTTTGAGGAAATTCCTGCTTTTGATGAACTCTTAAACTTTTCAGAAGGTCTCGGCAAGGATTTATGATCGGTTTCTCGAGATTGTTCCTCACTGACCATTCCATCATTACCAGTTTTGAACTGGAAATCGTCTCTTTTCTCAGAGGAATAATTATCAGTTGCAGAAGATTGGTCAGGCGTATGGACAGAGTAAGTTTCTAGAGAGCATGCTGACGATTCATTGGAACCTGTAGTCATGTGACTAGATAAATCCGATTCACCAATTTCTTCTTGACTTTTCTGCATTCTTCCTTCAAGAGGTTCTTCTATGCGTAATGATGCATGAAATGATGCAAACATTGGTTTCACAGCAGGGTCATCATTTTCACTGTTTATTTCAACACTATGTAAAGATTGAGAGTTCAAATTTCTTGAAGATGACAGAAAGCTGGGTACATTTTTTTCACAAGAGACACTGCTTGCTCTCACATGATGGATTCTAGAAGTGGTTCTTTCTTTGCTGTTATTAGTGCTTTGCATCGCAGCTCCCTTGCTGGAAGTAGGACCTTTCTGGTTTCCTGACTCAGAATCGATAAACATGAAGAAGCTATTCTTTTTGGGATCACTATTTTGAATTGATGATGAAGATAAAGAGTGTGAAAACGAGCTTATGCCATCTTTCGGTTCACTGGACTTACCATTTGATCCATCAGATGCAGCTCCTGAACCAGTTTTCAATTTGGTAGAGAAAGAGGAAAGAGGAGTTCTTGACCTTGATGACAACTCTGGTTTTGTTTTGGGGCGACCTTTGTCACCAATGTCAATGAACATGGAAAACAGTTTCTTCTCAGTACCTTGTGCTGTTTCGGGTTTAGCTGATTCCTTCTGAGGAGCAGATGAATGTTTCAGATCAACAAAAAACTCACATGCATTAAGTTTCCCATTTTTTCCAGAATCTGAAGACTGTCTAGAGATTTTGCTTCCCTCACTCTTCGGTATTCTGTCATATTTGTCTTCGAGAGAAGGTTGTGGATCTTTTAAGTCAATAAAGAAGCCCAAGCTTGAAGAAGAGCTTTTGGTTTCGGAAGCACTCAGTTCGTCTTTAAGTTCTGAAACTGATGTGTCCAGAGAGGAGTCTCCTTTCCTTCTCCGCACTTCAGGGGAGTTTGTCAAGTCACTGATATCAACAACCCATGCAGATAAAACTGAACTAGTCAGAGGGTTTTTCACATTTCTTTCAGAGGGAGTTTTGACTGGAGACAATGGAGGAGCTGCCCCAGAGAGAATAGGAGCACTATCTGTTTTCCTTCTAGAAAACAGAGGACTTGAGACATCACTCTTTATATGAGACACAAAGTCGGGAGGCAGGCTTCCCACACCAGTCTGAGTCACTACACCATCAACGCCATCCTCCTTTGGTGACTGAGCCCCTTCATCTTCTGATTTACTTATGTTAAATCTGTCCATGTTCAGAGCTCCTGGAAGATCATTGTTGAGAGAATCTGGAGTCTGAATTTCTTCATCAACCACATGTGTTGGAAATAATGACATGCTTGCCATTGCCAGAGTGGGGTCCAGATCTGGGAGGATTAATGAAGTACAGTGCTGGTTGAGATCATGTTCTGACCCACCATCAGAAAGAGGACCTGAGCTCTGAGACAAACATCTCTGAAAAATCAAGCTTCCTTGTCTACGCTCATAATCCTGCCTGAGAATTGCGAGTCTTTCATCCTCAGTTTCTAATTCAAATGTATCACTGCGGATTAATGATGGTGGTTTATCATCTTTTACAGATTCTTGGCATGACTGCAATCTTCTAGTCTTAACTACATTCTCAACAACTGAATCGTTTTCACATGTTTCCTCCGTGTTTTTCTCCATGTTTAAGTCACTATCTTCCTCTTCACAGGTGACCTTTTCTTTTATTTGTGACAGGCTTGAAACACCACTTATTTTATTAAAAGTCATCCATTTTTCTGTTATTCCAGTTTCTGACATCACACAGGCATCAACAACTTGGCGAGTGGGTGCAGATTTACTTCCATCAGAATCCAGCTCTGCTTTAGAGGTGGCAATCTCACTTTCATCGAGTAGGCTCGAAGCATCTATGAAAAAACAATGTTTGGGAGTACTTGTAACACCAACTGCTGCAAAACTATCCACACAACTTGAGGCAGGAATCGAGTTTTGACTCTTGCCAACAAGTTCCTCCAGGACACGATCCACAAAATCTGATTGAACATTTGTATTATCAGGATGAGGCGCCTGGTCCACCCATGAAGCCACATCAGTGGTCTGAGGGGCACCAGACGAGTCCCAAACACAACAATCTGATGAAACGGATGAGGAAATGGATTTAGACACTTCCAAACCACTTTCTTGATCAAGGGGGATATCCTCTGCACTTGTAGCTAGACCAGAGTCTGGCCCCATATCCATATTTGAACTCATTTTACTCTGATCTGATACAACCTTAAGAATGTCAGCTAGACCTTCATTGTATAGGCTGGAAGAATCTTCAGCATCAAAAAATCCACATTCATCACAGGAAATGTCCAATTCCTTGTTGACACGGTGAATTACACTGCATTTTATTTTTTTTGACTTTGATTCCAAGAAATGATTGTTTATAATGATTGAATTTTCATATGAACCAAGAATATCTTCTTCTTGAAGAAATAGGCTATCTTCTTCCACAGCTCTCTTCAGATCCAATAAGCTTCTGGAATCTTGTTGCTTATTGTATGTTTTAAAATTAAGAGATGAAGATTTTTGTGGTCTTAATTTTTTCTGGTTTTGTTCTTTGCGTAATATTGAACAGAAAGATTCAATCAGAAAGTCCTGTTCCGCCAATTCTTCCTCCCAATCAAGAGGTACAATTGAATAATAAGAATGGTCAGGATTTAAGACAAGACTCTTTTCTTCATTAAAAATCTCTGAAGGCGAAGTTAAAGGAGTAGAATATTGGTCGATATCAGGACTTATTGCAGTACTTTTCAGACTTTCCACAAGAAGAGCCTCTGCTGAGCTAATATCGTCACATTCATAAACATCTCTGAAAGAAAAGGAATGTAACATTAGCTTTGTTCTGAAACATGATGAAACAGCCATGATCCATACATGCAAAATTGACCATTATACCTTAGAAAATTTTCAATTGTTTTGACAGTTGTAATATCAAGATCACATCCTTTTGAAAACAGCTGCTGAAGGGAGCACAGCTGCGCATAAAAGGACTTTGCACGTACTTCCAGCAAACAACAGTTTACGTGTAATGAAGTTTTACCAAAAACTAATTCCAAATCACAAAATAGGGAATCACCATAAATCCTGTAAACATTTTTCTTCTGTGATTTTGCTAGTAATTAAAGTAAGTACAAGTAAATTCCTTCAAAAAAAGGCAGCAAAGTTCTGGTCAGAGGGTATAATTAAAACACAGAAATTGTATAGCTTGTGGCGCATTACCTGGCAATATCCTGTTTCAACCCTTTTTGAAGCTTCAAAGTCAGCTTATTAAACTCAACATCACAGAGCTGCTGAAGATCATGCGCAGCCATTAGTCATGCTAACCATGTCCACTCTGAAACAGAGATAAAGAGACTGCTTTAGATGAGGGAAGTTTCCAAAAGACAGGACAAGTGATCACTTCTTACAAACCACAACCAAAAACATAAATGCCATGAATGAACCCTTAAGCCCCACGAACTCCTTTCCAATAAGAGAGCAGGTCACAGGCTAATACATCTAGATGCCTGCTGCAAATTTATATTATCGTTAACAATTTGACAGAAGGGTTATGAAGAAAAAAAGTGGGGTTGTGAGACCAAAAACAAGCAAACACCGAGCCGAAGCAGAACGAAACAGGGGCCCAAGAAACCAACAATACTTTAACCTAGAAATATTATTCAAGTGAAGTAAAGATAATCTTAGAAGTTATAAGACATACCGAAACATGTTCAGGAATCAATCAATTAGCCCTTTTCTTTACCTCCGACACAGTCGACATGGGATTGTACTTGAAACCATCTTCTTCTGCACCTGCACCTGTCACAACCAACCACAACTGTCAGTGGCGAAAGCAGAACGCTGCAGCTCTTGCGATTGGTGGAAGCCAACGGGGGAGGGGGGGAGGGAGGAGGAGAAAGGGGGGCGTTCCTCCAAGGCACGCCAACGACTGAATTACTTCTTTGTATTTTCTTAAAGTCTTTATTGTCTCTAATAATTGATTTAACTCTTTGATGGTGGTTAAGTAGGTGGGATGCCATCATATGCCTTAAACTATCTTGCGAAAATTTGGCTTGGCCTTAAATTACTGTCCAAGTGTAAACGACAAGGCGCTGGATCGATTTTGTTTAGACTAAAGACTTTTGAGGTTAGAATCATTTGTTTATTTAGACTTCAAGATTGTGCCCTGTCTTGATGGTTCTCAAATATTCTTTTATAACGCCTGGAAATATCTTTGATACGGATGAGACTTTATCATTCAATTTAAGGGTTCCTTTACCCACTTTTCCAGAGTAGTTTGAATCAAGCCGGTATGTTTGGGTCGGCGTAATCGATAATAATGGTCAATTCTTTCTGATTTATGTAACTTTTATTCATTTCGTTTCTTTATTTTCAGGGAGTCATGTCTGGGCCTCAGCATAACTTTCCTGGGAACTTCCCTATGGGCCAACAAAATGCTAACCATCCGATGCCAATGCGTCAACAGCAGTTTGTTGGTGGTCCTCAAATGGGAAATATGATGGGAGCTCAACAAGGTATTGTATCCTAATTAATTTACAATGTTGTAACGTTATGCTTAATGATATGTGAAAAATATGGTTTGTGTTCAGGCATGGTGAGCCCTCAGGCTTACAACATGGGTGGTTCAGGGCCCACAGCAGTTCCTCCGATGCAACAGCAGAATCCTCAAATGGGGGTACAAATGCAACAGCAAGTCAAGGTATTCTATTAATTATTGGACTTTCTGTCTTTTTCGGAACCAATCAGTCACTCAAAATGTGATTTTTGATCTGAATCTATTTTTATTTTCAATTAAATTTATTCTTAGGTAGGGCCAGGAGTTTCACCTCAAAATCAACAGCAAATGCCTCAATCAGCTATGGGTCAAGCACCGCAGCCTGGTAACCAAATGCCCAACAGTGGAAATACTGTTGCAGTATCAGCACCTGGCCAAGACCCAAATCAGTCTGGTGCTGTGGCACCTGTACAAAAACAAGAAATCAACACTGCAGCTTTATGTCGTTATGGTTTGGAAGTGGTTCAGGAGATAGTATCTAGAATGACAGAAGTTTTTACCCTTTTAAAGACACTTCAGGTAATTTTAAGTTTGGTTTGTGTTTGCTTTGTTTTATAATTCCTTTCTAACTGTTTATTATTATTATCATTTAGCCGCCAAATGGAACTCCTCAAGGAGCTAGCATATGCAATGAGAGGAAAATTAAAATTCAAGAACTGTTGAGTCATATCAAAGGAAATTTTAAAAAGTTGAGCATGATTTATCAACGGTGCAATGAAAATGCACAACTTCAGGGTATGGAGTTTATGCACATTGAGGTATGTTTTTCCTCGTTTAATTGTTTGTGTGAGATGTTTGCTCCAAGCCCCTAATGTTATTTAATAAATTGTAGAGCCTAATCCCTTTGAAAGAAGAATGGGACCAAAAAGCAGACGAAAGGAAGATGTCAGAATCCTACCGAACTGCTTGTGAAGAACGACGCGAAATTATGGAGGTAGGTGCTTAATGTAGTATATTGCTTGCTCGTGTGCTCACCAATCTGTGAAGTGTTGGTGGAAGTCCTGCTTGTGAAGCTGTTCTTTTGTAGCTCTGTTATGCTTTTCTGGTCTAAACTAATAATGTTTTCTCATGGTTTTTTTGTTTGTTTTTTTAGCAAGTGTTGCTTAAAAACAAACATTTGAAGGAGGTGATTGATTCAATGCGGCGTTTGATTTGGGAAATTAATTCCATGCTTTGCATGCGTCGATCTTGATCATAGTGGTATAAAGTGACAACACCTGAGAAGCAGCTTTGAGCATCTGGAGTTTAATTTGGCTGTGTTATTATACTTTCACCTTGTTTTTCTGTGAAGTTGAAACCCCTCTGAACAATTTAAATCACCATCTTAAGCTGAGGTCATTTACATTACGTGTATATTGGCATTACCAATTTGTTATTGTTTCTTTTTTTATTTTACAATAAAAGTCTGACTAAAAACTTAACAGAACAGTCCACTGATAGTTCCCATTCAGGAAAATATGTTTATTCAACAATAAATAGCTTTTGGTAAGAATGGTGGAACAAAATGATTGAAACTATTACTTTCAGGATTGCCATTTCTTGAAACTTAGCAGTTACTACATTGAAAAGTCTCAAACACACTAATTCATTTTCATAACCAGAACAGTTGACACATGAGACTAATAGTCTCATGGATTACATAAAATGAGACATCTTACAACAAATATGCGTACTATTTCTGTCATGTGATATATCCAATATTGATTAGAGATCATTTGGAAACACATTGGTAACAATAGAAAGTGAAACTTGACATAAACCTTCAATACAAAGACACATTAGGAAGAGAGAAACCAACAGCATGTTTAATTAAGTGAAAACATTTCAAAATCAGCCAGGTTTAAGTTACATCCAAAAACTTAAAACTGTGGACTGTATGCAAGAGAAAAACGTCAAAAATCAATAGATTGGTAGAGCCATAGTTACAGGGGCACACAAATAAAAGTGGAGCAAGTCCTGATCAGGTTATTACTCAGAAAAACCAGTCTTTCAATTAAAATTTTAGAGCTACATAATAAGGATATCATTTCATTTAATAACTACCAAAATCATTGATACGAGCATTTACATTTCAGGCCAATATCATTAACATCTCAATTTGTCTAGTCTGGATACTTCCACTCAGCACAGCCGTACAAACTGATCGGCACATTTCTTGGTGAAAAGGCCCCACAGTCTTTAAATAATAAAAGGTCCATTACAAAATTGGGATGAAAAGCAAACATCAAAAAATTGGGAGAAAAACACCAACAAAAAAAAACAATCATATTCACTCCTTTGGGAGTGTGACAAGAGTCCTAACACTTCATGAAGGCTCCAGCCAAAACAGCTCAACTGTAGATGTTTTTGCAATTACCTCAAGTCCTAGAAAACACCCAGCCAAGTGGGAGTGAAGGCAAAACTGGCGGCACCGATTGGCCAAAGGTAGGCTGGGTGTTTTCTAAACCTCATTCAGTATGGCCTAAGACTTGCTCTGAACTTTCAACGATAAGCATTATCTGCTGTCCATTTTGATCTGCACTTGCGGTTCGAACACATTCAACTTGATGGCTACCCCAGTCTTTTCTTTGGCAGAATGTAGAGCAATATGGAGTTCTGCGACATAGTGAACATTCTGCATATGCTTCCCTATTGCAGTTGGCGCACTGAGAAAGTAATGAATAGAAGATTAATTACAGGCTTTATAATATAAGTTTGACAGAATTTCAAACACAAGTTTGAGTAGTCAAGGATGTTGTAGGAGCATACCTTTTTGGTATCAGAATTGCTTTCAGCACTGGGAGCACCTGTAGTTGGTTCCAGACCAACTGCTTCTATTGGATCCACAACAACTGGCAACCCCCCTCTTGATTCAAACACGGCTCTGAAAATAGTAAGAGGAAAAGTAGTAAAAAGGGGAAATGATCCCAAAAGAGGCACTCAAATAGAAAACATTCAGCTTACCTGACTTGACTATCAATCACAGCCTGATTATCCCTATTAATTTGCTCTTTTTCTAAACGAGACAATTCCCGAGCCTCTTCAAGAGCTTTTCGAAACTGATTTGTCAATTTTTGCATTTTTGTAGCAATCTAAAAATTAAAAGTACATTAGCAATTTTCTTACCACATAAAATACATGAGAATATGATAACTATGGCCCTAACAAGAGAATTACCAGGTAAATACTTGAAATTACTGTACCTCATCTAATCTATGGAATGCATCTGACGACGATTGAGCAGGTTGAGTCCGAACTTGTGGCTGAAGTTGTACTTGATGTCCTTGAGTAACAACTTGGTATTCTTGTGCAGACTGAAGCTGATCAACAGTTGCCTGAGTGGTGAGCATGGTAGGTGCCATAACAGTCACTGCTTGAGATGTCTGATTTCCTGAAGTACTTGAGACCGAAGCATTAAACTGGTTACCTCGCCATGATTCTTTATCATCCATGATGGCATCTGATATGATAGTGTCTGCAAACATTACATTGGACATTAAAATTTTGAAGATCTTCTTAATGCAAAAAAGTAAGAAAAAATTATTTTGTAAGGGACAAATGTTTAACTATCGGCTACTTCACAAACAAAATGCCCCACTGTATGCATTACACTTTCAGTAGAGGCTGTACTCAACAAACCTTGACACAAATGTCAAGAAATTTTATCAAATAAAATGGAATTAATAAATACTACGAGACTACAGACACTAGCTACTCTCATGCATCAGAGCATGTTATTAATTTACCAAAGTGCGAGCCGATTGTGCAATTTGTTGAGACCTTAGGTGGTGTCTCACCTCCTCCATCTTCACTGTCTTCTCCAGTGCTGTCAATGGTTGTGGCCCTCTTCCTCTTTCTACTTTGCTCTTCTCCTTCCCGCCGTCTTCTTCTTTTATAAGGCGTAAATAATCTGACAGGGCCAGTCTATAGAGAAAAATGGGCATGATTATTAACAGTTACAACACATCAAGAAGCATCTTCCATATTTGTAACAAGATCTAGCTTAAATCGACATAAAACCCACCGCAGTTTCATCATCGCAGCAAGCTGAACAGGTACAGCTGGTGGCATGCGGTGTCAACACCCCTTCATCAATGAGTGTCAGAAGACTCCGACCGCCAAATCTGGAATCAATTCTAAAATCCGTATTTTTTACCAAAACAGAGTTACTTTAGATACAAGAAGAAAGTTTCAGTGAACTTGTCTCACCTGATACTTCGTTTCCAATCCTTGCTGGATGCTCTCCCACAAACAGCTTCAAACTCACTGGGAGTATACCACTGATCCCCTAACTTTACACATCTGCCTCTACCACCTGATCCAAATTTAGTTTTATGTAGTTCAGCATTTGTGTTCTGTAAAAGAAAAGGAAGCATGTGAAAATACTTTCCCATTTCAACCAAATTTTTTCATCAAATATTTGATAAAAAGTTGCAAAAATGTGTATACCTTGCATCTCACGGGCAAGATTGGCATATTGATCGAGTCTGTCCATGTTTGTGAGTTATTCGGTGTATCATCATTTTGCTCTCCATCTTCTTGAATAATGACGTCAGCGGCAACTTTCTCACCACCATTCTAAACAGAAAACATGACTTTTAAATTAAAAATCAGGTCTTCGAGCAAAAAATTTTAAGGGTACACATTAATGTATATCATACCCAAGTTCTTGATCCATCATCATCTTTTTCAGGTTCTGATTCAGCTTCACATATGAGTGTGCCACAAAGGACTTGTTTGACATCTCCTGTGTCAGCCAACTGAGAAAGAAGAGGAAATTATGGGTCATTTAACAGCAATTGTATCAGGAGCTTGTAACAAATACCAACTACCATGCACAACGGAAAATAGAAAGACAGAGAAGATCAATTGCAAATGAATACAAAATTTACAGCTGACGTAAGTTCAGCATGTAGAAAAAATGTTAACTAACGGAAATTATAAAAAGTACATTGATAAAATCGTTACAGAATTTCAATCACAATAAGAGATAGTTACTTTCGCAGACGCATTCAACTCAAAGATCATAGATCAATATCAAATGTAAAACGGTTGTTAGCACATTATTTTTATTTTTTTATGTTAAGATTTCAAAATCTTGAACAACAACTACAAGCAGGTTTTAAAAAACAAAAAACAGCAAAGTAGAGAGAAAATGCTAGTTTAATTCAATAAGCAGAAAAGGGGGAAAAAATATGCAATAAAAGCAGAATGAAAAACTCTCCTGCAAAACTACACAAAAGATGCAAATCAAGCTACATGTATTAACCTTCAACCCAAAACTAAAATGACAAGATAAAATAGAGCTACAATGTCAAAACAACAATCAGACCACGAAGGCCTTGTTTGGCGGCATAGCCAGAGCAAAATACGATGCATCAACAGCTACGTAAAGGCAAAGAAAGCCATCTTGGATTCTTCCAATTCACCTGCAATTGATCCGAAGTGATGACATTGAAAGTTCCCGTGCTTGAAACTCCTATCAAGGAACCCACCGGTAGTGACACGGGAACAGAAGACACTGGGACCGCAACTTGAGTAACCGAAACAGCCGAAACGGGGTTAGCATGATCATCCGAGGGCAAGCCACCGCGGCCGCGTTCATCGGACCTGTTCGTTAGCTGTTCGGAAATGTCCGGTACCACGACTCGGACCGATGTCTGATCACCGTCCATTTCGGGGAAAATGGCGGCAAACACGGCGTTCTCGCCCGACGGCACCACAGACTTCACCAGTGTCAACGTCGGCGGCTCACAAATCCTCAATTTAGTCCAAATTCACCACTTAAATTGGAGGGGTTGAAGCAAGACAAGCCAGAAACGGCTATCTTTTCACAGAAATGGCTCCTCTGCGAAGAAGTGGTTCAGGAGTCGACCGCCAGAGCGCGCTGCAAGCAGCTGTTTGGCGTTTGCGCGAAGCAGACGGCGGGCTTTTTGAAATGACCGCTACTAGGGCCTCTAGTGTCGGGTCGGGGCTGGGTGGGGGAAAGCCCCGTGCTGTCAGCAATCAGGAATCATACTCGTAATCACGAACCAGATCGTGGTGAGAGTGAAAAGATCAAAGGAAAGCAACTACAAGGTTGCAACTTGCTACACATTTATTTTGGCACCAATAGTATTATCACAAACACAAAATAATGCAGCAAGCTAGCACTTAGGGAAACACACAACAATTTTCAAAAATTAGCTGTTCCCACTAATACAGATCCGTTCAATACCCTATACTCAATTTCACTTCTTCACACTGCTCCGAATGATGGCATATCAACAAGAATGAAAAAGCCTTTTCTGAAGTTCTACATAAAAAGTAACTTTCTTGTAAGATTTGGGAAGAGAAAATTTTACATTTTTAATTTGAATCAAAATGCCAAATTTTCAATGTTCATTCATTCACCAATTAATGGTACTTTACTTAATGTAATAATAAAATAAATTAATCTAGGCTCAGTAGGCTGACTTAAAAGTTTGAAAATGCCACTAAAAGTAATACCGGTAAGCACATAGCACATATAAATCAATGACTTGAGCAACAATATCTTCAAATTCAGTCAAAATTACATACATGCTAATACAAAAGAGATCAGACTTTCCATAATGTAACAGAAAATGTAAGAATGTAATCACCAATTACAATAACGACTATAACAATGACCAGTCTTGGGGAGGCAAAAGGCAGGAACTGAATAATTCAAATATCACAATCATGTACAGCAACTACATTGTATGGGCTGTACAATCAAGGAGAGGTTTGAGAAAAGTTAATATCAAAAGATATACATTGTGGTGTGCATCAGTAAGATAGATACTGACTAATATACTTGCACAGTTATGTGCATTTATCACGACTTGACATCCTATTCATAAAGAGTAACACAGACACACTGCTGTGTATCCTTTTAACTATCTAGCTAGAATAGCTATAACTTGAGGAGAACTGCAGGTTCATACCAAAATATACAATAGGTACAAATTTGGTATGAGCAGTAGGTAGAGGGTAGGTAGAGGACAGCCTTGGACCAGATTTGTGGTTATCAACTAACATCAGTTTAGACCCTTGCCCCTTTGTTTAAATGTCATATATACAATGACTTTAAGGACATTGAACTGAATGGTTTCACCATATGAAAATTCAATCTATATTTTAAAAAAATAATGTAACCACTCAAGTTCAGTCATAGCATCAATATATCATAGTTTTTCACAGCACCACCCACTAACAATAAAACTATCAGTCCAGACTTGGAAGATAAGACAGAATATGATCATACCTGAACATCCCTAGAGTCAGGTCTTTAGATAAGAGACATTTCAAAGCAACATTTTGCTTGACATAGGATGAGAAAATAGTTTGCTTTTCTTCAAAAATTGAATGACTTATCATAAATACAAAAATAGTAAATACAATTCAGTACTAAGAGATAACTTACCCTTATAAACAATCTGAACATGCAGAAAGACATCCAAAAGGAAGTTTCCAATAGGAACATGCTCATTTCATGACAGATTGCCACCACACAGATCATGGTATACTTAATTATTAATACATGTAAATAAACATCACACATGTAGGAGCATGCAAATAAAAAGCTGAACCATCCAATATGAAACATAATGGTTGACCTGGTGGCAAACTGCAGTCAGTACAGAGAAATGAGCAACAATAAGAGACAAATTGGCCCTTCACTATTAATCCTAATACTGGAAAAGCCATAAGTCTTAGAAAGTGGTCCACAGTAACACTCAGTTTAAAAGATCACGTTGAACAACCAACCATAACACACATGTACAGATGTACGCACACACAGCTGTATACACAACACTCAGCCACAATTTTTAAATAATTAAAAAAATTATAACTAAATAAGACCAACATTTACTTAAAACTGACTCTGCATTGGCACACAAGAAATTATTTTTATAACAACAGAGGAAATAAATACTTAGGGCAAAACACACAGCTTCTCTTATGAAGAGTCAACAGCAAAGGAAGATGATGCAAAAGCCATTTCATCAGTAAAAGCATGCATAAAAAAAACAATGGTTAAAACTTTCCACCATAGGAGAAATATAATATCCACACAGGCATCAAAAATAAAAACAATAGAAAGTCATAGAGAAATGAACACCAGCTCATGTTATTTCTGTAGAGGAACAAGTAGACAAAACCATAAAGGTTCCAGTGTCGAAGACTTTTTCATGAAATCTACAATTCCATAACAACAATCATAACTAATTCTTCGACTTAAATAAGAGAAAAGAACAAAAAGAAACAAACAAAGCTATTAAAGGCCTACAAACATATTGAAATATAGAGAAAAGGAGTGTCTGATGTCAAATACAAAGTCTATTATCTTAAAAGTTATCAAATAAAAGATAACATTTTCATCACTCCACACTAAACATACATCGATGAACTTTAGAAAAAACAGCAAACGAAAGAAACAAAACTATAAAGAAATGACAGAAGAAAGGCAAGTCAATTCTTATTAGGAATCTTTTTTCTGCATGGACTCTGTTCCAACAACTCACTCTAACAACTATGCACAGGCATAGTAACAAATTCTGTAGTTGTACATTTGAGCATTGACCCGTTTTCACCAACATATGTTCCAAATTATGACTTTTTCAGGCCTGACCCGTTGCCAACAACTACATTCTGTGGGAGCAATCCATTTGCCATCACATAAAAAGCAACAGCAGATGCTGATGGGTTGGGCATATGGGCACCTTTAGGTGCTATCTGAGGAACGGTTAACATTGGTTTAGGAAGAATAAGTGGAGGAGATGCCTTAGGAATTATTGGTGGAGATAAAGTCTTGGGAACAAGGGAGAGTGGCTCACTTTGAGGTTTGTGAGAAACAGAGGACGGAGAATTGTGCAGTGACGGTGGTGATGACGAACGCGGTGGGGACAAAGTTGATCCTTGAGAAGGCTGTTTCTGGAGAAGAGGTAGAACAGGAATTGGCACAGAGATGGGTTGAGGTTCAGTTTTCGCAGGCTTGGCTTGAATAATAGTGCTTAGTCTTGCCAACTTGGCTTTCACTTCAGCTGGATTCAAACCGTTGGTAGCAGAGGGCTGTAAAGAAGTTTTGGAAGACTGCTGGTTGGATGGAGAGCCTTGCTGATTTTGCTGCAAAGTTGCCTGCTGGTTGGAAGGAGAACCCTGCTGAGTTTGCTGAGACGCTGCCTGCTGGTGCTGCTGTTTGCGCTGGGCACTGTGAGTGTAGCTGTGCTTCCCCAGATGAGCTTTCTGACGGAATGCCTTACCACAAACCATGCACACAAATGGCTTCTCTCCAGAATGAGTACGCAGGTGAACTTTCATAGCGAACCGGTCTTTGAAGCATTTACCGCAAATAGTGCATGGCTCATTAGTTTTGCGCCATCGCCTGGCCTTGCCCTGTGCTTGGGACTGAGCTTGAGCTTGGGCCTGTGCCACTCGCATTATGTTGTTTTGACGAAGCAAGGAAACTGAAATGTTGGGAATAGTTAGAGGCGATGGTTGTATTTTGGGTGCAGTAGTGTTTTGAGTTTCTCGGAGCTAAAACAAAAAGAAATTGACGTCAGCAGGAAAACACACTTGATAATTTCACATATGTTATGTGAGAAATACAACTTACAGCCAAAGATATGGGTTCTTGCTGCTCTTGGAACATATTCTTGAGATTATTCATGTCTAAGTAGCCAAATGGTGGAGTAACCATGCTGGGCCTTTCAGTCAGGTCTTCAGGCTCATCTCGACTACCTTCATCCTGAAAAACCCATCAATATAATTTATTTGAGAATGAACTAATGGAAAGATGAAAGATGAACTCATGAAAGATGAATCACATGAAACATACATCATCATCGTCATCATCCATAGTGTAATCCTGGGGCTCGTCATAGTCATCATCGTAAACAGGGGACTGGCTTCCATCATCTTGGTCATGCTTTAAAGTTACCACCTGGAATACATGATTATGGTAAATGTTTCATGGTTAACAATTGACAATGAAAGAATATAAAATCTATAATCGAATGTCACTTACACATGCTGCTTCTGCTGATTGATCACTTTCTACTCCAGGGAACTCAGCATTTACATTTTTCTTAACAACTTGGTCCTCTTTCAATAATTTCTGAAAGATCAAACAAGTAAAATCAAATTAGGATAGGCAAATTTGGGGAAACAAATAGTTAAAGGGCTCTGAAATTGATGCAATCAACCAACCTGTAATTGGGGGTTTGTTTCAGGCCAAAGGCGACCATAATTATGCCTCAAAACAGCATCTGCTCTCTCAACTTGATCCCGGAAACGAACTGCTTGATCAAGCATTGAAAGACATCTTTGACAGGCCAATTCAGGAAGACCATCACCCTCGTGCACCTATAAGTAAAATCATGAAAACATTGAAATTACTTTGAACAACACAACAAGGCATGTTTACGTTTCGGAGGAAATCATGGAGTCTGTGTATTTAATCTCTACAGTGGGAAAAGAGCAATAAAAACAAACGATTGTACCACAACCACCGGCAGGCGAAAGGAGAGCCATGACGGCCTCTAGCATTCGGCACCCCGGCACCCCTTGTGTCACCGCACTGCACCGGACCAGCCGGTGGTTAAAAACCACCCTCTCTGCATTAATGAATTTAGTAAATGCATTCGGGGCAAGGCATAGACGCGGGGTTCGCATAGTGAGTAAGCCCCCGAAAGGACATAAAAGGCTGCGAGAAAATATGCATTTGTCTAGGATAGGACAAAGTGCACGGGAGGAGGGGTGGGGGGGATGAAGCACGAAGGACATGGACACTGCAACTGCACACAGCTTGCAGGGGCCATGTTGCTCTAGGTCACGAACTCCCAAGTTTTCACGTCAGATCCGTTTTTCCGGCAGATCGGGGGCCCTAGAGAAGCTCCAAATGCGACGGGCGACATGCAAAGTACAAACTTGATGAAATACGCACCTCTACAGGAGTTATTGACATGATCCTAGAAGCTACCCTCTCATCCTCCTCGCGCAGATCGTCTTCCTTGAAAATAGACACAAATTTGCCTTCTTCTGATAAACAGAATCGGCAAATTTCTCCTGATTCCAAAGCCCTGTGTGATATAGTCGTCATCTTCATTCAATAGGCACACGAGTGAACAACATAGATAAAATAAAATTGGCAAAAATGATGCGCGAATATGAGGGTGCTTCGGAAAATGCAACAACGCAAAGCAGTTTTGAATGCAACACTGCCTTCTAAAATTGCACATGTCCTATTTCACCAAAACAAAAGCCTTCTTCTTCACCTCCTCTTCCTCGTCACGAAGTAATTTTAAGAAAGGTCGCTTTTTAATTTAAATGGAGCAAATTGCAAAAAAGCCCGATGTCCTTCAGTTGATAGTTATCCCTATTTCACTTACAAATGAGACTGCGCACTTGTGTAGCAAGTTTGCCGGTCTTGTTTTGACAGTTTTGTTGTTCTTTACTTCTTTTTGACAAGAACTGAATGTAGTTCCAAGATGGCTTCGAAAATAGACGCTAGTATTTGTTAAGTTAATTTTCTTTGACTTCATAATTTATTTTTCAGTTAATGACGTTATTTCAACATTTTAAACCTTCACGTAAGTGGCCTTTTTACTATTTTAGCAGCCAAGTCCATGGGCGAAAAAGTTCACCATACACGACGTCCGGTCGCCTTGTTCAAGTCAACCCCAAATTCATCTACTGACCTAATTCAATGTATAAAGTTGTCATTAAATCAGATGAATATGTGCTTAAAGCTTACATGTAGTTACGGTACACATGCTTCCACGGTTTGCATTTTTTTGTGTTTCATTTTTTTGTGATTGTAGACTTTTTGTGCCTTTTAAAAAAATATTATTTTGTGTCGCACTAAGACAATTTTACAACTTTCCTAGATTGGGTGATTATGTCACAATTTCATGTCTAAAATCTTACTCATAGGCCCAAGTTTTCTCTTCATACATTAATACTCTTTGAACTTGTGTTATTCAATGCTCTGTTGAATTTTAAATACAGTATGTGTACACTGCACGTCGACCTTTCCTCTTTGATGTGGCACAAAATCTTAATTTTTCTTTTACTGTACCTCTGGAATTACATGTTATGAATCTAGCTCCGTCTGCTCAAACTTGTTAAGCAGCTTTTTGTTCATTCAATCCATTTTTTCCTCCTATTTTATACTGTTTGATATGCACTGAACTTGTTTATGAATGGATTAATGCCAGCAAGGAAGCACCACAGTACATTGTTTCGTACCTTTCAGGATGATGATGCCGTTCTCAAATGAGAAGCGGGCCCTGAAGAGGCCTCGCTTAGGTCCACCAGATGTGTACCCTCAAGAACCCAAACAGAAAGAGGTCTGTATTTATCTTAACACTTCTGCGCTAGTCAATTTTTCTTATTTTTATTTTCTTCTATGTTTCTGCATATTGTATGTATAAACTTAACTAAAAGTTATTTTTTGCTCTATTTTCAATTTTAGGATGAACTTACCACATTGAATGTGAAGCAGGGTTTCACTATGATGCCCCAGCACCCTGACGAATTTGGAACTGCACGCAATTGCAACATTATTGCCTCAAAGGTTTGTAGCACAAGTGGCTTCCGATCTGTTTGTGTGTTGTTAATAAAAGAACAATGAGAATTCTATTGATACTGGTTTTGTGTTAAAGGTTGGAGCATACTTCAATGCCATTCTTAGCAAAAAAGAAGAAATAAATACATTTCCTGATTCAGGGCGTAAGCGACAACAAATTAATCCCAAAGACAATTTTTGGCCAGTCACACCTAGATCTCGCGCTGCAATTGAAGCATGGTTCAAAGATTTAGCTGGTAGTAAACCTCTCATACATTTATCCAAGAAGGTATTTAAACATTATGCTAATTTTTCTTGTCTCACAAGTGTTCTTATTTTCTGCACTTGTAACTAAATAATATTTGACTCCAGGCTCCAATTTTTAACAAAAAAGAAGAAATTTTTATGATGTTATGTGATTACCAAGTACCTATGTTGAGAGCAGCATGGTTTATAAAACTGAGTTCAGCTTATACAGTGGCTGTTTCTGAGGCCAAAATAAAGAAACGACAGCTTCCTGATCCTAGTCAGGGTAAGTACTTAATGGGTTTTTAACTGTGACACTTGTATCCCTTTTAGTGCCTTGTTTTAATTTATTTGATTATTCATATTTTCTCTCAGAATGGACCACAACTTTAATCAAATTTATGAAAGATCAATTAATTAGATTGCAAGAATATTATCAACAGCCTGGTAGCAGTAGTCTTTCGTTGCTGCCATCTCACTTGTCAAACTCAGCCTCTGCCTCTCCAAATCCAAATAGTGGTGCCAATACTCCAAACCCGCCTACTGGAAATAGCACACCTTCATCATTAAATGGTGTCTCTGGAGTTCTTAATAGTTCTTTAACAAATTTAAGTGGAAGTACAAATATGGGACAACCATCACCAGCTATGTCAGAAAATAAATCTGTTTCTGATCCACCTCCCATGACAGATTTGCAGAAAGTTGCCCAGCGGCAATGGCACTATTGTGTTCAGCTTGCCAAATATATGTATGAGGTGTGTTTATCTCAACTTTCCTTTCTTTGAGTCAAGATATTTCCTTTTAGTCAGAAGTACTTCATTTCCAATTGTCTTGCAGGAGGGCCTTTTAGAAAGGCAGGAATTTTTGCAGTGGATTCTAGAGCTTCTTGATCGACTGCGCTCAGCTCCATCAGATGATGGCGTTCTTCGTCTGCTCATGCCCCTTGCATTACAGTACCTTGGTGAATTTACAAAATCAGAGTTGCTGGCTCGCAAGCTTGCATACCTGTGTGGTAGAAAACTTGCCCAGCTTTGTGCTTCAACTGGGGGAACATCTGCAAATTCAGCATCTGGCAGTTTAAATTCCCTAGGAACACCAAGTGCAGGTTTAAACGGAGCCACTAACAGTAGTTCAGAACTCCAATCAGCATCACCTCTCCTCAACTCAGTCTCACCTCACAGTCCCATGGTCAATGGAAGTAACACTTTAAGCACAAGCTCAAGGTAATTATATTTTATAAATTTGTGATTTTGTTGATGAGTTCTTTGTGTGAAGACTTGTGCTTTCTGTTCACCAGTGGAAATGCTCCAAAAACCTCAATTCAGAATCCACTATCAAATCCAATGGCCTCTACTTTCAGTGAATTTCTCGCTTGTCCACATCACAAAGATGTTGTTTTGAGTTTGGGTTCTATAATTCAGGTACATTTTGTTGTTCTATTCAATCTAATTTCAGTACTCACTTATTTTAATGCCTTTGCCTGCATAATAGTAATCTTTCATAAACATTTCAGGTAATAACGCTGGAGTGTCCGTCAGCTTTGGTTTGGAATAGCGTGGGGGAAGGAAAATCCCCCTCTGTTTTAAATGGTTCGCCCCTTGATCATCTGCCATGTACACCAGCCCAGCTGCCAATGCCCCGTCGAACAAGCAATAACATCATGCGGTTTGTCCATTCCTCCATTTTATGAAATAGCTTTTACCCCTGTTTTATAATCAAGCTGACAGACTTCAAAGCTTAACTTGTTTTATTTCAGAAATCAACTGCGTATTGCTGAGGAGAATATAAGACACAGGAGTATGGCTGCAGTTGGCCGGTGGTCCTGTGATAAATGGCAACAGTCATCCGCCGGTGAGTCCCTCAACTTTAATGCAACTTTCCCATTTATTAATTTCCCTAATTTTATTTGTCACTGTTTTACTCTAGGAGCTACTACCACAAGAGTTTTAAGCGCTCTGGATGCATTAGACAGGCATAGTTTTGAGAAAGTTGATGCTGTTAACTCGCTTGACACACTCTATGCCAAGATTTTCCATCCACCAACTTCCAAAGATGCTCCTAAAAGCTCACCCTCTAGCAACGCATTGGTTTCTCAGCTCAGCAGTACCAATGGCGGAAATCACGAAACGAGAGAGGACCAAATGGACTATGTTAGTATTATCCTCTTGTTACATGTTATAAGGCTGTTGTATTTTGTTAATATTGATGTTGATATTATGTTCTTTTGGTAGACTGTTCAGCAAGATGAACCTATTGTCAGTATTCTCTGTGAGTGGGCAGTCAGTTGGCAGCGATATGGAGAGCATCGTGCCGTGGCAGTCGCAAAACTTTTAGAGAAGAGACAGAGTGACCTTTTGGCTTCAAGTGATGAGAGCAGCCCAAGTGATGACAAGGATTCTGTGACGTCGGCACCAACTGGACCGCCAATATTTCAGAGTCTTCTAATGAAGTTTTTAGACAGAGATGCCCCTATCCTTGGTTGGTTTGATGCTTCACTAAAAGTCTCATTGACATTAATGTAAATTATTAGGTGCAGTGGGTTTTGATAACACTATACATTTCTTTTGATAGATGAGAACCCATCCCCTCAGAATAGGACAACCTTCACAAACTTGGTTCATCTTTTTTCCGAGCTTGTCCGTCATGATGTGTTCTCTCATGATGCTTACATGTGTACCCTCATCTCCAGAGGTGACCTTCTTAACAGCTGTTCTGGAAGTAAGTTCTGTGTTGTTGAGTTGCTAATGATGAAAAATTCATTATTTTTGTGTCTTTTTTTGTTTTCTTTTTTAAAAAATAAAAGTATTTAACTGTTCAATTTTGACTTTTTAGGGGATGTTCCTGTAAGCTGTGCTCGGACTCCCCACCCCCACAGCAACAAGCCTGCTACTCCTGCGGATTCAAAGGTCAACTCTGTTCAACCTATGGATGATGATGCAGGGATGTTTGGCTCATTGGATATGAAGCCACCCAAAATGGAGGTTCAGGTAAGAGTCTAGATATCTTGTTAAAAGTGTGTTGCAACTTTTCTTTTTTAAATTCAGATTCAGTTTGGCATTATTGACATTCTTTTTTAAATCATTCTACCTTTAACTGATCATTCTCTTGTCAAGTGGTGTGTTTTGCATCACTGTAGACAATTTAACTCATACAAATGTTGTTAAATTTTGATAAGGAACTAAAAATAATAAAAAATAAAAAAGAATCCAGCAGGAATGTCTGTAAAGCTAATGAAAAGTTTGTCTGATGACCTGGGCTGTAATGGGTGTGCATGGCTATCCACAATAGCTAGCACTCTATAGTTAAGCAACTACAGCAAATTTTGCTTTGCGCAAGCTTGTCATGCTAGGAATCAGTCTCCCATCATTTAAAATTTGTTTTTTATTGATGCTGCATTGAAATTCAAGTTATCTATATTGAAATTTCTCTTTCTGAGTGTTGTATATAGTTTAATTAAACTGTCTATACGACCTGCATCTGTCCTTTTTATCACAGTTAAAATCCTCACTTTTCCTCTTTTTTTTCCTTTTAAATATCAGTGACATTGGTTCAAAGCTCCATTCCACTCTCATCTTGAGCTCATTTAAAACGTGATAGGAGGAACTATTGTGGTCGTCCCTTGAATGGAAGGTTTGGGAGGTGCAAATTTGTGGGCGTGGTTGTCATGTCTGTGTTGTGTGTGTTGGTGTTGTGTGTTGGCGCAAGGGTGTGCGGGAAAAAGCTTTTAAAAGCTTTCCAAAATTGTATGGTGTGAATTGTGTCACGCAATTTCTTTTTTTTTTTTACCCTCTTTGAAACCAACGTTTTTTTTTCCTTTTGTTCAGCCATATTTTAAAAGACAAGGTTTTTATTTGTTTTTTTCTCTTGTAACTTGTAGTACTAAAGGTTGTTCTAATGGTTCTAATCCTGTCAATATTGCACATGCACTTTCATATCACATTGAGCTTGTTGCTCTACGCTCTCTCCTACCCCATGCTTTTCAATTTCCCATAACTTCATTCAATTTTGTATTGCATTTAGATTGGCAGGTGAAAAAAGAGCTCTTTGTTTTTCATAACATTTGTCTTTTAAATATGAATCCTTGCTGTTCACTAATACTGATTAGTTCATTGCAGTGCTACCAAGTAATGGCATTACCCTTGCTTCATCATATGCATTGTCTAGCATGGAAAAACTGTACTCGTGGCCTACAAATTTCCAAGTCCCCTGGAGGACATGCAGGAACTGACAATGACTTTGACATATCCTTACTTCTTCTATCCTTTTCCTCATCCTTCTCCTTCTTCTCCTCCTTTTATTTTCTCTTCTTGGTGCCCCATCTTTACAATTGGTATTTGAATAAAATTTTGGAATCCTCCTCTTAAAACGTCTAACTTCTACATTATTACTCAGCTTTTACTCATTTCATCTTAACTGCTTAAAACTAAATTGTTGCTGTTTTTAGTTTTATTTGACCCCTCTCACAAATGTTTTCCTTTGTGTCTCTTTAGTACTACCATTCCTTATTTCCTGTAACTTTTCTCTAAACAATCTTTTCTTTGGTTTCTCCCCTCTATACCTATGTAACTTACCAATCCACCAATCTTGTTATGTATACACCTCTATCCCACCCTAACCTGACCGTCCATTTATTCCCTTACCAGGACCACGTGCGTGGCATGGAATACGATGACAGCAAAATTGATGATGACCTGGACAAGCTGCTTCAGCACATCAAGGAGGAGCAACAAAACCGCATAGTGCGTATCAAATAATCCCATGAAAATATTTATATAACTCTTTCTCAACTGAGGGTTCATACTTAACATTCAAAACCAATTGTCAAATAAACAACTAAATGAATATTATGTTCCACAGGAACTGAGTTTGATGTAGGGGTTAAATTCAATTACTTTAGTAAATCATCCACTTATTCCAAATTGATTTGCTCTTTTAAGTGTAATTTCGATGAAGGATGAACTCTCAGTTTTCAATGTCAAATGGTTCATTGGGTGTGTTTTGTGTTTTATTTCTGTCAGTGTTCCTTTGTCACCTTGCTTGTTGCTGTTATGCATCATGCTTTGCTGTCTTTAGTTTTCAATCCCTTGTCTCATGTACATTTTCATGGGTGTATTCTTTTTTTGGTGTGTGAGAGTGTGTGTGTGAGCGCGCGCGCTTGCATGATTTTTTGGATCAAAGCAAATGTGATTGTGCTCCATTCAGCGCCTTTGATTGTGTGATTTCAAGTGAATAATTCTAAACTCTCTGATCTTAAAACATTTTCTGACAAGTTTCAATTGTTTCAATTGGTATAAGAAATAATTGTTAAACTTCTTCAGAAATGTGTTTCTGTAAGGGCTCCATGTTTTCAGGATGCCCCGGACTCTCCCAAAGATGAAACTGGTGGCCCAGGATCACTGGTAGTCACGGGCCTAGATAGTAGTAGTGGGAATGATGACAGTAAACACAGGAGGCCCCGTCACTTACTATACACCACCCATTTTCCACTTCCTCAAGTGAGTTACCTTTTTGTTTTCTTGTACTCTTCTATGAGTAAGGTAAGATATTCTCTTTTTCTTATTTCTATCACTCTATTGTTCCTTAGGACGAGTTCAGCAGTCATGACTGCAACCAGCGCCATGTATTGCTGTACGGGGTTGGAAGGGTGCGGGATGAGGCCCGACATGTAATTAAGAAAATGAGCAAAGAAATATGTAAACTTTTCAGCAAAAAGTTTAGCATTGATGTTGCAGAAGGTATTTAAAACTGCCATGCTATAATGTTTTTTTTTGTGTGTTTTTTAGTAAATGTTTTAATTTGACTGTTTTTTTTTTAATTTATCCTCTTGTTACAGGTGGAAAGGTAAAGAAACATTCCAGAAATGAGTTCAACTTTGAATCAGCCACTCAAAAAATCCAAGCTTTGTCCCATTTTGATCAACATGTTGTTACATGGCAGTGTAGTCAGACAGTTATTGAAATGCTAAATTCTTTTGCGAGTGGTGAGTTTACAAGGATGCTGTACTCACTTGAAAATATTCTCTTTGCATTGCTCTTTAAAAATGTGCATCTTTTATCCTGCAGGAAATTCCAATTATTTGCCAGTGGCAGAGCATGTAGCCTTCCTATTTGATCTGATGGAACTGGCTTTAAACATCTACGGGGTCATTGATGTTTCCATTCAGGTAATTAATAGTACCCAACCCTTTGAGTATCAAATGTAACTGCCAATTACTCAAAAACAACCATTGTTCTTTATGATGTCTTTACAGATCTTGAAAGAAATTCCAGAGGTTGAGGCTCAACTAACTGCCAAAGGATCAGTACTTGCTCGAACTTACAGCACTACCCTGAGTCTATATGTTGTTGGAGTTTTACGCCGTTACCACTGTTGTCTTTTATGTACGTCACTCAAACAGTCCAAATGGATTATTCATTAGATCTTTTGAGTTGTTTCTTGTGTGTCAGAATTATCATGATTCTTGCATATTTGTTTTCTTTCAGTGTCTCCTGAGCAGACAAGTGCTGTATTTGAAGGCCTCTGCAGAGTTGTGAAGCATGTCACAAATCCTGGAGATTGCACATCAGCTGAGCGCTGTATTTTAGCTCACTTGTATGATCTTTATTCATCTTGTAGCATGTTGAAACCAAAGCCGCATTGTGTAGAGCCATTTGGCAATGCATACCCAAAGATAAAAGCAGCTTTATACTCCGCTCTTTCTCCATCTCCTTCAAACCATTCATGCAACACTCAGTTTATGGCTGATGTGCTGGCAAACCCCAAGAGAGGTAAGAGAATTTAGGTTGACCAGGAAGTTTTATTACATAAAAAATTAAGTGTCAATTGAACTATTCATTATTTTTTATTATTTTTACAGGGAAAATTGAACCAATGTGGGCTCGGCAACTAGCAGAAACACCCACCAACCGTTACAGTTTTGTATGCAATGCTGTTGTTGCTGTTTGCCATGAAACAGATAATGATCGACTCAATGATATTGCAATTCTTTCTGCAGAGCTCACAGCCTGTTGTAATGCGCTGTCTGCAGAATGGCTAGGAGTGCTTATGGCATTGTGTTGCTCATCAAACCACTCTTATTTTGTCGACGTTCTTGCTCAGATTGATGTCAGAGACACATCAATCCACAATTCTCTGGCAGTATTTACCTCCATTTTAATAGCTAGACATTGTTTTTCATTAGGCGACTTTGTACGTCACATAGCCTTGCCGTCCCTTGTGAAAGCTGGCAATGAAGTAAGAGGTGATTCTGAAGCCGCAGCAGGAGCTCGTCTAACTTGCCACTTACTACTGAGGCTGTTTAAAACTGTGGAGGGTCCTCAGCCTGCTTCATATTCTGTCGGGACATCTCCTCCTCATCCACTGCCAGGCACCAACACGGCAGGCATTGCCTCCAGCATCTGCCTAAGCTGTGATCGCCACTTGCTGGCTGCTGCACATAACAGCATTCGAGTGGGACCTGTCCTTGCCGTCTTGAAGGCAATTTTGGTGGTGGCAGATGCAACAGCGTCACACACCAAGTCCCTAGCTCCTGTTGGACCTTTAGGTGGCAAGAAGTCAACCCCCTCTCCTGCCCCTGGCTCAATTACACCAAACTCCAACAGTGGCAGTAGTAAAGGACCTCCTGGAGGACCTGGTGAATTGAGCATCAGCCACATTTTGGGTACAAGTGACATTCTTGGCGGAGGAGATGACTTAATGGACCTGGGAGGCTTGAACGGTGCCAGCGGACTTGGCGGAGGTGGCGTGGGTGGTCCCGATATGGCCAATGTTGGACTCTCCGAATTTGCTCAACATGTCCTTCGAGAGATATGTAGTCAAGAGTGGGTACTGGAGCGCTGTCTTCAAAATCCAGAGAATCTCTGCCATCAAGACCTTCTATTAGATAGCATGCTGTCGCCGAAACAAGCTCAACGACTACTTCACATGATTTGCTATCCAGCTACACCAGTTGGCAAGGATGACAACTTGGAAGCTAAGACAATCATAACAAATATTTTGGAAAACCTAGATCAGTGGACCTTGCGAATGTCATGGGTAGACATGCAACTCATGTTTGAGCAGTTCCGTCCCAATTCTAGTGACCTGAATCAATGGCTTGATATGGTTGCAAAGGCTGTCATTGATGTATTTCAGTTGACATGTGCAGAAAAAGAGGAGAAAAGACCACCAAACAAGTCTGGAACTCCCAAAGAAAAGTCAAACACAATGTGGCTTGTTGCTTTGCTTGTATCCAAGTTACCTAGTGCAGTCCAGGGCCGCGTTCTAAGAGTTGCTGGTGTGTTTCTAAATATTTCTGTGTTTCTCTGAGTTGGTCTGCATTTGTATGGTTTTATACTTATTGGTTGGTTTTCTTTTTCCAATTACATAGGACAAGTTTTGGAAAGCACTAATTGGTGCAGCTCAAAAAGTAAGGACCGAGTTGGACGGGGCAATGGTAATTCCGGTCCACTGCTCATGAGCCATCAACCATTCCTGATGCTTGTCCTGACATGCTTGAAGGGTCAGGATGACCAACGAGAGGGCCTCCTCACATCTCTTCATTCTCAATTGTCTCAATACTTGGCTCTTCCTAAGGATGTATGTCACACTTCCTTCCTTGTCAGTTTGTTAATTAGATGCTCACCACCCCCTGACTTTAATAGTTTTTTTTTTTAAATCTTCTGATTTACAGGATAGGTTAAGTAACTTTGAAAATCCAAAGAGCCGCAATATGATGCAAGACGCTTTGCAGCTGAGGTTTAGCTTGCTTGGTGGAATGTATGATACTATTCAAAGAAACACTACTGTCACAACAGATTGGGCTATTCTACTTGTCCAGCTTGTTACATATGGAGTTATAGACCTTAATAATAATCCGTGAGTTCCGCCTTCAATTCACAGTTCAATTTTCATTTTTCCTCTCATGTATGTATTACAATGTATCGTCCTTGTTTTTTCAGAGAACTTTTTAACACTGTGCTTGATATGTTATCAACCTTAATACATTCCACTCTGGTGTCAGATTCTCAGTCAGAAAAAACTGAAGAAAATAGAAAACACTACCAAAATTTAATTAAAAAGTTAAAAAAGGTAAGCTCAGTATCCAGTGCGACAAATATCCAGTTGTGATGTGTCTCAAGCTTCAGCTCTGGGTGATTTTTTGATGAAGAAGTTGTTCCTGCTTTTGATTGTTTCTTGGATTTCTAGGAAATTGGTGACAAAACAAGTCCATCTATTCAATACTTGAGGCAGTTATTGCCTCTACCTAAAGTAAGTTGTGAAGTTGTTTGTGCAGAACAAATAGGATGCCTCACTGACACCAAGGGAAATAAAATTACTGGATTTGATTCAATTGACAAAAAACAGGTGAGAACATATGTATTGTAATGATGAGCATCATCATCACTGCATGGCATGAACTATGAGTGTCATCACAAAGCTGAGACTTATCAAAACTTGCTGTAATGAATTTTCTGCCTGTTTCTCAGGGCCTTACTGTCAAGGAAAAGCAAAGGGTCAGTCCCTGGGAAATTCTGGAAGGCCACAAAAACCCTGCACCCTTATCATGGTCATGGTTTGGTGCTATTCGTTTGGAGCGGAAACCTCTGTGGTTTGAAGAGAATCATCGTCTTCTCAAGTTTCACACTCACTCCATGGTGCGCACTCCAGCTTACTACATGGAACCCCCTCCTTTACCACCAGAAGACTTAGAACCACCTGTTGAAAAGCCAGTAAGTCTTAATTCTGTTCTCTTTTCATGTCAAGTGTTTTAATGAAATAGCAATTCCATAATTTTCTGAATTAACACCTTTTGAAAATCTTTGATCATTGAATGTCAGTGTCAACAAACTATCAAAATTGATGTTTAAAGCTGTTTTATTTCTATTTTATGAGTAGTTTTAGAAACAATAGCAGTGTGACCTATATATTTTTTCTATTTATTGCTTTTTGCTTGAACATGCTCGATGTTTATTTTTACATAGAGCATGAGTTAGGTGCATGTACCATGGTTTTCTTCATTTTAAGGAGTTAACCAGACGATGTATTGCTCCATAGTGCATGACACTATTATTGAAGCAATGTGTGTAGATGCTCCTATCATTGTGTTGAACAAACATGGCTACCAATATCTGTATTGATGCTCCGTGCTGCTATATTTTCTTTCTAATCCTAACATTTATTTTAATTTGATTTCAAACGCCCAAAACCCCTTGTATCTTTTTTTACCAGTCTGAGGAATTTAATTTATGGGAAAAAATTACACTTCTTTCACAACCCTATCATGAATTCAACTTCTGTTTCAGGTTCACATGGATCAGGTATACACTTGGGACTTTCGTCTTGAATTACTTCCTGTTAAAGGTGTCTTTGTTCTTCACCTTGTAATCAAAACCCTCGCAGAGAAGTTACACCCTTATTTTCCACCGCGGACCCCTTAATGCTCAAGTGTGTTTGTGTGTGTGTGCTTTGTGTGGCCTCTTAACTGAATCCATCCACTCCACATTCATCTTGAGTTACCCCTTGTTTGTTCATTGAGATTGTCCTCAAATGGCAACTGTTTCTTTCTTTGACATTACTCAAAGCACTTAAATAATTTTAGTTTTCTTTTTCCCCCTATAATTTCCTGAGAATCTGGTAACAACTCTTGCTGCATTTTAGCAAGTAGTAGCTGTATGTAGTCAAGCTTTTTGTGAAGCTGTTAGCCATGTCGTGCTGTTGCTTCCTTTCCTAGGCTTAGACAATATGCAAGTTTTCTTTTTCTTCCCCTCTCGCGCCGGGGCTGTTCACACTGATGGTCTGTAGTGCTCGTGTGTTTACTGCAATCAGATGAAGGACGAGACGATGAAGGCAGACACCCCCACCTCGACGGAGCCTTCCCCGCGCGGCATGGGTCCGGGCGGCATGGGCATGCCGAAGAAGGTCAGGCAGCCCAGGAACAAGAGGCCCAAGAAGGCGACGGGACCCGCGGCGGCGGCCGCTGCCGCTGCGGCAGCTGCAGCAGCCCAGCAAGCAGGGGCGGCGCAGGGACCGGGCGGGGGCGGGCCGATGGGGCCCGGGCCCGGACCTCACGGGGGCATGGGACCCGTGCCGGGGGGTCCGATGGGGCCTGGACCAGGCATGGGACCGGGGCCTGGCCAAGGGCAAATGCCAGGGGGTCCCATGGGACCCGGACCGGGTCAAGGCATGGGGCCCATGTCCGGACCGGGGCCTGGGGGTCCCGGAGGTCCAATGGGACCAGGAGGTCCTATGCAGGGTCCGCAGGGAATGCCAGGGGGCATGCCCCCGCAAGTCCAGGTAAGCATAGCTTATTTTGCTTCGGTTGTGGAACTGTTCTCTCTCTGGAGTGTGTGTGTGTGTGTGTGTGTGCATCTGGATTGCCCTCGTTTCTTAGTGCTCCAGGACTATAAGTATTTAAAAAAAAGTGTGGCACTTGGATACATGTGCAGGCCGTTGTGTTACAATGGTTTTAGACACGTGCCAGCCAACCTGTTTTATGTTTATTTTTATTTTTATGGACTTGAAATGAATTTAGGTCCTCATCTGACCTGCTCGGTTATTTTCAGGGCCAGGGGCAGCACATGAACTACCCGAATCAGAACCAAGGTGCCATGTTCGGCAACCAAGGACCTCAATGGAGCTACCAACAACAGCAGCAGCAACAACAACAGCAGCAGCAACAACAGCAGCAACAGCAGCAACAACAGCAGCAGCAACAAATGCAACAGCAACAACCACAGCAGCAACAGCAGCAGCCTAATTACTATGCTCAACAGCAAATGCCTCCTCAAGGTATTCTTTAAAAGCAATAAAATCATTATAAAAAATGTAATGTCTTTCTATGACGGTTACTTTTATTGTATCAAATATTTCTTTTGTCTTCCAGTCCAAAGGTTTGAACGTCCGGTGAATCAATCAAAGCAAGCCTTGTCCAACATGCTTCGGCAGCGAGCTCCTGCCAATCAATACATGTCTTCCCAGCAACCAATGGTCAACTTCCCTGGAATGCAGCAGAGACCGCAGTTTGTTCGGTACGTATTTGCTTCGATACTGTCTACCTGGACCTGCAAAACCTTTTTAACCGGGTAAATTGTGCTTTGTTTAGGCAACAAATGCGGGGGCAACACCCGGGTCAGCCAGGTCTTCAGCCGGGAATGCAGGGTCCAAATCAACAGCAAATGTTCCAGCAGCAGCAGCAACAACAACAGCAGCAGCAACAGCAACAACAGCCCCAGCAACAGCAGGGGCCGGGCGGACCAATGTATTCCAATGTGCAAGGTGAGCTTGCTTGCATTCATTTACTTTGCAAGTAACAACATATTTTAACTGTTTGGAAAAGTCCCTCTTGGCCTATCCTAACGTGCACCTTTTCCGTCCCAGGTGTGAACCAGAACTACCAAGGCTATGGTGGACAGCAGATGCCAGTCAGCCAGCCCAACTCCATGGGCGGGCAGTACTCTGGCGGCCCCGGCAACATGCCCGGCCAGTTCGGCCCCGGCCAAGGCGGACCTCAGGGCGGGCCTCAGGGCGGGCCTGGCGCCGTGGGCCAGGGCCCCGGAGGCGCCCAGGGTCCGGGAGTTGGGCCAGGAGGCCCAGGCCAGCAGGGGCGGCCGGACTACATGGGCCAGGGCCCCGGCGTCGGTCCAGGTGGAGTGCCTGGAGGGGGTCCGGGAGGCCCGGGCGGCGTCCCAGGCGGCGGCCCCGGCCCGCAGATGACACCCCAGCAGAGGAGCATGATGCAGCAGCAACAACAGCAGCAGCAGCAACAGCAAAACATTCGGCCGCAGTACATGCAGGTGAGTCGCAGCACCCCGACCCCTTGCCTCCACTTGCTCGAGTCTAGGACTCTACCGCCTCCCTTGCTCCTGGCCTAATGTTTCCGTTTGCTGACGTTTCGTTTTGTTGTCAGGGCGCTCCCAACGTGACAATGACCGCCATGGGCGGCGGCGTGGGGCCCGGGGGACCCATCAACCAGCCGGGCAACATGCCAGGCAACATGCCCGGAAACATGTCGGGCAACATGCCGGGAAACATGCAAGGCAACATGCCGGGAAACATGCCCTCGCAGCCGGCCCCGCCCTACAGCCGAGGCGCGGGCAGTGGCAAACCCATCGGCCCGGGCAACATGCCGGGCAACATGCCAGGCAACATGCCGGGCAACATGCCAGGCAACATGCCGGGAAACATGCAAGGCAACATGCCAGGCAACATGCCGGGAAACATGCCTGGCAACATGCAAGGCAACATGCAGGGAAACATGCCTGGCAACATGCCGGGCGTAGGGCCTGGCGTGGGGCCGGGTGGCGTGGGGCCGGGCAACATGCCAGGCAACATGCCAGGCATGCAGCCGCAGAACGTCCAGCAAATGCAGCAAAACCAGCAGACCCAGCAGCAGCAACAGTTCCAGGTACGTAAACCTTGAAACCGACAAAAGACCCAAGAAAAGGTCAATGTAACGACAATGACTGTTTTATCATATTTTTCAATTTTGCTCCAACAGCAACGGATGCGGATGATGGCATTGCAGCAACAACAGCAGCAGCAGCAACAACAACAGCAGCAACAGCAACACCAGTCTCAACAACAGCAGCAGATGCAGCAACCACAACAGCAGCAGCAGAATCAGATGCAGACCCCGGCCCTTGTTGCCCAGCTGCAGAGGCAAATGCAGTCACAGCAGGGAGGCCCTCAGCAGCAGCACAACCCTTACTCGCATCAGCAACAGCCTTACTGAGCTGCAGCTGTACGTCATACCGTAGGTTTGGGGTTCTTAGATGTTTCTCACTTATGTTACTTTCAGTTATTGAAAGTATCTTTTTCATCTATCAGGCATTTCCATCATTTATTTTTTCATATGAGTAATAGCTTTTACAGAATTTATGGGACTGTGACTTGAACTCATTATCATATTAATTATGAATACTGAAGCATGTACTTGACAAAAGACTTGTAACTTCCCCTGGCTGTTTGTAATGTGTAGGACTAATATGCATGCTAGTGAGATGGTTCAAGTCCATGCATAATGGTGTGTTTTCCTTGTGATGCATTGGTCCATGGTGTATTCACCTTATATTTGTTATCCTATTTTGAGAACAAAAAGTGTTTGTAACAAAGTCTGAGTTTTTGTTTCCCTGGTTGGTAGCTAGATTTTTGAGTGCTTGATAAATGCTTCCATGAGAGGTGAGAAAGTAAGTTTGTTTTATCAATTCAAATCCTGTGATATCAGACAGTGTAAGTGTAAAATAGTTGCACTTGACTACTATTTTAGATCGTTTTAAGAATATTCGTTGTTATTTCAATTACTGTTATTAATTAGCATATTGAAATTTGTTTGGTATTCTGGCAATTTATAAATCTTGTGTCGGATGGGTCGGATGCCAGTATTGAATTAAATCCAGCTTATTGTTGATGTGTTAAGAAACGAAAGGTCTTGTCAAATGTTTTAAGTTATTCTTAATTTTTATTTATGGAAGAAAGGTCAGTGTGGATGTATTACTGTTTTAATTTTGACCCAGTTCCTATATAGAAACTTTGTCTTACAAACTTGAAAAATATTTTATATTGGCAAATAATTGATTTTTGTAGATCAATGTGAAGAATCAAGATTGTGGTCTGATCAGTTGCTCCTATGTCGCAGATCAGGATGCTTAAAGAACTGTTTATCTCATCTTGTAGAAAATTGTATTGTATTGAGTACTTCGTATTAGGAAAATGTGGTAGTGTAATGAAATGAACATTATTGATTTAAATTGAAGGTCTTTAGTGGTACAAGTGTATTACTCTGTAAGTAATAATATCAGAATTTTTTTTTTGAATTAGTCAAATGTGACCATGTACTTTATAAAAGAAATTGAGCCCTGTAAGGTTCATAGACAAAATTTTGTATGCGTATCTTTACAGTTTTGTGTGAATGAACCAAGACTGCTGTAACAGTGATTCAACAGTACATTTTTTATGTTTATTCAATTACTGAGTGATTAAAATTGTTTTTCACATTGAATTTGGTGGTTTTACTTGCCTTTATTCAACCTGACCCCCTTCTGCTGCTGTTAGAACTAGCAGTAAAGCAATGAAACACAGATTTAATAATAAACCAAGTGTCTTTATTTACACTATTTACAAGGAAAATTAATTTTACACCAACTGTAATCTGCTCTTTGATTTACACAAGACCATTCTGCAGCTGTCTAATACTGCTTCTTTCAATGCCTATTTAAAAATCACCTGGCAATATCACAAGGTACTTGTCTAATTCGGGACATCTATTCATTCTGTGAAATTCTTGTCACACAATATTCTATATTTGGTTATTTTTTCATCTGTGATACACTGATTTAAAATTCCTCTCTCGGCTAAGGGAAGTCAACTCAGCATCTATTTTCATATCGGTGCATCAGCAATCCGATCCCTAGAGTGATTATGCTTGAGATATGTGGGTCCAAACTGGACGTGGGAAGGGAGACGGGTTGCCTGTCGCCTGGGGATTCTAAACAGCCAAAAACAGCCAGAGATTGAAAGGGGCACAAAATGATCAAGACGGGGGAGGGGTAATGAATAGGATTCCAGGGCATAATCCTGGAGCAGCCTCGATTTAAAAAAAAATGAACAACGATAAGCCTTGATGAACCTGACGAAGAGCAGCGTGAGGTGGAAGGGTCCATCTCACACCTCGCTGTAGATGGTGCAGGTGGGCAGGGGCTCCGACCAGGTGCCGTTGGGTCGGCACTCGGGCCTGCCGTCCAGGGGCGCCACGTAGCCCACGTTGCAGGACACGGTGATCTTGTCGCCGGGGACGTAGGCGAACTTGACGGGCTGCAGGCGGCCGTTGGCGGGCTCGCCGGGGTACGGGCAGCGGGGCTTACCTGCAGCGGGGCACGAAAACACAGCGTCTCATGAGAGATTCCGAACGGTGGTTCGTCGCTTTGTCTCTCTACCTCTCATGGGGCTTGCCGTAGGGGTGTGAGAGAGACAGAGCGACGAAAGCAATGTTCACAATCCAAATCCCTTGCAACTGGAAGAGCAAGCCCCCGAACGAAACACACACGGCGATACTCCATGCACGAGAGGCTCTCGACGTGAGCCTTAGGACCGAGCGTGGGGTATTGGCAGGCCAATTTCATAAGGCATCTCCGAGCTGAAGGGGACTTCAGATTTTCTATTCGGCAGTTCGAGCACGGAGTATATGGTTCGTGCGAATAGAGTCCTACAGTGGACTTGGCAAGGCGAAACGCCTGTTATGGAGAGGGTGGGCCAGCCCGCCAGACACGCGCTCGCGGCGGGTGGCCTAACCCTGACTCGACAGGCGCGCGGCGGGGTGCGGGGGGCGCGTCGCGGCAGGCGAGTACTCACACGTGGGCGCGGGGTGCGACCAGTGCCCCGTCTCGGTGCACACGATGGAGGGCTCGCCGATGAGCTGGTAGCGGTCGTGGCACGCGTATCGCAGCGACGCCCCCACGCCGAGCGGCGGCAGCTTGAGCCGCGGCGTGGTGTCCTTCTTCCTGGCCTTGGCGGCGTCCTCCTCCGTGGCGTTGGGGGCGGCCGTGGTGGTCGTGGTGGTCGTGGTGCTGGGCTCCTTGGCCATCTCGGCGTGCGCCTCGGCCGTGCGCAGCGCCGTCTCGGGCGGCAGGGACTCGACGACGGTGCCGTGCTTGGGCACGGGCATGGCCTTGCAGAGGATCGCTGCGGCACCAGAACGAGCATTCAATGCACTGCCGCCATCCAGACACCAAAACAAAAGACAAAAGGCGGTACTGACGCTTGCAGCGCGGTAGCGGCCGGTCCCACTGCCCCGTGCTCTCGCACATGAGGCCCGGCCGCGGGTCCACGGTGTAGCCGAAGGTGCAGGCGAAGATGGCGTGGCCGCCGTACGAGTTGTTGACCTCGACGAGCCGCATGCGGGGGTCGCTCAGCATGAGGGCCGGGCAGCGGATCGGGACGCAGGCGGGGGTGGGGTGCGACCAGTGGCCCGACCCCGTGCACGTCACCGTGGCCGCGCCCTGCAACAAGGGGAACAACGGTCTGTCTCTCTCGCACCTCTGCGGGACGCCCCTCAAGTGCGAGGGAGACAGAGACAGTCCACGCACGCACCTTGATGGTGTAGCCGAGCGGGCAGGAGAACGCGGCCGTCTGCCCCAGGCGGCTGCCCTCGACGCGCACGCTGAGCGCCGCGTCCCTGGACTGCAGGCGGTCCTGGTCGCAGTGCACCGGCGCCACCCGCACCGCCACACTGTTAGTGGCCCTCTCCGGCGCGGGCGTGTGGCACGTGTAGGTGCCCGAGTCGGTGGGCTTGCTGTAGTAGATGGACAGGCGGTACTTCCAGTCGCGCTCGTCCGACGCGATGGCCCAGCCTGCAACGCGAGGAACGCGGTGACAGTGTACCAGTCTCGAAAGGGTTGCCGACCTCCGCCTGCCTGCGAGGCAACATCTGGGCTTTGCTCTCGAAGAGCTGCCTGAAGGCAGGCGAGACTCACCCGTGAGGTAGCTCCGGTGCGTGGCGGTCCAGGACCACTCCGGCGTGCCCATCTTGCGCGAGTAGAGGCACTCGAGGTGCACGATGGAGCCCGGGAACACGGCCAGCTCGCCGCTCGGCTCCACGGCCGCCGACCCGGTGGGGATGCTGAGCAGGATGGTGGGCGGCGTGCCAGGCGCGAAGTTGGTGAGCACGGTGGTGGGCACGCAGTGCGGCACGCGGTCCGACCACTTGCCGTTCTGGCACTGCAGCGACGCGCTGCCCCGCAGCTTGTACATGCCCAGCTCGCGGCACCGCGCCAGCAGCACCGCGTCGTGCGGGAACAGCAGCTGCGACGCCTGCACGCGCCGCACAGTGGGTCAGAATCCCGGACGCGCTTTCAGCTCCAGAGTCGCTAAATGGGACTCGAACCGAACGTGTGACCCCACCGATGGATTGCTCTCGGAGGGAGGAATCCATTGGTGGGGTCACACGCTCGGTTCGAGTCCTGTTGAGCGACTCTGGAGCTCAAAACGCGTCCGAAGCTTTGGCCGCGACTCTACCTGAATGGTGACGTTCCTGTAGGTGAGCACCACGTGGCTCGGCACGTTCTCCAGGAGGCAGCTGCGGAGGATGGGGTGGTACCGGCCGCCGTCTGCACGCATCGGTGAAGAAATTAGTCAGTTAGTCCGTCCGTCCAGAAGGCAGCATAGGCCAGCCCCACCCCGCCTCGCCTCACCATCCTTGTGCTCGCAGAGCGGCCCGATCCACTGGCCCTCCACACACTTGATCTTGCACAGCTTCCTGTCCCTGGTGAGCGGGTCCGTGATCTCGGCCACGAACTTGACCTCGGCCACGCTGCTGTAGTCCTTGGGGTGGCGGGCGGCGTGCGCGACCTGCCCGTTGAGCGCCAGCAGCGGTGCGGAGCATCCCACTGCAAAGCCAGAATATTCAAAGTACCGAACAGAGGCTTCGTCGCTCTGTCTATCTCTCACACTCATGGGGCGTCCCGTGTAGGTGTGAGAGAGACAGCCTGCTGCGGCGTGCCGGCCTTACCTGGAATCTTGGTGCTGTTGGCCAGGTCGTCCGCGGGCTGCGCGGTGGTGGCGGCGGGGGCGGGCGGCGGCGGGTGGCTGGGGGAGGGCGTCGGGAACTGCAGCAGCAGCAGGAGCAGCGGCAGCAAGGGCGGCGAGGGCCGCCACAGCCCGCGCAGCCTCCCCGCGCCCCGCGCCGCCCCGCGCACCGCCCCGCGCGCCGCCCCCCAAACCGGCCCGCGCCCGGCCAGCACGCGGACGCCTGAAAGGCCTGAAACAAAACAAGCGGCGCTGCAATCGATAGCTAAACCTTTCCATCAGCAGGGCGATGTTTGGGGCAGGTGCGCTGCCCGGCGGTGGGGACGACTTCCCGACGGCAGCTCCGGGAGTAAACACGCACAAAACGCAACCTCGCACGCATACGGGGACTGGCGGTGACCATTTCTGAGGTGTCATGGCAGTGCCGGCGTGGTGCGGTGCACGCCGATGACACCCTAGAGCTGCTGGTTGGTAACGACTTCGCCTGGCGAGATGCACAACAGCAATGCACACACACGCGCACACACAAACACAAACACACACGAAATGCAACCACACGCTCGCACACATTCAGGCTCACACCCACACGAAGGCGGTCACTACTCTACTTCGCGGCCCCGCTCTACGTGTGGAGCCGCGGGCCACTAGGCCGCGAGCCCCCAGCCGGCCCCGGGCCTCACGCATCGCGCGCGCATGGCCGAGGTGCACAAGCGAGATGCACCGGCCAGCGCGACCCACGACGTAGTGAGTAGTACGGAGTGCGCGGTGCAGTGCTCTGCCTACGGTGTAGGCGCTGGCTCCAGGAATAACAACCGCGAGTTCTTCGCGCGGCCGGGGCCGCGGCACAAGCGCTGCATCACGCGCACCGCGGCAGCACGAACACGGCCTCGATCACGTCGACGACGTGCCGAGCCGATGACGGTGGGCACGGCGACGGGGCGGCCCGACGCTGGCGCGGGCAGGGCTCGGCAGACACGCTGCAGCAGGGCAAGCAGGGCAGCGCGGCGGCGGGGCGCGCGACTTCCTACCTTCCAGGGCGGTCCTGGAGCCTCACGATCCAGACGGAGTCCTGCGGCGCCGAGGCCGAGGAGGCCTGGGCGCTGCCGGCGAGCTAGCCCGTGCCGCCGTGTCCGCGGTGTGGTGCCACACGCCCAGACAGCCACTGGCGGGGCGGCGGGGCGGCGGCGGCCCCAGGCCCAGCGCGGCGTGGAGCGGCGTGGCGGCCACCCCCACCCCAACCCCACACAGGCATGCGCACACGCCACCCCGACGGCGAGCCTGCAGACTGAATCCGAGGGGCTTTTCGGTCGCCCTGTCTCGCTCGCAGTCATGGGGCGTCTCGTGTGGGTGCGAGAGAGACAGAGCGACGAAAACGACTCTCGGAATCGGTCTCCTGATGGCTTCCTTGTCGCACCCCTCCTCGTCGGCCTCCCTCGCACTCTGCACTGCTCTGCACCCTGTGTCACTCCACGTGTACCACCCCCACCGCCCCCGCGCCTCTCGCTCCTCTCTCCCCCGCCCCCGCCCCCGGTCCAGGCCTCCCCTCCCCACCGGACCCGTCTCCGTCACTCCGTCTCCATCCGTGCAAACGCGGTGCGTTTTTGCAAAAAGGGGAATCGGGTCGTGGAAATAGTTTGCCCCGCGCTCAGCCGCTCGTGTAAAAGGTGGCGCTTCAAGTACCTACAGCGTTGCAGGCCAGCGTCACGATATTTGTCAGGCCTAGAGCACCCAGGCCAAGAGCATTTCTCTAGGCCGAGAGCAGGCAATGAGCAGCGTCCAGCAGACAAAGCAAACACACACACACACATACCCACACACACATACACGCACACACGAGCGCGCCAATCCCCACCCTCGCGCTACACTGGGGTTATTGCAGACGGCGGCACACCTGTCGGTACATCGGCTCCGTTATGAGAGGGGGAGGGGGGAGAGTGGCTCAGGGGATTATCAATAAATCTTGCGCGCTCGCCGCTCAGCCGCTCTCCGCGCGCGCACGCGGCCCCCTCTAGTGCCTCTAGTGCTCCAGCTGGATGAGAAAGGGAGTGTCGCCGCGTCACCACGTTCGAGAGAGAGACAGACAGACAGACAGACAGACAGACAGACAGACAGACAGACAGACAGACAGACAGACACAATGGGCCGGTGCCTGTGTTTGTGTTGGGGAGAGACAGAGACAGGGGCGGCCGGGCTCGAGGCCGGGCTGCCAGGGTTGAGTAGGGGGTTGACAACTTGACATAACGCGCTTCTTCATCGTCCATTTGCATAAAGGGATCCACTCCCATTCGTCATGCGGGCTCAGTAAGAGTGAGAGGGTCGTGCCGAGGGATGGTGGGAGAGGGAGAGAGAAAGGGAGAGGGAGAGAGAGGGCCGCGAGGAGGGGTCTGGGTCCCAGGTGTGGCAACCCCTCGCCGTTTGTAGCGTTCGTCGCGGCTATGGGGCCCCATTGGGGGTGCGCGCTGCGTGCTGTGTGTATGTGTGTCACTGGCTCAAAGTCGATTGGGAACTAGGCAAACAAGAACTTGGCGTCCTAGGTGAGCGGTGCCGCTCCGCGACGTGCTGGTGTGTGAGTGTGTATGTGCAGTGATTTGGGTTGAGGGGTGGGAGGGGGGCGATAATGCGAATGAATGAATAATGTGTCTCGAGGTGTAATGCATTGAAAAGTTGCCAGCTAGCTCGTTGTCCAAGAAAGTCATCCAGCCTCTCAACAGCAGCGCGGTGCAGGTCTCGGAGGCCCGCCGCCCCCGCCCCGCCGCCCCCGCCCCCCAAGCAGACGCAAACAAAAAGTTTCCCTTCGGCGCGCGGAAACATTTTCATAAACATTTCGCACACAGAGCGAAAGGTAATTTATGAAGGGGGCACAAAAAAAAGAAAGCTGAAGCTGAAGAATACTGGACCAGGGGCCGGCCTTATTAACCCCAGAAGAGGGGGAGGGGGGCTGCAATTTACGTTTGGTCATTACAGAAATGCCCGCTGTCGGTCGAGAGGGCTAGATAGCTAGATAGCTAGATAACCGAGTCTAAGGCCCTAGATAAAGAGAGACTGACTGGACAGAAAGGCGCGCAGTGACGCGGTGTCGCGCGGTGACGAGCCCCCCCCCTCCCCCTCCCCCTCCCCTCCCCCTCCCCTCCCCTCCCCCTCCCCCCCCCCCCCCCCCCCCCCCCCCACCTCGCACCCGGCCCAGCGAGCGGCAAGCGCGGCAAGCACAAGCAGAGCGGCCGGCCGGCAGTGTAGTGTCATCGCACAATCGGGCAGCAGCGACACAATGACCACCGCGGGGAAGGTGAGAGAGACACGCGCTTAAGACCTACGAGAAAATTTTGAGCATACATAGTACAAACTAATCTACTTTGTTATGCGAAGAAATAGTTCGGAAATAACGAAGTATTTTCTTTGTAAGCTTCTGTATGCTCAAAATACTTGGAGCGTTGAAGCGCTTGACCCTGTATACTCCTAACTAAATGGAGCCGTCGTCCTAAAAAGTGTGCCGACTTGTAAATCAATCTGTTTACACCCGCTGTGCTACGTCAGGTTCGGCGAAATGCCGAGTGAGGTGCGAATCAAACAGCCCACCTTGTTGCCTACCGTATATGTGTTTCGGCAAACTTGTAGTGAGAAGATCGCAGCGACAATGTCACAGTGAGGAAAGTCAACAAAGTAGTGTGACGCTCGCTACGGGCCAAATAGAAGGGTCACCTTATCTCTCCGACGACTACGGACGAGTCCGGAGAGTCGTTTCGTCGCTGTCGCACTCATGTGGGCGCCCCGTAGCGGTGCGAGAGAGACAGCGCCACGAGTCGACTCAGGACTCGGCAGTGCCACCTAGAAACACTCTCACCGCTGGCCGCTGGCCAACGACCTTGCCGCCGACAGAAGACACTAGCCCACTTTTTTACGGCTCCAGATTAATAAAAAGTAAAGCTATATAATCCACTGCCCCTCTCAGCCAATCGCGTGTCGCGCCGCCGTCTGCTGGGAGCCCCACAAGCCGCTCAGCATCGAGGACGTCGTCGTGGACCCCCCTCGGGCCGGTGAGGTGAGTGCCGCCGCCACCGACGGGCTGCTGTGCTGACCCACAACAGATTAGATGACCTTGAGACGCGCCGCCGAATGGGCGGCACTGCCGGCCCGGCCGGCCTTGACGGCCTTGATCCCGAGCCGAGTGGTTTTGGCGTCGGCTGTACAATGTACGACACGCGCGCGCGCGTTGTTGTTGTTGTTAGGAGGGAGTCCGCATGGTGGTCGCGTATTTTTGGCGTCGCCTGTACAGTGTACCACACGTGGCGCGTGTTTTGTTGTTGTTAGGTGCGCGTCCGCATGGTGGCGGCGTCCATCTGCCGTACGGACCTCTGCGCCATCGAGGGCCACACCATCATCATGTTCTACGAGGGCATGTACCCCGTCATCCTGGGGCACGAGGGCGTGGGCGTCGTGGAGAGCGTGGGCCCCGGCGTCACCTCCATGCAGCCGGGTGAGGGCAGCGCCGCGCAGTGTAGCGCCTGCGAGGCAGGCCACCGACGCGGTCCGCAACACACAGCGGCGCAGACGGCGGCCTGCCTCGCCCCTGCCGCCTGCAGGCGCAGTGTAGGCCACCGTCTGCGCAGCAGTGTGCTGCGGGCCGCATCGGTGGCCTGCCTCGCAGGCGCTACGGCACAGCGATTCGATTCCGGAAGTGAAGGGATCTCTACGCCATGCCTCAGAACGCCCCATGAGTGCGACAGCAACGCGTAGAAAGGCCGCTTCAGATCTTGCAGTGTGCCTCAACAATGCGCCCCGTTCGTTTAGGCGACCACGTGGTGCCCTCGTTCGGCAAGAAGTGCAACAAGTGCGCGATGTGCGCGAGCGGCGGGACCAACCTCTGCCAGGCGACCAGTGTGAGTCCGCTATGCCGTGTCCCGGAAGACTTGCGCAGGCGGCCGAAACTATAGACGACGTCTCGCTGTCGCAGGGCCAGTGCGTAATGGCTGACGGCACCACCCGCGTCACGGCCAGGGGCACGCCGGTCTACCAGGTGGCCTGCATCGGCGCGTTCGCGGAGTACGCCGTGCTCGCGGAGGACACCACGGCCAAGGTGCGCGTCGACGAAGGTTCAAGTCCATGTTAGGGGTTGCTTGGGTGCTGTCGTCTGCTGAGCAAGCTTCTCGGTGTCTCCCCCTCCACCAGGTGAACCCCGCCGTGCCCATGAAGCACCTCTCCCCCATCGGCTGCTGCATCCCGACGGGCATGGGCTCGGCGCTGAACGAGGCCAAGGTGGGCCCCGGCTCGACGTGCGTCGTGTGGGGGCTGGGCGGCGTGGGGCTGGCCGTCGTGCTGGGCTGCAGGCTGGCGGGGGCAACCACCATCCTGGGCGTGGACATCAACCCCGACAAGGAGGCCCTCGGTGAGTGGTATGCGTTTGGTGGCGTTGCACAGAGGAGGCGGCCGAGAGGCGGAGGGGACTCACCCTCCATCAATGCAGCCAGGAAGTTCGGCTGCAGCGAGTTCCTCGACCCCAAGACCCTGGACAAGCCCATCGCGCAGTACATGGCGGAGCGCTTCCCCGGTGGTGGCTGCGACTTCGCCTTCGAGAGCGCGGGCTCCCTGACGGCCATGGTGAGTGCTTTTCGTGTGTGTGTGTGTGTGTGTGTGTGTGTGTGTGTGTGTGTGTGTGTGTGTGTTTCCCCTTGATAGATGCCTGGGCAAACCCTGATTACTTCTCCTCCCGCAGAAAGACGCGTTCGACTCGGTGCGCGTCGGCGGCGGCCACTGCGTGGTGATCGGGGGCACGCCCCACGGCACCCTGCTGGGCATCGGCCCGGGGGACTTGCTGTGCGGGAAGCGCATTTCGGGATGCCTGTTCGGCGGCTACCACTTCCGGAACGACCTGCCCAAGCTGGTAAGCACGCACAGTGGGCCAGAAGACCGGTGGAGGCGGCCGAAGTTCTAGACGCGTTTTGAGCCCCAGAGCCGCTAAATGGGACTCGAGCCGAACGTGTGACCCCACCAATGGATTGCTCTTCGAACGAGGAATCCATTGGTGGGGTCACACGTTCGGTTCCACTCCTATTTTGCGTCCGGAATTTTGACCGCCTCCACTGGTCTTCTGGCCCACTGTGCGACCTCCTCCTTGGAGACCGTTGTCGCCGTCGTCTTCGCAGTGTTATGGGCTAACTCACTCACACACTAATGCAGGTTGACGAGGTCGCGGCCGGCCGGATACCCATCGACGACTTCGTGACGCACGACTTCCGGTTCGAGGACATCGGCAAGGCCCTGGATGTGATGAGGACGGGCAAGGGGTAGGTCAGCGGTTCTCAACCTTTCTCGGCTCGCGACCCCAATTGTAGCCAAAAATTTCCGCGACCCCCAGGAAAAGTTTCACGACCCCACGGGACCCCTCCTTTAGCATGCCACTGCGTCTGATCCGAGGCGGGCATTTTGCTCCCTCAACGGGCAATTGGTCTTTGGACCTTCCTTTAGCATGCCTCTGTTACGGAGTGCGATTATCAGTCTTAGTTTGGGAGCAGTATTGTCTCAAAGTTGGCCAAAACGCTCAGAAATGTCTTAAAAAATCATGTCTTGGGTCGATTTTAAGCAGCCACTGCGTCTGATCCGAGGCGGGCATTTTGCTCCCTCAACGGGCAATTGTTCTTTGGACCTTCCTTTAGCATGCCTCTGTTACGGAATGCGATTATCAGTCTTAGTTTGGGAGCAGTATTGTCTCAAAGTTGACCAAAACAGGCACAACGATTTTTCAAAGACATTTCTGAGCGTTTCGGCCAACTTTGAGACAATACTGCTCCCAAACTAAGACTGATAATCACACTCCGTAACAAAGCCATGCTAAAGGAAGGTCCAAAGACCAATTGCCCGTTGAAGGAGGACGAAATACCGCCTCGGGTCAGACGCAGTGGCTGCTTAAAATCGGCCCAAAACACGATTTTTCAAAGACATTTCTGACCGTTTTGGTAAACTTTGAGACAATACTGCTCCCAAACTAAGACTGATAATCACACTCCGTAACAAAGGCATGCTAAAGGAAGGTTCAAAGACCAATTGCCCGTTGAGGGAGCAAAATGCCCGCCTCGGATCAGACGCAGTGACTGCTTAAAATCGGCCCAAAACACGACCCCAGCTACCTCGCCACGACGCCTTAAAATTTTTTCGCGACCCCACTTGGGGTCGCGACCCTAAGGTTGAGAACCACTGGGGTAGGTGGACGCGCTCTCACGCGGCCCTGGGCTGTCCGGCCAGCGGCACAGCGCCTAACCTCAGTTCGGAAGGAGCGTGCTGACGAGTGCGTCCATTCTGTTGGCAGCATTCGCGTGTCCCTCCAGTTCGAGTAACCACCCGCCTCGCACCGTCACTCCTTCTCACCTCCGGAACAACCTGAGCAACCCCACCAGACATTGCATTCAGGTCATGGGACAACAATTTACAAATATTTGACAGTCAATGAAATCTTCCTTAAGAAGCGTCACATAAAAAGAAGCTTGCAGTTGCTGGTGTTTAAAAGGTTGCTATATAATATTTTTACAGAACATCTGAATTTTACTTTCCACACTGTCATTGATTGTTTAAAATAAAAGCTCATCTCAATGAACTCCCCCTTCTTAATTCGGGGTGCCGGTCGGAGAATGCGCCGCCCTTCCCCCTTTTCTCTCCGCTCCGGTGACCTCCAGAATGACTTCGGCTTTCGCGACGGCTGAGCCTGCACATTTGTGTGTGTGTGTGTGTGTGTGTGTGTGTGTCTGTCTGTCTGTCTGTCTGTCTGTCTGTCTGTCTGTCTGTCTGTCTGTCTGTCTGTCTGTCTGTCTGTCTGTCTGTCTGTCTGTCTGTCTGTCTGTCTGTCTGTCTGTCTGTCTGTGAGTGTGCGTGTGTTAGTGTGTGTGTCTGTGAGTGTGTGTGGGCGTGTCTGGGTGTATTACCCCCACTCCGTCGACCCGTTGGCGCGTTCGCGCCGCTACTCGACGCGGGAGGGGCTCGCCCGGCCCGGCCCGGCCCGGCTCGTCCCGGCGGCGTGGCCGGCGGCGCTGCCGCCGGCTGTTCTGTGAGCGACGGCGAGGACGGCGTCGTTCAGTCGGGTACAGCAGTCCGGACGAAGACACAGCCGCCGCCACCGCCATGGCTACCGCAGGAAAAGTAAGAGACTCTGACAGTGCAGGCTGGAGGCGCTGGCTCACCACATGCCCGTCGTGTACCTTGCCGCCGCGTCCGTCCGCGTCCGCAGGGTCGAGGGCGGAGGCGGCGGCCGGCCCCGCTGGACAAGTTCAAGGCCACGTTGAAGGTCAAATCGGGGACCGCGGCCCCGGCAGCTGTTCAAGCGGCCTCTAGACTCCAGCCTGCATGGAGCCCGGCCCGGCCCATGAGGCCATGGGTGTTCGGGGTGCCATGGACCGCCATGCCGTAAGCGCACCAGGGCACCGGTCCTCTTTCTCGCTTATCTCGGCCTCTGAAGGGCCTGCATAAACAACACCGCCTGACAACGGTGCGGAGGTACTGCGGGCATACAGTGTATGAGGCGGCCAGGTACCCCTCCCCCTCCCCGTCTCTCTTAAGCCCCCTCGAAGCCTAGAAGGAGCCCGCGCTGGGGTGTCTCACGAGACTCACCACAGCTCGGTGACCAAACAAACGCCCAGCAGCGCCGCGCTTACAGTGTCGCGGCCGCGATAACGCACTGGCGGGTCGGCGACCGCTTCCAGGCCGGAAGCCAAGCGCGATATTTTTAAAACGATACGTGTCGCTTTCCCTCGTCTCTCTCTCTCTCTCTCTCTCTCTCTCTCTCTCTCTCTCTCTCTCTCTCTTCACTTGTCGGGCTCCGTCTCCAAGTGACGCACACTGATGAGGACCGCGGTGATCTGAATTTCAATCTGCTGCCAGGACGGCGGTAGCGCGAAGCCGTTAACTTCTGCGAAAAAAAAAAAAGAGTTTGCTAAAAATCGAGTTGACTGTTTTGTCTGCGGACGGCATTCTTCTCGGACTGACTGACGAGAGCGTAGTTACCTGGACGGGACGGTTGAGCTCTCACTCGTTCGGCCTACCTGGGAGAGCGAGCTACACTCGAAACTGGCTGCGTGTGTTTTCATTGTTCGTGGCACTGTTAGGAATCAGCCGAAGAGGAGGCGAGATAGGGATAGGCTTTCCGTCATAATAATACATCCGGTTCAGCACGAGTTACGGGGAGGACTTCTCCCAATGGCCTCTCTTTTTTTCCAGTGCATTTTTATGAGCCGCAATTAAGTCTGAAAGGCAGACAATGTGGTGACTCACGCTTAAGTACTCCAGCGGAAAAGCCTCTGTGGCGCCCGCACAGCAGCAAGACAAACATAGAAACGAGAACGAACAAAAAAAATCCTTTGCCGCATTTTGTTGAACTTTTGCCGTGCAGGTAATCACATGCCGGGCTGCTGTTTGCTGGGCCAAGGGCGAGAGCCTCTCCATCGAGGAAATCACCGTCGATCCGCCGAAAGAAAATGAGGTGAGATGAAACTAGCCGCTGGGCTAGTGCAGGTATGCACCGGCGCATAGTGAGCTAGAAGACCGATGGAGGCGGCTAAAACTATAGACGCGTTTTGAGCTCCAGAGTCGCTCAACGGTCTCGAACCGACCGTGTGACCCCACCAATGGATTCCTCATTCGGAGAGCAACGCAATGCTGGGGCCACGCGTTCGGTTCGAGTCACATTTAGGGACGCTCTGGAGCTTAAAACGCGTCTACAGTTAAGGCCGCCTACACCGGTCATCTGGCCCACTGTGCGGCGGGTACATTCTCATACTCTGTGCGCTCCGCACTGACCGCCGGCCCTCCGCCGGCCCCAGGTTCGCCTCCGCGTGGTGTCCTCGTCGTTCTGCCACTCGGACCTGCACGCCATCCAGGGCATCAAGGTGCCCGGCCTGGTGGACGTCCAGTTCCCCATGGTGGCCGGCCACGAGGGCGCCGCCGTGGTCGAGAGCGTCGGCCTCGGAGTCACGTCCGTGGCAGCAGGTCACTAGCCTAACGTAACATAGCGTCACTTCACGTGACGTGACCTAACCTAACCTGACTTCACTTAACTTAACCTGACCTAACTCAATCTAACCTGACCTAACTGAACCTAACCTGGCCTAACTTAACCTGTCCTGACCGAACTTAACTCAACCTGACCTAACTTAACCTGCAGACCGATTTGCTTTGTAGGTGACAGCGTGATCCCGCTGTTCGGCGCGCAGTGCGGGGTCTGCGTGCTGTGCAAAATGGACGGCACCAACTTCTGTCTGCACTCCCGGGGCACCAGGGTGAGCCCTCACGTAGTACTGCGTTGTTATGTGGCCGTGGCCTAGAGTCCTGCGTCCCCCCCTCGATGGCGACCGCTGGATTTCTCATCCGAGTCCCTCCCCCGCAGGGCCTGGGCGTCATGATGGACGGCACGTCTCGGATGTCCTGCAAGGGCACCCCGCTCAAGACCTTCCTGGGCTGCTCCACCTTCTCGGAGTACTTCGTCATCGATGAGCCCTGCGTCGCCAAGGTGAAGACCGGCACCGGCGGCAAAAACTCTAGACGCGTTTTGAGCTCCAGAGTCGCGAAACAGGACTCGAACCGAGCGTGTGACCCCACCAATGGACTGCTCTCCGAATGAGGAATCCATTGGTGGGGTCATACGTTCGGCTCGAGTCCCATTTAGCGACTCTGGAGCTCAAAACGCGTCCGGGGTGGTCTTCTGGCTCACTGCTCGTCAAGTTCCCAAATGCCGACTTCGCCGGCGGCGGTTCCAGATCAGCAAGAAGGCGGACCTGAAGAAGGTGGGCGTGGCGGGGTGCTGCATCCCGACGGGCGTGGGCGCGACGCGCGTCGTCGGCAAGGTGAAGCGCGGCTCGGTGTGCGCCGTGTGGGGGCTCGGCGCCGTGGGGCTGGCCACCATCATGGGCTGCAAGCTGGCGGGGGCCTCCACCATCATCGGCATCGACGTGTCCGCCTCCAAGGAGGCGCTCGGTGAGTTGCGTTGCACAGTGCGCCAGAAGACCGTGGAGGCGGCCGAAATCCCGGACGTCGTCAAATGGGACTCGAACCGAACGTGTGATCCCACCAATGGATTGCCCTCCGAACGAAGAATCCATTGGTGGGGTCACACGTTCGGTTCGCGTCGAGAGTTTTGTCCGCCTCCACTGTGCGTCGTCACGTCGTAGGCGTGCTCGGCCGTATTCGAAGACGACTTGACTTTGCGGTGCTTGCAGGGAAGAAGTTGGGTTGTACCGAGTTCATCAACCCCACCAAGCTGGACAGGCCGATCCAGGAGTACCTCCAGGAGAGGTTCGGCGGCGGCTGCGACTTCACCTTCGAGAGCATCGGCAACGTCATGACCATGGTGAGCGAGACCGAGAGTTTGTGCAAAGAGATCGATCGGCAGCACTCAGTGGGCCAGAGGACTGGCGCCGCCGGCCATAACTTACATGCATGAGCTGCAGAGTCGCTAAACAGGACTCGAACCGAACGTATGACCCCACCAATGAATTCCTTTTTCGGAGGGCAATCCATTGGTGGGGATCGAGTGACTCTGGGGCTCAAAACGCGTCCGGGATAATTTCGGCCGCCTCAACCGGTCTTCTGGCTCACTGTGCGTGGCAGCACTTTCAAAGAATTTCACGTAGCAATCCTTCTAATTTTTTTAAAATTTTTCCAATCGTTTCCAGAAAGCGGCCTACGAGTCTGTGCGGCCAGGCGGCGGCGTGTGCACTGTCCTGGGCGTCTCGTCCGACCCCGACAAGTTCGTCGAGGTGCACCCCCACGACATCCTGGCCGGCAAGGAGATCAAGGGCTGCTACTTCGGCGGCCTCCGCTTCCGCTTCGACGTCAGCCCCCTGGTGAGTACAGGGACAGGGGTCGCGGGTTCAAGTCCCCGTTCATCCCTACCCGTTTTGTCGTCGCGTCTCGTCTGGATCCGCGCCTGACTGGTACTTGACTGGTACTCTGCACTTCACAACACTGTAACCTATCAGAGTGGTTGTGAAAACGGACAGAAAAGTTGTCATGTTTCCCGAAATCAAATGTGCATTTTTTTCTGGTTGTGCAGGTCGACGAGATCATCGCAGGCAAGATCTGCTGCGACAATTTCATCACCGACACTTTGAGCATCGACAAGATCAACTGGGCCATCGAGCAGATGAAGGCGGCCCAGGGGTGAGCGGCTTTTCTCTCTCGTTGTGCAGACGAGTGTCTGTCTCTCTCGCACCCGAACGGCACGCCCCGCGAGACAAAGCGACGGAAAAGACTCTCCTGTGTTTTCCTGTTTTTCTTGTTTCCTTCATCACCTTCCAACGTGCCGTTTGCGATCGTTTCAGGATCCGCTACGTCCTCTTGTTCTGATCGGACCCTCATCACCACCTTCACCACCACCGACCCGCGCGCCGCGAGGGCTCCACACTGCAACCACGTCACCATGCCACTGTTAACGAGTATTAAAAACGTGAAAAACCTTGCTTTGTCGGTATGACTCGAGTACCCCTCGTCCCTTATTCGGCCGGGTACCGCCAAGTACTGGCGGGGCGGCCACACTGCGAAATGATGCAATGTATATGTATGAAGCATGGCGCCGGGCGGCCTGGCCAGGTCGGCGGGGCGCGGCCGCGCGCCCTGCCCGGGGCTGCCAGCATGGCCGGGCCGGCCAGGGCGGCCAGGGCGGCCAGGGCCCACAAACACATTATAATAATCCTGTTTGCGGCGGACAAACGCGCGCCAAAAGTTTGAACAAGCATTAACGGCCTACTTTGGCCGCGGGCTGGCAGCGCGGCCGCGCCGCGTGACAGACTGTCTGACGGATCGCAAAGTTGGTGAGAAGTACGGCGGAAAATAATGGGAAAAGAATGCCGCGGACAAGGAAGCGCTGCCTGCCGAGCGAACAGTCGCTCTGTCTCTGTCGCACCCCTACGGGACGCCCCACGAGTGCGACAGAGACAGCCACAACACGGCTCTTTGAATCAGACGGCGCGCCATCCACCTTCCCGCCTCGCGTGGAGACTTCCTTTGAATATTCACTATTGACATTCCCCGTGTTTGGCCTCCCCTCCGCCCAGATCAAAGCAGCACACTGGAGTCGTTTTCATCGCTGTTTCTCCGTCGCACTCATGGGGCGTCGCGCATAGGTGCGAGAGAGACAGAGCGGGGCAAGCGACTCTCGGAATCAGTCTGCAGATTCAATATCCTATTCCGATTGTCCTGCAGTTTCCTCCCCAACTTGTTGCCCGGCTGCGAGGCCTTGCCGCCGTTTGGCTGTCTGTAGACTGAGTCGTTCTCTGTCTCTCTCGCACCTGTACGGGACACCCTTTGAGTGCGAGAGAGACGGTGCGACAGAAAATTAAAATAATAATTGATAAGTGAAAGTAGGTGACCACACTTTAAAATCTACGGATGGCCTACTCTGTAAGGTGGAAGCCCCCCCCCCTCCTCCTCTGCGCCGCTGTGGCGCTGTGCATCGCGGCGTGCTGGGCCACGTCAAACTGGCTCAGTAGTTCGTAAAACACCTGCGCGGCATGTGTGCACCTCGACTCATGTTTTGGCTCGGCGTGGCCGCGACCCTCGTGAGTACGCCGCTAGACTTTCATCCCGGCTTAATTGAACCAACTTTCGCCTCCCCCCTCCACTCCTCCAAGAAGGGCGGGCGTGAAAAGGAGCTTGCCGTTGCTTCAGGTGGCCCTGGCGGAGGGAGCCGCCCTGGTCGCGTCTGAGCACGACCTCCTCGACGGCGACCTCCTCGACGGCGACCTCCCCGACGGCGACCTGCCGACCGCCATCCGCGTCCGCCGACAACAGGGCCGCTACGGCGGCAGCGCCAGCCGCCAACAGAACGGCAACCGCTACGAGCAGAACGACCAGCGCAGGTGCGAGGCAATGTCCACTTTTCGATATCGCGATATCGGAACTTTGGACCGATAAGTCGCACGATGCGTATCGAGTAATATCAAATCCGAAATAGCGAGGGTGTTTTGATCGATATCATTGTATCGCGATGACTAATCGACCGCAGTTCGGTACTATTGCAAGAATTGGGGTGTCGTGATATCGCGACTTATCGAACCCTCGAGATATCAATGTGCTTCAAAAACGAATTTTGTCGCCCACGATATCCGGGTTATATCGTATCGATTACATCGTGGCAACGCGCCACTCTGCCTCATTCCGCCGCTCGCTAACTCGGCGTGCAAAACCCTCCGCAGCGGTCCGGGGCTGTCGCGCCAGCAGGCCGAGGACGCCGAGGACGACGAGGGACTGTTCTCCTGGAGCAGCCCCAGCGCCAGCCGCAACCAGCAGAACGTCGCCACGCGCTCCCAGCAGCAAGCGGGTGAGTAAGCGAGGGAAAACGCTTTGGGTCCTTTTGCTCTTTTCACAAGCTACCCTGGGAAACTGGACTGCAGCGTGATGCTTCTGCCAGGCGTACAACTACACTTGAAGTCAAGCGTAGAGAAGAAATTCTCGGACGCATTTCGATAGGCCGAAGGGGGGGGGGGGGGATGGAGAGCTACCTTGCAACCACTTACGCTTGAAGAAAGGCGTAAAAGCGCGTTTTAGTTCTACCAGTGTACGCTCTGACGACGGCCATTCGTCCACAGGCACCCGCAACCGGCCCTGGGACTCGGAGCGCCAGCAGGCGGACCAGGGTGGCGTTTGGCCGTACGGCCAGGGCACCCCCAGCGGCCAGGGCGGCCAGGGCGGCCAGGGCGACCAGGCTGACCCGTCCCGCCGCACCTGGGGCAGCAGCGGCGGCGGCGGCATTGGCAGCGGCAGCGGCGTGGACGTCAACGGCTTCGGCGGCGCCAGCAGCGGCGGCGGCGGCCTTTTCGGCGGCAGCGGCGGCGGCGGTCTGTTCGGCGGCGGCAGCGGCGGCGGCCTTTTCGGCGGCGGCGGCCTGTTCGGCGGCAACCGGCCCAGCATCATCGGCAGCCTCATCAGCCGCATCGGCCAGGGCGTGGCCACCACGGTGCAGGGCGTCTCCGCCGCGCTCGCCAACAAGTGGAACACCAAGGTGCTGGCGGCGCGCGGCCTGGCGTCCTCCCTCTTCAACACGGGCCGCGTGGCCGCGCGGTCGGGGCTGCAGGCCGGCATGGCGCACCCCCGCTTCGCCGTCGAGGCCGTCGAGAACGTCTTCTAGGCGGCAGCCAATTTCCATCGCGGTTATCGGGAGGCTTTCCTAAACTAAAAGTGGGAGGTGCGCCGATCTTTCACCTGTTGAATCCAAGGCGGATTCTTGGTTGTTTTTCAAGAAAATCACTTCCTCAGTGAAATAAAGACACGTACCCCTCACACTGGATCTTATTGGTTTCAATCGCGACTTTTCAGGCAGTGTAGTTCCACAAGGACTCATCAATTTAATTCGATGCAACTCGTTTCTGCATTTGGTTTGGTGACGATCGTCATGCAGCTTTGAGCGCATCTTGGACTGTAGCGACGCAGGCACCCCCCTTTCCCCCCTGCAAGCCGATTCCGAAAGAGACGCGTCGTCGCTCTGTATCTGTCGCACTCATGGGTCGTCCCGTAGGGGTGCGAGAGAGACGGAGCGACGAAACGATTCTTCGAAATGGTTCTTGCTGTGACGCGCGCCGCGTGTTTGGCCAGGTGCGCGGCGCGCCGCCCCGCCGCGCTCCGCCAGCGCGGCGCACAACACAGAAGACGCGACCGCCATCAAAGCCATCAAAGCACCAAGGCGTCTACACCCAAGGTAAGGAGCAGCTAGCGCCAGCGCTCTCGTTCTCGCCAGACTCGATCATCCCCGTGAAACCAGAGCACAGCGTTCTCAAATTCCGACCTGTTCCTCCCAGATGAGATTCACACTGCTTCTGGCAGTGTGGTGCTGCAGCGTGCGCGCGCAGAACTACCCCGGTGCGTCGCAGTACTGGTCCAACCAACAACAACAGCCGCAGCAGCAGCAACAACAACAACCACAGCAGTTTCAGCAGGCGTACCAACCCCAGCAGCAGCCTCAGCAGCTCGGAGGCCAGAACCCGTTCCGCCCCCAGCAGGGCCTCCAGGGACACCAGCAACTCGGCTTCGGCCAGCAGAACGGACAACAACAACAACAACAGCAGCAGCCGGGCTTCCCGCAGGGCGGCCAACAACAACAACAGCCTGGATTTCAGCAAGCCGGCTTTCAGCAGGGCCCGCAGCAGCAGCCTGCTTTCCGTCAGCAGTTCGGCAACGACGACAGACTGCGGCCGGGCGAGACGACCATCTCGCCCTTCCAGAGCAGACTCTTCTCTGGAGGCGCCGGAGCCCCCAACGCGGCGGCCGGACTGGGGGCTCCCAACGGCACTGGCGCTCCCAGCGCTCCCGGCGGCCCCGGCGCCCCCATGGCTGCAGGTGCGGCCGGCACTCCCAGCGCCCCTGGCGCTCCCTCGCAGCACGGCGTCCAGCAGGACAACAACGTGTCCAACAACAACAACAACCTGGAGCTGGAGCCGTTCGGGGCGGTCAGGCAGCCCCAGCCTGGACGGCCCGACTCGCAGGTAGGGCAGTGGCTTGCTGACAGGCGCCGACCCAGGTGGAAGGGGAGGGGGCGTTATCGCCTGAAAGGTAGTCAAAAAGTCGTGCTTTTCCACTGTAAATGGACAGCTTTTGCTCTCCCCCTCCGCCCGGCGAACCCATCTCTGGGATCTGCCCTTGCTTACTGGATGCGGTTGAGTGACGTCGCCGTGCCCTGTCCCAGGTGTTCCAGACCCCGACGGACCAGGCGCTGTACGCCGTGGACTGGTCGTACCCGCGCGCGCGCAACGCCCCGGCCACGCTGATGCTGAAGCGGTGGGGCGGCCTCTCCCCGCCCGAGTACGTGGCGGTGTACCGCCTGCGCGGGCCGACGCCGTCCTCGTCGGCCGCCCTGCACGCCGCCGACCTGGCCGCGTCGCCGTCGTACTCCCTGGCCCGCGACGAGATGCGGCACTACCCCTGGGACGCGGCTCGCCGCCACGCGCCGCCGCGCTGGCACGGCCAGGGGCACGGCGCGCCGCGCGACGAGGACTTCGAGCTGCTGCCCGCCGGCATGCCGCTCACCCACCACCACGGCGTCGACGGCCACTACGGCGCCAGCCAGAACTACATGTACCGCACGCTGTGAGGAGCACTGCCTCCGCCGCTGTCTCTCTCGCAGGGCGGCGGCCAGAGGAAGAGGAACCCACCCCCCTCGCTGGCGGACTGCCTGCTTCACCGAGCAGGACGAAGAAGCCGAAGATTGGTCATTGTGTGCATGTTTACGTGTTTGTGATTTAAAATGGAAATAAAAATGAGCACTGCTTGAAACCGCCCCTCGAGTGACGGCGATTCGAGGGGGAAACAGCTTTCCACATTCGTTGTACAAAATTTGACCACATTCCACATTCAGGAGGCAAAAACGCCTGTAAGTAGGCAACATGTGTGGCAAAAAAGCAAGAATCTTGCACATTCTTGCAATTCACACAATCATTGTAAACAAAATTATACAGTGGGTCACCCTCGCGGCGATTCGAACCCGGGGAGCCGACGTTGGAAAACGGGCGCCCCAGCCCACGCGGCCACGCAGGGCGCACCAACTGCTTCTTGCTCGTCCGTCCGGCGGGCAATACGCCGCGCCCGGAAGCGGAAGCCCGCCGCACTGCACATCCGGTCGCCAGCTCCGCCAGCCCCGCCAGCCCGCCGGATGGTGGAGCCCCGCGGAGCCGCCAACCACCGGCGATCTTGTCGCGAACGCAGATAAGGCGTTTTATGGCGCAGTATTCCCGCCTCGGGGACCGCACCGCGGACCCCAGTACCCCACGGCCAGAAGTCACCCTCCCTTCCCCCCCCCCCTTTCCCGGCCGTGGATTCCAATCCGCCTCCGATAATCTTGATTAGAAAGCTGCGACTGCTCGAGTCTCCCGTCCTACCATGCACCCCTCCCTCCTCTCTCTCTCTCTCTCTCTCTCTCTCTCTCTCTCTCTCTCTCTCTCTCTCTCTCTCTCTCGACGGCCTGCATGGCATGCCGCCCCCTCCCCAAAAGTACAGTAGTCTTTGTGTGACAACCCTTCAGCGGTCACTTTGAAGACAGTGGTTCTAATACTGGTCCGTCGAGAGAAAATTATTTTGGCCGCGGTATAAACGTAAACTCTTTGTTCCGCACGGCTTGGCAGTCTTTGTGCTGGACAGGGCGGCCGCCGGATCGACACAAGGCCCTTCTGCGCTGTGGGTCGAGGGCTTGCGGACTGACTCCGAGAGTCGTTTTCGTCGCTCTGTCTCTCTCGCGCTCATGGGGTGTCGCGTGTAGGTGCGAGAGAGACGGAGCGGCGAATAACGGATCAGGGCGCTGCGCCTGCGCGGCGGCCTGCGCGGCGACCGGGCCGCTGTACCGGTTGACTTGGCATTTTTACGGCGCTATCGGGCAAAAAGGGCTTTCTGGTGGAGTGGCCTGCCTGCCCGCCTGGCGGTTGCTCGAGTCGAGTCGGGATTCGAACGACCGCGGAGTGGGTCGTGTGTGGGCCGGCATCACGGAGGCAGGCTTATCTCGAAAAGCAAAATACAGCCGAGCCGTTTCGTCCGGCAAGTCCGGTGCCTCCACCCCGCCGTCTGCTTACGTACGGCCCCTGGCCCTGGCCGCGGCCTGCGCTGTCCCGCCCAGCCTCTGCCTGCGTTTGATAATGTTACAAAGGGGTAGGGGGCCGGGCCGGGTGCATAGCCTCGCCGCCCCGTCCGCTCCCCGCCCGAACGGGCTGGGCCGGGCCGGGCCGGGCCGGGCTACCCCGTTGGACATCAGCCCCCTGCTCCCCCTCCCGGGAGATTTCCGTGCCATACGTTCTTTTTGTCAAAAACACACAAAGGACACGACGGTGGCGCCGAACCGGCGGCGGGGAGCGGAACCAAAGCCAGCGCGGCCCGGCCAGGCCCGGCGGAACCGAGGGAAATGACGGTGGCCCTGCAGACCGAGAGTCGTCGCTCTGTCTCTCTCGCACTCACGGGGCGTACCCAGCAGGTGCGAGAGAGGCGGAGCGAAGACTCTCGGAATCAGTGTGCTGGCACTGGCAGCCAGAAGAAGCCGTGAAAGGTATGGAGCGGTACGCGGCGCCAGCTGGAATGCTGGATGCTTGCTGGAGGCCCGAATGGAAGGGAATGGGATGGAAAAAGAGTAAAAGACTAATGGAGCTTTATTCTGTTTGCTGAAACCCTATCGCGCCCGTCCGCCCCACTCCGCTGGCTGGCTTAGCTGGAGCAGGGTCAGGGTGGTTAGGGCGGCCCTCGGGGCGGCCGCCCGGACCGCCTGCCCGCTGCAGCACCACCAGAAATAATCTCAAGCACCTTCAAAACGGATTGTACCTTTCGACATTTTTCGTTCCCGGTGGTAGTTAAAGTTGCTGGACCAAAAACGAAAAGGGTTTCTCCGTGGCGAGTAGGGCGATTAATAGTGCATAAAGGAGTCCGGGTATTTGGACTGGCAGCGCTCGCAGCGCCGGGGTGTGGCGCGGCAGGTGCGAGAAATATCAATATTGGCAGAGGGCGCAGGTGTTGCAAAGCCTTGGCCTGGTGCCTGCGCGGCGCCGTGCTGCGGGCCCCGCGGGCCTCAGTGGCACGCCGACCAGCTCGCGGTTCACTAATACCTCGGCAACACACACACACACTCACACACACAGCCACAAGCGCCATACAACCACACACACACACACACACACACACACAGCCACACTATCCAGCCGAACACGGTCCGTATCGATTCTCCTCAAATCCAATCTGGGATTCCAGTCATGAGAGCGCGTTTGTCACGCTGAGCAAACCGCACCCCCCCCCCCCCTTCCGGGCGGCCGCCGGACTCGGCCCGACTCGGCCCGCCGCCTCCGGGACATGCGGCATGCGAATGGCCAGGTAAGTGGAAGTGGAGGGCGGCGGCATGGCTAGCAGTGGCGTGGCAGTGCCATGGCAGTGGCGTGGCAGGCGGACGGTGGAAGGGTTATGGTTTGCGGCGCCAACTTTTGATCGGCTGCAAACCTGACCGGAATGAGATTCGGGAAGTGGCTGGGTCCGGGGTAGTCGTAGTCGGTCGTCGTGATGGTGGAGCAATAGTGTTGGACCGCCACCGCCGACGGGTTCGTTTCCGAACAGTTCTGTCGTCGCTCTGTCTCTCTCGCACTTGTCCATGGAGAGACTGAGGGACACTAAGCGCTGTTCGGGATCACTCGTGGGTCTGTAGAGTGATTCAGAGGGTCGTTTTCGTCGCTCTGTCTCTCTCGCACTCATGTGGCGTCCCGAATAGGTGCGAGAGAGACGGGGCGACGGAAAAGACTCTCGGAATCCCGCTTTGCTTCCAGGCGGCATGCTGCATCCGCTGCTTGACGAGATGCGGAGAGGGCGGCGAGTGCTCCACGTCATGCTGGCCGCGCTGGTCGCCGCGTGCCTCGCGCACCAGGTAAGGAACCGCACAGTGGGTCAGAAGACCGGCGCCGGCGGCCAAAACTCTGGACGCGTTTTGAGCCCCAGAGTCGCTAAATGGGACTCGAACCGAACGTGTCACCCCACCAATGGATTGCTCTCCGAACGAGAAATCCATTGGTGGGGTCACACGTTCGGTTCGAGTCCCATTTAGCGACTCTGCAGCTCAAAATACGTCTCGAGTTCTGGCCGCCGGCGCCGGTCTTCTGACCCACTGTGCGCCGGGGGAACCGGGATAATGCAGGTGCTTCCTTTTTGTGTCCTTTTCTCTGTCTTTTTATTCTCTCTGTGTGCAGGTGGTAATCGGCGCGCCCCAGCAGCAGCAGCCCCAGCAGCGCCAGCACGACGGCCTGGAGTACGCCCCCAAGTGGGGGTGGCACCTGCCCAGCGCCAGCGTCGCCAGCGATGACCGGAGGGACCGGAGGGGCGACTCGGGTGCGCCGAACAAAGTTTAGACGACGACACGGAAAGTTTATTTGGTTTCCAAAAGAGCTCTTTCCTAAACAAAATTCTCAGGCTCTGTGCAGTACACCGGCGGCCAGTCGCAGCAGCAGTCGGAGCAGCAAGGATCGAGTGGCACTATACAGTACGCTACAGCGCCCAGACGGCAACAGCAGCCTCAACAACAGAGCCCTCCTGGCACACTGCAGTACTCCGGCGGCACCCAGCAGCCCCAACAACTAAGCCCTCCTGGCACACTGCAGTACTCCGGAGGCACCCAGCAGCCCCAACAACAACAACTGAGCCCTCCTGGCACACTGCAGTACTCCGGCGGCACCCAGCAGCCCCAACAACAACAACTGAGCCCTCCTGGCACACTGCAGTACTCCGGAGGCACCCAGCAGCCCCAACAACTAAGCCCTCCTGGCACACTGCAGTACTCCGGCGGCACCCAGCAGCCCCAACAACAACAACAACTGAGCCCTCCTGGCACACTGCAGTACTCCGGCGGCACCCAGCAGCCTCAACAACACCAACACCAACAACCATTTTCCAACAGGCGGCAGCAGTACCCTCTGGAGAGCTTCGCGGCCTCGGTGGGGCCCGGCGGGGCGGGGGCCTTCCCTCTGTCCAGCAGCGACGCCGGAGGCACGCCGGGCCTGCAGTACGCTGTGGGACGGGGGCGGCCGCACCGGTACGGCGCACTGGACAACCTGGACAGTGCCGCAGGGACGCTGGATCCTCGTGCCACGGCCGCCGCACCTGGGCCCCAGTCCCTCCAGCCGCTCCAGCTGGGAGTCAGCCAGCATCAAGTGGTCAGGCCGGATTATGTCAATCTTTCATGAAATTCACCCGCTGCGGCGTTTTGCTTGCGTTTTCTCGATCTCGATGCGTTCTTCGGTTCCAGCAGAACGCCGCTGGACACCCGGGGCAGGCTCCAGCACATGCTCCAGCACAGCCATATCAGGGGTGGCTTTCGCCAGTCCAGCCGCTGTTCCGCCCGCACGGCCTGCATGGTCTGCACCAGCACGTGCTGCAAGCGGGACAGCCAGGCCAAGTACTCGGACAGCAAGGAGGACAGCCGGGCCAAGTGCTCGGACAGCAAATCACCCCTCAGCCCGCACAGCGGCCGGGCGGACAGCAGGCGAACGGCAGCAGTCCCGGCGACGTCCTGGGCGCCTTCATGTCCCTCCTCAACTCCAAGGCCTCGATGGTGGGCTCCGCGGTCCAAGGAGGCGTCCGCGCCGTCCTCTGGCTGCCCGGCGTCATCCTGGACGCCCTTCGCGGGGTGCAGACCACGCCGACGACGTCCTCGGGGCGAAGATGAACAAGCAGTCAACTTTCTGTCTTTCATTTATTTGCAATCACTTTCATTTTCTCTCCAAGTTCCCTTGCGAAGCTCCTGCGTTAAACCGCAAGCTTCCGCGTAGAAAACGGCAGTGAATGTGAGGAAGCGTGGAACGAGGCTCCACGGAGTTTTGTTCCTACCCAGTAAGTGTAAGCCAAGGGGGACTTTTCTCGTCGGACTAAATCTCGGCGGGTCATACATTAGCCGTCGCCGTGAAGTGCGCGAGGCGGGGTGGGGCAGTTTCTCTGCAGACGGGGAGGCGACTTGAATGCTAAATAATCGAATACGGCCACTTGCCAGTCGTTTACCTGGGCCTACGGCGGCCCACGGGGGAGGGGGCGGCTCCAGGACTCAGGCCGATCCAGATAAGCAGCCGGCTGGAGCAGACTGGAGCAGGCCGCCTTCGTGCCTGGAAGACCTATGGAAGCCCTGGCAACTGGAAATGAGCAAAGTTTATTGGAGCCAGGGCGATCCTTCACACGCCGCAGTTAGGTGTAAACGGCCACACCGCGGCCCGGAATTATTCCTGTGATGGGGACCGTAGGTTCGAGTCCCGACGGCAGCGAATCTAATTTTCTTCTTTTTTCCCCCCACTTGCCACTTTGGCGACCCACACACTCCATCCCCGTCCCCATTTCCGGCCCGCCTTGCTGCAATCCTGGCCGCTTTAATTAAGCCCTTCCCTGTTGTTAATGAACTTCTGGACCAATAAAAACGTTTTACTGCGGCCCAAGAGACACGCCGTATGGATGGGGTAGCGGTCCGGTCCGCCCCTGGCCGGGCCTGGCCGGTGCTGGCCGCCGGGCCCTGGGCCACACCGTTTGGCCGGGGCCCAAATACGCTCATACAAACCCACTTACACACACAAGCACACACAGACACACACACAGACACACACACACACACAGACAGACACACACACACACACACACACACACACGAGACATAAAAGGGGATGACATGGAATCACAATGAGAAGAAAAGGCGAGTACGCTTACGTTGAGGTGTATGATATGTGGCAGTCCGCTGGTGAGTGTTGGCGTTGTTCGCGCCCCCCCCCCCCTGTCGCCTCTCTCTCTCTCTCTCTCTCTCTCTCTCTCTCTCTCTCTCTCTCTCTCTCTCTCTCTCTCTCTCTCTCTCTCCTGTTGCTGGAAACAAGATTAATTCGAGCGGGCGGCGGATGCGAAAGCCGTGTCGTGTGTCCGGGACAAGGCAAGTGTTCGAACAGGCCCGGCATTACCATGCTTTCATTATTCTGGAGTCTTGTGTCGCTGGAGCCTCCAGGCAGCCAGGCAGCCAGGCAGGCAGGCAGCCAGTGAGCCTGCTGCGCTTTGGGTGAATTACGCAGTGGTTTGTGGAAACTATCCCACCGAGCCCGCCGGCTGCAAGCTGCGCTCGCGATCCAGTGTTTCGAGCGCGTATGTGTATGCATGTGAGTGTGTGTGGGGGCGGGGGGGAGGTTTACACGGAGGGCTGAAACAATCAACGTTGGCTCGCACTCGCAACAGCTTTTCCCGTGGATTTCAAGCTGGTCTACACAGGCCGAAATTTAAACCCACCAACCGTCCCAGACAGTCAACACACGTATGTTTTCCAGTTTTCTACTCACCCGCTGATTTGTTGATCCCACCACACTGGCTCGATCGGGGGGATTCGTCAGGCTGACGGTAAATTTTAATCGGAGCACGTCAGGCTGACGATAAACGTTAACCGCGCGAGTAATCCGTGGTTGTCCCTAAATCAAAGGGAAAATTTGCGTTCGGCCGCGACCGCCGATTTTTATTTCCCTCCCCACCCTGGACGAGGGGAGGGAAAGAGAGGGAGAGGGATGTCGCGGGGTGGGGATGTGGCAGGGAGACTCTGGTGCTGGCCACGACGTGGCATTTGCATATATGAATTACAACACAAGGAAGAGCAAGGGAAGCGAAAAAACATAAACCGGAAACGAGCTCTGTACGCGCGTCCGGGGGAGGGGGGGGAGGGGAAGGGGAAACTAATGACTCTGTGTGTGTGTGTGCGTGTGTGCGTGTCTATGTGTGTGCTGGCGCGAGCGCGTGCGTGTGCATTCGCACATGAAATCGTGTAATCGGTCGAAGTCGCTGCGGATGTTGGAAAATTATACATACGAATTCCATACAATAAGCGTGCGAGAAGCGTGGAGTCGCGGTGCGCAACATGGCGACGCGCGTCCGGCCTGCACACTGCGCGGGCTGCGTGCGGCGACCTGATCCGACTTGCGCGCCCAAAATTTAAACTCGCCGCGGTGGAACATGCGACGTTACTTCCGAGGAGACCAAGGAGGGAGCGGGCCGCGGAGTACAACACCCTGTTCGCCCGTAATTCTGGCCGACATGAAGCCCCCCCTCCCCCTCCCCCGGGGAGGTGGCGCGGGAAAGTGCTGTACTGCTGTAGACTGCTTCCGACGAGTCACGCTGTCGCTCTCGCACCTTTACGGGACGCCCCATGAGTGCGAGAGAGACAGCGCGACGAAAACGACTCTCGGAATCAGTCAGCAGGGGGAGCGGGGATTTTCGGCACGGCACAGCTTTCCGGGACGAGCTCGTCGTGTTCTGCAGGGATTACGACTCTTATTAAAAGTGAGACGGCTTGCGCGCGCCCGGGACTCCGAGGACTCCGAGGGCGGGCCGCCAGGACGCCGCCAGGACGCCGCCGTGGAGGGCGCCACCGTGTGGAGCACGTCGAGGAGTACGCCGCCGCGGAGTACGTCTTGGAGAGCGCCATCGTGGAGCACGTCGTGGAGTATGTCATGGAGTGCGCCGTGTAACACTCTACACCACACTGCACACTCCACCCCGCCTTGCCTCGCGCCATGCCGCCCGACGAAGTCGGGGTAGGCAACGCGGTGTGCAGCCGTGCGGACGGGGTGCCTACGCGCCGGGCGCTCGGCTCTCGCTCCGCTCTCCACCAGAGGTCCACGATGTATCCACCCCGAGAGCCGTTTTCGTCGCTCTGTCTCTCTCGCACCCATGGGGCGTCCCGCATCAGTGCGAGAGAGACAGAGCGACGAAAGCGACTCTCGGAATGAGTCTGCAGGCCGTGGAGGAGAGCGGTGCGGCGGCCTTGCGACGTCGGCGTTCTTTTATTGAATTTGCCCGTGTCCAGGAGTCCGCGAGCCTGCGGGGGGCGAGGCCCACCATCCCCCCTCTCGAGTTTGACGCGAGGGAGAGGGAGAGAGAGAGAAGGAAAGAGAGGCACTCTGCGTCTCCTTTAGCAGTTGCCGCTCGACTGATTAAGTCTCAGAAAGGGATCGTGGCGCAAATTAGGCGTCACGGCGCAGGAAGGGGGAGAGGGAGGGGGGAGGTCGGGGGAACGGGGGCACTACCGAACTCCATTTCCTCGCGCTTAACGCCTCGGAACTACACCGAGATCGTCATCGGTCCGGCAGATGGGGGCGCGCCCCGCCCCGCCCCGCCCCGCCCCGCCCCGCACGCCGGCAGTGAGCAGCGCGGCAGTAGTTTACCAAATTACCCTAGTTGCAACTTTTCATTTTGTCGAGCAGTTTCTTGTGCTCGGCGAGGGCGTGGCGCGGCGTGGCACGGGGGCCCGCTCCGCGCTCCGTCTGGCTGGATGCACTCTGAGCCGAATAGTTCCTCCGGGATCCTGTTCCTCGCTATTCCCACCCCATTTCTTTCCCCGCGCCGCCGGCTCTGCCACCACCCCGCCCCGCCCCGCCCCGCCCCGCCCCGTCTGGCTGCGGGGGAGCCAATGGGCGGACAAAGTTATACGGCCATATTTCACGCGGCGATATTGGGAGACAATTTTCGGGGCTTGCGCCGGGAAAGGTGCGGGCAGGTCCGGGACCGGGCCATGACTCCGGGTGCGTGGCGGGCAGGCAGGCAGGCAGGCAGGCAGCCAGGCAGGCAGCCAGGCAGCCAGGCAGGCAGGCAGGCAGGCAGCCAGGCAGCCAGGCAGGCAGGCGGATCCCCGTGGAGTCGTTCCGATCATTGCGAGAAGGCGTGCCGGAAAGCGCGGCAAAGTGCACGCAAGAAACGGCCGGGTGGACTTGGCGCGGCATTTGGGTCATGCATTTTTGACGCGTCTCTTTTGTTTCAGTTTTTGTTGCTTTTTTTTTGTTGCCGTTGAACAACTATGAAAGCAGATATATTTCCCCTTGCAGCGGGCTGGAGTTCGAGCCGCTGCCGCGCGCTTCCGCCACGCCAGAGAAAAGAGGCGCGAAACGCGGCACAGCCGTGGCACAGCCGCGCGCCCTGGCGGCACCGGCGTGAATTCCCAGGCCCGCTCGGCCTGCCGCCGCGGGCCGCCAATTTAATCTCCTCGCTCGGCCCAATAAGAAGGGCGAGCTTTAAAAAACGGCAACAACAACAACAAAGGCAACAATAACAACAACAACGGCGAAAAATATCTAAAAAGCGGAAGGGGATCATTGGGAGATCGGGGCGCAACTTCGCATCCTAACGCCAATAGCCACGGCCCGGCCCGCAGCAGAGCGGTTCCGAGAAGAGAGCTCTCTCTCTCTCTCTCTCTCTCTCTCGCACTTCCGGGGGGAGTGAGTGAGTGCGAGAGAGACGCGGCACCGAAAGACAGCAGCGGCGTTCGGAAGCTCGCCGGGCCGGGCTGCTTGATATTCTTTGTGGGAATCCGGGCGGCCGCTCGATGACGGCGATGTCGCAGCGTCACGGCCAGAGTCCCTCCAGGCCCTGCAGGCCCTCGAGCTGCAGCGGCCGATGCGGCTGCAGGCTGACCCGTCTCTCTCGCACCTGCACGGCACGCGCCGTGAGTGCGAGGGAGACAGAGCGACGACTATCTCGGAATCTGTCTGGCCTCGCAGTGGATTGAATGGCCGCGGCGGCCCGCAGCCCAGAGGCGGAGACGGTTGGAGAGGCCCGGCCAGAAAGGGGCGGACGCCGTCGGGGATGCGAAATCTGTTTCCAGTTATAAGCCCTGGCTGGCTGCCTGGCTGCACGGCCTCCCAGGAAGAAACCGCGAGGTCTTCGCGCACAAAAGGCTCGTCCGCGCGCAGCTTCCAGATTCCACCGCCCCGCGGACTGATTCCGGAGACTCATCATCGTCGCTCTGTCTCTCTCGCACCTCTACGGGACGCCCCATGAGTGCGAGAGAGACAGAGCGGCACTGCAGCGCTGGCTAGACCGCGGCCGCGCACCCGTTTCTAATATCTCGGCCTCCCATTCTCCGGCGTCGTTCCGGGCCGCGGTTCCAACGACGGGCAGTCGCTGGGGCGCAATCTCGGACTCGGTCACCGCGTCCAGAGAAATGTTGGCGTCGGAGCGACGTCGCGGCGACATTGGAAAACCAGCCCGCCTTGGTGTCCAGTCGCGACGCGGAAAGCCCGCCCCTATCTCCCGTCCGCCGCCAGATTCCGAGAGTCGTCGCTCTGCCTCTCTCGCACCCGTACGGGACGCCCCGCGAGTGCGAGAGAGACAGAGCGACGCTCCTCGGAACCAGTGTGCTGGCCGCGGCCTTGGCCCCGCCATGCCCCGCCGGCCTCACAGGCAGCGCAGCCCCGGGCCTCGCGTCGCGGTGTGGCGGTGTGGCGGTGTGGCCCGCGCACATGGCTGCGTCCAGGCCAGACTCTCGATGCGATATTCACTGACCTGGACGCGCGCTGCCGGGCCGGGCCGGGCCACCGGGATCGCATTGAGCGGAGAGAGAGGAGAGAGAGAGAAAAATCCTGGAAAGTGTGTCGGAAACGGCGAGCCCTCCATCACACTCCATCGTGGCGCGCCGTGTCTGCCGTGCAACGGCGGTACAGCAGGCTGGTTCCGAAGTGTCTCTATCTCTGTCTCTGTCGCACTCACGGGGCGCCGCGCAGGGGCGCAGGGGTGCGAGAGAGACAGAAGTCGACCGCTCGGAATCGGCTCGCCTGGAGGGCCCTGGAGCGGCTGGCTGAGGGCCCTGCGGACTGGAGCGGCGCGTAGCGGCCTGGACGGAGACGACCCACGGATTCGTGTCGCCCGGATCGTATCGCCGGCTTTGCAGCGCTGCGGAATCTCGCGCCAAAAAAACAGGGGCTGAAAATAAACTGTGTCGGTGCGCGAACCGCGGTCCTTTAAATCCGCCCGCTGAGACGCTAACCGTTACGCTGCCTGACAGTGATTACTGCTGGCAACTAATGTAAACCAAGTGGCCCCCTTGAGGGGCGCCCTTTTGGCCTCGCCACTTACGCAGACAGCGCAAACACTCTGCTCGTCTGCTCCATCATTAGTCTAATTATTGCGATTCCTTGGCGTCCCGCAGTCTGTTTGCATGTCTGTCTGTCTGCCTGTCCGTCCGTCCGCCTGCATACTACTTTTTTGCTTGCCGCATACGGTTTTTTGTTTGCCGCATACGGTTTTTTGTTTGCCGTATGCGGTTTTTTGTTTGCCGTATGCGGTTTTTTGTTTGCCGTATGCGGTTTTTTGCTTGCCGTATGCGGTTTTTTGCTTGCCGCATACGGTTTTTTGCTTGCCGTATGCGGTTTTTTGCTTGCCGCATACGGTTTTTTGTTTGCCGTATGCGGTTTTTTGCTTGCCGTATGCGGTTTTTTGCTTGCCGTATGCGGTTTTTTGCTTGCCGCATACGGTTTTTTGTTTGCCGTATGCGGTTTTTTGCTTGCCGTATAGCGGTTTTTGCTTGCGTATGCGGTTTTTTGCTTGCCGCATACGGTTTTTTTTGCGTATAGCGTTTTACATATGCTCTAATACTTTGTTATACAAGACTACGGTTTTCTTTGTAAGCCCAGTAGCTTCTGTAAGGCCGATTCGGAGTCAGTGTGCGCTCCGCCGCGTCCTGGGGCGGATACGGAGACGGGTGCACGAAAAGTCGACTACTTACTGGGGCCGAGCGCGACGCTTTGCCTACCTTTCAGGCAGCGTCGCCGCCTCCAGCAGTCGATGTCTGCCCCTCCCTCCCGCGCCTGGCCGCGTCATGGGTGCCGCCTACATTGCCGAAGTTGCCGGCGTCAGCTTGTCGAATCACTCGGCCGAGTTCTTTTCCTGCAGCCTGTAAACTTCGGCGCTACAAAACGAGTTGGCTCTGGGGCCGCCGCCGCCGTCCGACGTCCGCCGCCGTGCGGTGCGGAACTTGGAGAGGCTGGAGGGGGTGCTTTAAGTGCAGGCGGCGCCGCCCCGCCGACCGCGGCACTCTCTTGGAGCACTTGGTGGACACGCGGCGCGAAGCACGCAAAGAAGTGCCGTGGGGCGGTAGACGTGGTGCTGCGGCCGGCGAGCGCGTGTTACCCAGTCCGACTGCCATCGTCGCTCTGTCTCGTTCGCACTCACGCGGCGCTCCGCGGCGCTCCGTGAGGGTGCGAGAGAGCCAGGGCGGCTGCAGGACAGGGCCCCGTCCGTGCACAACCCCGGCAGGAGTGCGACAGGGTCCGGTAGCGCGACTCGGTCGTCGGAAATGGAAGTTGGAATTCGACTGTCACATTTTTATTCCCCCGCCTGGCCCGGCGACGCCATGGCGACACCTCTGCGACGAAAATATCGTCATGAAATTGGCCGGCCTGGCGCTCTGAGCTCTGAGTGCTCCGAGCAGGGCGCGGCACAGCTGGAGCGGCAGCCCCGACCAGTCATTTTTCCTCTCCTCTCTGCTGGCCCAGCAGACTGATTCCGAGAGTCGTTTTCGTCGCTCCGTCTCTCTCGCACCGGACGGGACGCCCCATGAGTGCGAGAGAGACAGAGCGACGAAAACGACTCTCGGAATCAGTGTGCAGGCCCCCAGGCCCCGGGACCCAGGCCAGGCCGCCCCAGGGCATTGGTGGGGCTTACGGCCTGCTGGGCTTGACTCCGTTGCGCGTCGTTTTGGCGTTTTGGATGATTTGTTGCTGAAGAGACCACAATATTCGCACGTTAAGCGAGGGCAGCCTTAATCCTCGCTGTCTCCCCTCTGCGTCCGTCTGTCCTCCTGTCTGTCCGTCTGTCGCAGTCACCGCGTCAGCGGAGAATTCTATTCTCCATGGCGTCAGCTTCTCATATCTGAGAGAAATTTTTGAGTCGTTGAAAATCATTATCGAATAATTCTGGGTGGGCTGCCGATAAGGCACTTAAAACTAAATGAGAACTCGCTCTTTTCATCTTCCGTTGGCATTCCCTTCGCCACACTTTTTAACGCGCTGGGGACTAAACGGGGGAGGGATTCTTCCAAGAGGCTGCGTTCCTGCGTACTGTACCATTTTCATCTGTTTGCAATTTCTTTTCCCACGGCCTCCACGATGCGGACGGAAATTCGTTTTTCTCGCTCGGTTTCACACCGCGCTGCAGCCGCCCCTTCCCCACCGCGCCACGCCGCGCCACGCCACACCGGGGCAGACCAGGCAGAGCCACTCGGGCACTCCCTTTGGCAAGCGGTACAACATACACCCCATCTGCATACGACAAGCGTTATTTGCAATGCTGTTGTGTGAAAAGAAGAGCGAAAATTTCCCTTTATCTTTCCGTCTCTCTCTGTACCTCCCTCCCCCACCCCTCTCGCTCGCGCCGAACACATACTCCTCTCCTCGTGGAGTGGCGCTCCCGCCGAGTGCGTTGGTCGGCCGTAATTTCCCTCAGGTGTTTTGCTTAGGCAGGCACGGCCAGGCGGGGCGGGGATGCACGATAAAAAGCAACTCGCTGGATTTGCGTTTCGGACCTTTTTATTTTTCGCTACCCCTTGCCCCGCATGGGGTGCGGGCAAACAACTTTGCGGGCTGCCTTGTTTCCTCCTTGCCCGGCCCCGCGGCGCCGCGTCTTGCGGCGTCTCGGTCCGAACGGATTACTGAATGTGGCGTGGGGTACCGTAATACCCGCAGCACGGCTTGCTGGAGGAAGCCGAGCAAAGCAGCTGTCGAGACCATCTCCTTCGTATACTGCACATCTCCCTGCGTCTCCCTGCGTATTTTCACGCACGACGCACCCCCCCCCCCACACACACACACAAGTACATCGTGTTTCAATCAGCACCGCACGACGCCGAAGCCGGGTGCCCGTTCGGGCCATCATGAAATCACGAACCTATTCCGGTCCGAAATGGTCGCCCGAAGGCACGGTACACGGCAGTGCGGCGGATTGTGGGTCATCCCCCCCCCCTCTCCCCGCGTTTCCATCTTCTTGAGCTGATCGGTTCTGTGACATTTTAGCGGTCCGCAGCACAAAGCGCAAAGCGCACCGAGACGCGCGGCGCGGGCGGCGACCTTGCGTGGCTCTGCCTTGGCTGTGCCCGGCGCGGTGCTGCGGTGGTGGTGGTGGTGGTGGCGGCACGCGGCGCGGGTTGCTTCACCTGCTCGCCGCTAACGCTGCAGCAGCATGGCGGGGCGTGGCGGGGCGTGGCGGGGCGTGGCGGGGCGTGGCGAGGCGTGGCGGGGCGCGGCCGTTCCCGGCGGGGGCCATGGCGGCCCAGTGGTCCGTCCACCACACAGTCGCGTCCAGCCGTCGTGTACACTTGGCGGTCGCGTCTTGCCGTTGACCATGCGTGCCTGCGTGCGTTGCGTTCCGCCCAGGGCCCCCGACGTGGCCGTGCTGCTCTTCGCCGTCGTCGTCGCCCTGCTCATCGCCCTCGAGGCCCCCGCCGTGCACGCGGCCGGCTCGGGCCCCTGCCAGCACCGCGCCAAGCGGACCACGGAGGGGACGTCGTCGACCTCGCCGACGGCGCCGTCCAGCCCCGTGGACGCCATCGCGACGACGGGGTTCGCGACGTCGCCGGGCGTCGCGGACGATGTTAGGCAAGACGTCCCCGCCGACGATGTCGTGCCAGACGTCCTCGTTGACACGGCGTCGACGTCCATAACGACACTGCAGCCGGCGTCCACGGCGGCGGGGCTCTCCGCCGACACCATGGCAGCGCCAAGCGGAGGCGACGCTCAGCACTTTGATGACGCCGTTCCCCCGGCCGCACCCCAAGCTCACCCGGACGGCCCCGCGAGGGTGCCCGTCGAGAGCACCGCGACGACGGAGACGCGGCAGGGAGCGTCCCTGGAGCCAGCACCTACGGCCGTGAGCGTCACCGTCGACGACAACGTGCTCGTCGGAGACCAGGCGGCGTCTCTGGCTGCAGACGACTACGCGGTGACGGCGCCTCACAAGCGCCACCCGTCTCCAGCACCTCCAGCGGCCAGGTCGCCGCCGGCCGTGGCGGCCAGCACCACCTCCAGGGCGGCCAGGCTGCAGGAAGAGCGCGCGCGCCGCCTGGAGAAGATCCAGCGCGACTTGCTGGAGAGGAAGCACCGCCGGGCGTCCAGGATCACGACGACGACCGAGCCGCCGGCTCACTACGACGACGACGACCTGAACCACGGCCTGGACGACGACCTGGAGGACTTGCTGCGGGAAGACGACGGGGACCTGGATGAGCCAGAGGAAGCCCCGCAGGACAAGCGACCCTCGAGGCCAGGACAGCGCGGCCAGGACCCGAAACAGAAACAAGACAAGGCGGGCGGCGACCACCGCCACGCCGCGCCACCGCTGGACAAACACGAGGACGCCGTGGGTGGCAGGGCGAGCCACCGCGCTGATCCGGAGGGCAAACAGGGCCGGCGGAAGGACGGGCGGCGGCAGGACGGGCACGGCCACGGGCAGGACGGGCACGGCCACGCGCAGGATGGACACGGCGGGCAGACGCGCGCGTCGCGCCGCGGACAGGATCAAGACCGGCGAAAGGCGGCGCGGCGCAGGGACTCTGACGAAGACCCCTCCATCGAGGACAACTCGCTGACGGACGGCAGCTGGGACGACGCCCACGGCCACGACGCGGACCTGGGTAAGTAGAAGGAGCCCGTCGACGGGCAGGTCGAAGGTCATGGTTCAACCAACCCTAACTTTTCACGTTAACCTCGCAGTTCCATGTTGAGAACCGAAAGTTAGCGTTTCGTTGTGCACTCTTGTACACTGTTCGTAAGCGTGTGCATCCAAGCACACTGCTCGTTGAAGTGTGCATGCATGCAGGCTACGCGCTTCTCGTGGAGGGCGCCATGCTCACTGTTCCGTTTGTAGAGCAGGTTAGGCGAGGTTGGGCCAGCGTTCTATCTCTCTCTCCATTGATTACCGCAGGTGATTCGGCATATGACGCTGCCTTTCTCGGCAGCTTACCGGTCACTTTCTCTCTCTTTCTCCCTCTCCCGCACTCCCCTTATCTCTCTCTCTCTCTCACTCCCGCACGGCCCTCGCCGGTGGCCGGCCTCGTAACACACGAGTGACACGCCTGCACCTGTAACCGAGGGTAACGCACCTGCAGACTCGCCATTCGTCGCCCTGTCTCACTCGCACCCAGAGGGGACGCCCCATGAGTGCGAGGGAGACGGAGCGACGAAAACGACTCTCGGAATGAGTCTGCTGTAACGAGCGCGTCACCGGTCACGCCGTCACGCCGCCGTCCTCGGCGTCGTGCACTAAAGCCTGGCCGACACGCGTCCAGCACGCCACGCCGCGCACGACTATACACTGTATACAGTGATCGGCAGCCGACTCGTGCGTGTCGCGTCCGAAGGCACGCGCGTGACAAGGCCAACAGGCGCCGAACCATTTCGTCGCTCTGTCTCTCTCGCACTCGCGGTGTCCCACGCCACGGGTGCGACGGAGACAGTGCGCCACGCCTCAGCGGCGGCGATTGCACTTAATTCCTCCTGCACTCGATGAAGGTCGCGGAGAAAGTGAAGTGCATCAAGGCCCGGCGTCGCTGTGCCGCCGTCGCACAGTGTGCCAGAAGACCGGCATGCCGGCCAAAACTCTAAACGCGTTTTGAGCTCCAGAGTCGCTAAAAAGGACTCGAACCGAACGTGTGACCCCACCAATGGATTCCTCGCTCAGAGAGCAATCCATTGGTGGGGTCACACGCTCGGTTCGAGTCCCACTAAGCGACTCTGGAGCTCAAAACGCGTCCGGGATTTTGACCGCCTCCACCGGTCTTCTGGCCCACTGTACGTCGCTGAGCGGCATGATGGCAGTCTTGGAGCCACCGCCGCCCTGCAAAGCTGCACTCCCGGGACGCCTTGGACCGGTCCGGTCCGCAGAATCGTTGTTATGCCAGGCGCAGCGGCGTCGCTCATAATCGTTAAGTTATCGAAAGTAGACGTGGGAAACTTTCCGCCGCTTCTTGACCTCCATCGCGAATGTAACCTTTGGGCGAAACAGCAGCCACCCGGCCACCCGGCCCTGGGCGCGGAACGCGGCCAGACGCCTCACGCTGGAGTCGCTCTGTCTCTCTCGCACTCATCGGGCGTCCCTAGGGGTGCGAGAGAGACAGAGCGACCGAACCATTTTTCGGAATCCGGCGGCTGCCTCGAAGGCCCAAAGTGTCCAGCCGGGGCTTTTCCCTCGTGGTGCTGCAGTTTTTCGGCTTGGCCCACTTTTGGCGGACCACCGACGCGGCGACGGTTTCGTGTGTAGTAGGATTCGCCCATCGCTCTGTCTCTCTCGCACCCCTGCTGGGCGCCCCACGAGTGCGAGAGAGACAGCGAACGAACGCGCTGGTCGGAATGAGCCTGCTGACAGGTGCTTTACCTGGCCGCGGGCGGGACCGCGCCACTGCGAGTGCACCCATTCGAAATGGCCGCGTACTACGTGCGCAGTACGCACATGGCCGGCAGACTGATTCCGAGCGTCGTCGCTGTCTGTCTCTCTCGCACTCCTGGGCCGGTCCTCATTGGTGTGAGAGAGACGGCGACGACTCTCGGAATCAGTCTGCAGGTTCACAGCGTTTTGATTCGCCGCCCGCGGCGGTGCGGCAATGGATTGGCGTTGCCGTGGCGGACCGGACCGGTTCGGCGACCTTGAATTGCAGGCGCCGCGGTGCGAGCCGCGATGCGTCCAGGTCCAGCCGGCTGCAGCCCTGTCAGGCACACTGTCAGGCCCTGACACACCCTGCGGTGAAAGGAGCGCACCCACAGGCACCCACGCACCGCGACGCGCCGTCCTCGTCGGCGGCCGAATCCGCTTCCGAACAGTGTATCGTCGCTCTTTCTCTCTCGCACTCATGGGGCGTCCCGTATAGGTGCCAGAGAGACAGAGCCACGAAAACGACTCACACTTCACAGCTGAGGGATGGGTAAAGCAGCACTCCTTGCCTACTCGCAGGGTAAGCGTGGCTTTTTGCCTACCCTTCAGGCGGCTGTCCAGGGGGCGGAGTGCCAATTGTCCTTTGCCCCCACTGGATCCGCTCCTGTCCTGGAAAAGGAATATCGGCGTTCCGCGCAGCAGTCCGTCCTTGTCGCACCTTTTGCGCCATGGCCGATAATGGAGTGGGTGCGTTCCAGCGCGCCGAGTGGCTTTCATTCCAAGCGACCGACGACCAGACCGGCCGGCCGGACACAAACAAAAACCACGAAAGGGCGCGCGCTTTTCGTTGAGAGGGGCGCAGAGTCCGAGAGTCGTCGCTCTGTCTCTCTCGCACCTCTACGGGACGCGCCACGAGTGCGAGAGAGACAGAGCGACACTCTCGGAATCTGCAGTCCCCGCCGTCGCCGCGTTGCCGCCGTTGTGATTTGTGATTTTAGGACGGTAATGCGAACGGGGATCCCATCCCCGGAGGGATTAGTCGCATGGAGCGTGACAAGCGGGGCGGGGCCGTGGCGGGGCGCCCGTCGCTCTGTCTCTCTCGCACTCGCGAGGCGTCCCGTATGGGTGCGAGAGAGACGGAGCGACGGAACGATGGGGCCAGAAGAAGGAGCCCAGGGCAGGGCGGAGGAAAAAGCAGGCGAGCTTGTCAGGCGGCTGACGGCCGGGGCCGGGCCGGGGCCAGGACGTCATCCTGCCAGGACGCCACGGCCTGGACTCCCCTGCACTTTAGTAAATGGCCGATCAAGGGGAGCGGGACTGGAGCGGGGATGATCCAAGCCAAATCCTGCCTGGGATGCCCGCAGGGCCCCGAGGCCCCAAGGGGGGCCACCGGGAGGGACGCGTCTCGTTCTTCGCTGTCGCGTCACTTTTGTAACTTTGTTTTCGGCGCTCGGATTATTTTCCCTTCGTTGCTCGTTTGTGTTTGATTAGGGGGCGGCGCGGTTTTTGTCGGCTTCGTCTCCGTGGCGCTGCTGGCAGACCGATTCCGAGAGTCGTCGCTCTGTCTCGCTCGCACCCATACGGGACGCGCCATGAGTGCGAGAGAGACAGAGCGGCCGAAACGACTCTCGGAACCAGTCTGCTGGACAGCCGCGCTGAGGCAACTCACGACTCGCAGTGTCGATGACACCGCGCAGCGCTGCCTTCGCTGAGTCGACTTGCTGTCGTCTGCTTCTCGTCGCTGCTGTGTAGGTCGGTCATCGTTAGCCCCCCCCCCTCTCGCCCTTTGTGGCAATGCTTTGTGGCGACGTCCGAATGCGGAGGAGAGCCTCGCCTTTTGCAAGCTCGTCCGCAGCAGACTGATTCCGAGAGTCGTTTTCGTCGCTCTGTACCTCTCGCACCAGAATAACGGGACGCCCCACGAGTGCGAGAGAGACGGAGCGACGTGTTTCGCGATCAGTCCGCCCACGCGTTGCGGAAAGGCTGAAGTGACGGAGGGCGCCCCAACGAGTACATCTCTGGACCGCGCGAAAAGGCACCTCAATGTGGCATACTTCTGTAAGAGTGACCTCGAAGCTGTCATCCGTCACTCTGTCCCTCTCGCACGTAGAGCATGCTCCACGAGTGCGAGAGAGACGGAGCGACGACAGTAGTGACGTGGCGACCCCCGGAAGCGGCAGGTGCTGTGACGACGTGAGCGTCCCGCACTCGAACAGCCACGCCCGCCCCCACCTCGCCCCAGCCCAGCCACCCCGGTTCGCTCGACCCGGTCAGTCGCGGTCACAACAATAAACCGGCGGCAGCGAAGCGAGCGGCGGGGAAGGTCAAGTTCAGCGCGTTCCAGTCCGGGCACGCCGAGGCACGCCGCACAGTGGGCCAGAAGACCGGCGCAGGCGGCCAAAACTCGAGATGCATTTCGAGCTCCAGAGTCGCTGAGCAGGACTCGAACCGGACGTGTGACCCCACCAATGGATTCGTCATTCGGAGAGCAATCCATTGGTGGGGTCACACGTTCGGTTCGAGTCCCTTTTAGCGACTCTGGAGCTCAAAACGCGTCTCGAGTTTTGTCCGCCGCCACCGCTCTTCTGGCCCACTGTGCTCCGAGGCAGGCCGCGGCTCGCGGTGTGGTGGGGCCGGTGTTGTTCCTCGGCGTGTCGATGCGCTGGCGCGCTGGTCCGGCCTTGGCCGTGAGAGTGAGTGAGAGAGAGAGTGAAAGTGAACCAGGCCGAGGCGGGGCACTGCTCTGGATGGGCAGGGCAGGGGCACGCGAGCGCAAGGCCAAGGCTCGGCCGGGGCCTCACTGCTTATGATGGAAGGAAGCAAGAGCGGATCCAGAGACGGATGGGGAAGGGGGGCGTTTTGGCAAAGGTTGCCTACTTTTGCCTACCATCCAGGCGCCGCCCCCCTCCCCCTCCTGGATCCGCACCTGGAAGAAAGTAACAGTGCGCTTCCGCTTGCAGTGGAGTGGCGAGGTCGCGCCGCGTCTTCGCCGTGACGCAACCGAGCTAGCGGCGCCGCGCCGCTGTAAAAGAGTTCTAATTGCCGCCATCCAGAGGCCGACCGACGTAGATCATCTAGATCATCTAGATTGCCAGCAGGCTGCCCCAGCGTCTAGCGTGCGCTTCCAGTCTGGCTCACCGCGGCCCGGCGTCCGAAATGACGGTCTTGTTGTTGTTGTTGTTGTTGTTGTTTGTGTGTGTGTTCCTTTTTCGCACGGCGTGGTGACCCTGTTGTTATGCCACTGAGAAATGTCTGCTTCATGCTTGC